ATTTAAATATGAAAAAAAACAAGCAACATTTTTAAAAATGTATGTGGTTGCAAGAATTTAATTTTAAGTTCTTGCTCGATTTTTTCATGTAGTGACCTGCCAGGCCCGCTGTGACAGTCGTACACTTTGGGTCGCCGGATGAACCTTTCAGTCAGATTTGGGAGTCTGAAGGGGTATTCATTCAGAGTGTGAAGGTGTATTCATTCAGAGTGTGAAGGTGAAGGGGGCAGGGAGGGTGGTCAGGGAGTTTTGGGAGGGTGTATAGTCAAGCTCAGCCAGCTAGCAGGAATGTGGAAGGACTTAACAGTGCTCTCACGTGATTGGTCAATTTGAACAGCATACAAATCCCCCCTGAACACTTCCTGCTCTTCTCTCTCTCCCTCTATCTCTGTATCTCTCTCTCTTCTGTCTTTTTCTGCTTCTCCCTCTCTCTTTCTCTCTCTCTCTCTCACTCTCTCTCTCTCTCTCTCTCTCTCTCTCTCTCTCTCTCTGTATCTCTCCATCAGAAGTGCAGTCTGTGTGAAAGGCAGGTGAAGACTGCATATTCATAAAATTCTATAATTTATGGCTTATCATGTCATCATGCCCAACATATCTCATTACCTATTTTGTCACTAACTCTGATTCACATTTTGGAGCATTTCTAATACTATTAGCCTCTCTCTGCTCATTTATTTGTTGACTTAAAGCTTGGAGGGTGGTCTCTGTAAATCCCTTGCAGGATTAAGCATGGGGGGAGTGGTGTTGGATGTGGTTATGGGCTGAGGATCTTTGGCTAACGATCATCGAATTCTCCAGCATGTAGGACCCAATCTCAATCTGCTGTGCCTGTATTATACGATCAGTTACCACAGATAATCATTTCAAAATGTTTTTCTGAACTTACAAAAGAGCAGAGAAACTGCTGATTCGAAACACACTCATAATACAAGCTAATGGGCTGAACTGCAGTAATCTTGTTTTTTCTAAGAAAAAGCATGAAATGATTGTTGTAATCGATGGTATGTTAGAGATACAGCAAGTAGAAATTAGGTAGAAAAACGCTGGACAATGTTTAAAGCTAGCCTGCTAAAAGAATGTTCTGCTAACTAAGGATATGGGAAAATTCTAGCTTAAAATTTCAAATTTATAATTTATAGGATTTTATGTAATACAGGAGAGACAGAAGAGGTTAGTCGTGTTGCAGTATCTGTTATTATGAAATACAGGAATGTGATTTGGGTCAGTGGAGCAATCTTTCTGCTGAATTTCCTGTTTTTCTCTAGCACATTTAAAGAAGAGCAAAATCAGTGGGGTAATGTTATTTCTCTGGAAGGAAGGAAGTGACGAAAGAAGGAAAAGTAGCTTTAGGTGGAAATATGGCATGCAGTTCTAATGAACACAACAGTGATGAATGTCCTGTGGTTGAAGGTTTAGAAACTATTGAAAAGCATATTCGAGAAGGAGACAGCTTTCTTTATGTTTTCGCTTTTTCTATTTATGAAATGAAAACCACAGTTTTTCCAGGATGTAAGGTGGACCTATTATGCTTTTCTGTTTTTTGTTTCTCTCTTTCCTTTAGTGTGTTATATAGCTCTTTGTGCTTGTAAAGTCCCAAAGCTCAGCATTCCCTCCAGAGGGAGAAACTCTCTCCCACAGAATCCAGCCCCAGTGGAGTTTACAGCTGCTCAGGAGAGAAGGGTCTGTCTGCAGACTGCAGGACTGGTGCAGAACCTGGAGGGACGGAACCAATCTGGAGGCTGACCAATTAGAACAGAGCGAGCAAGCTGACAAATCAGAGCACACTGGGCTCATCGGGAGGCGGGGCTTAAAGACACAGGAGCTCTGACAGAGTGTTTCAGACAGAGAGTGAATAGAGATGAACAGTATGAGAAAAATAACGTTTTTGGAACATCATAGCATGTAAATCTGTTCTAGAAGAGCCCAGAAATAACATTATGAACACTGAAAACAAACATAACAGGTCCCCTTTAAATGAGGATATTTTTTAGCCCTTTTTTTTTTGTAAGAATAAGGTTTGTGCTAAGATCCTGGTTTGAATTTAAAGTTGATTATTGTCTAATTGTTGATTGATGTGCTTTCTGTCCCCTAGTGGTATAAATGCATACTGTTACCCAGAGCTCACCTGTCTCCTGCTCCTGTTTCCGATTTGCTGAGTGCTTTTATAAAAATGAAAAATTTTCTATTCATTTCTATGTGAGGCACATATCACTGCTGTCTGAAGAAAACCTCATATTTCCATTTTTGTCATTTTTCAGTTTTTGACATTATTTGAAAAAGTCCATTGTCCTTTACATTGTTTGTACATTTCATGATGAGTGGACCAAAAGAAATGGCCCAAAATGACTTGGAAAAAACACTGGTTCCATTGACTTACATTAAAGGTGAAGCAGGTTTTTTTCTTCTCCTGTAAAGTTACCATTTTGGAGATATGAGGTTTTCTTCCTACAACAGCGATATTCTTGTTTTTAGATTTTCTATGTAGGTAATAAAGCATTATAACTTTTTGGGTAGAAGAGTACTGTGGCTTTGTTCCTCTATTCATCTGTTCTTTTCCCAAATGGCAGCTTCATGGCTTTTTTGTTGGATTTTTTCCAAACCAGACATTTAGTTTGGCAGGTTTATGCCAAAGCTTGATGGCTGTAGCTTCCATGGCCGGATGGAGGAATGAAAAAAGAAAAATAGATGTAGTGCTACCAACATAAAGTTGGTATACACTAGTTGCAGTTATACACTTTGGCACTTTTTTGCATACCATGAAAATAAGATATATTAATACTCCCTATGAATCTTGTCATCTTTAGCTAGAGAGCAATCAAAACAGAAGCAATCAGGCCACATTGTAATCTGAGAGAAAAATGTGGGTGTTGAGAAGAAGAAATGACAGAACAGCCAGTTGGCTTTGACTTACTGGCAGTATTTATAGTCTACAGACTGCAGGACAGCCAAGTAGTGGAAATCCGGTTACACTTATAAATACGTTTTAATGCTACTTAGCAGATCAGTTCGTCAGTAGGAAGTTACAGCAGCACCACAGATATAGATCAAAATGACTTTCACCCAAATATCTAACCGTGAATGTGCTAAATACAGGTTTTTGTTGGGAAGTTGAGTTGAAGTACACTGTAAAAGAGTTCTGATATGAATGCATGCAAGAAGTTTAAAGCAGGTACACAAGCAACATGTCATTATATGTGACGTTATTTGCAGTAACACATGGCCTCAAATGTTTGACTGGTTTGATACGACTGCTTTGCAAAGTAAAGAAAAAAGTTCATTTTTCCCAACAGACCTGCAGTTCCTAACACAGGCATGAGGGTGTGAGGATCTGTGGCTCTATGATATATTTGTGCAGTGCAATGGTTTTTAAACTGGTTCTCAGGAACTCTGACTCTCTGTGTTGGTGGTTGGTCTGGGGGTGCTAAAGACCAGTTTAAGCATCACTGGTGTAAAGCATGCTAGATACTATAATGAGAAAACACTGTGTAGAGGGCTACAATGGCTGAATGAACCAAATCACGTCGTGCAGTGTGGCATAATTGGATTAGGGGGACATAACAAGTGCAACCCTGTCTCAGAGCTCTGTGTTAGATATGTGCAGAGCCAGTCCTGATCTCTCTGGGCCTCTAAGCAAAATTCTGCAAAGGGCCCTCCTACCTGACCCATGATCCATGTAAACCATTCGCAATTGCCACATAGTCACACCTGACACCTCTGAGCTCCCACTACATTCCTCCCTCCTTTAAAACAGTGGTTATCTTTTCCGAACTGCAGTTTGTAAACACCGGTGCCCACTGGATTTAATCAAACGTAATAAATAGGTGTATTTTACTCTCACTTTTTTGTTACTTGCTGACATCAAACATGGAGAGGAGAGAGTTTACCTGATTGATGTTCCTGCAATTCACTCTTTCTTGGTGTTTTTTTTTTTCCATGATAGTTACTCTTCATTCTCTCATCAAAGTATTTAATAATAAGCAGCTGTGACACCTGAGGGCCGCGGGACATAATTTGCTGGGCCCTTTGTAACGTGTTGTGAGCATATGGAGCCGATCAGCTCTGAATGTGAGAAGCAGTAATGGCTGTTTAGGAAATGGTGGTGATTTTTTATAGCAGTGTTTCAGTGCACAACAATGTGCTCGCACTTCTGACATACGTAGCCATTAATATTGTTTTATTTTTATTTAATAGTAATAGTAAATGGAGCTTTTGCAATTTGTAATTTGCTTAAATTTCTGTTCACACTTGCTACACCGCCAGTCAGAGACTCACTATTTTAATAATAATTTATGGCTTATCATAACATCATGTCCAACAGCTTTCTTGATACAAAATGCGCATCACAATATTTAGTTTTTCACAGATTTGATAAGCTGGAACTAAGAAAAATCCTCATTTGAAAAATAGAAAAAAAATCAAAAACTATAAATACAATGATTTTTATTCAGTGTTTCACTCATTGCACTAAATCCAATTAATCATTACTAATTATAATCTCTTTGTAAATAAACATGCAGTTGGTCAGTGTTGTTATAATAATGTATCGTCATAGTGTCCAGCCGAGCAGCCCTAGTGAAACATTTACAACGGTGACAATATATTGTAACGTTCTGCTACTGGCTTGTTCAGCCATGGACACTTGGGAGGCATGGCCATGCAGAGCACCATGGGAGCGTCAGACTCGCAATAAAAGACTTAAATTTGTAAATAAGTGGTTGATGTTCAGTTGATGAGGTGCAGCAATGTTATATGTGCTGTATTGTTCTGCATTGTGGGGAAGTTTGGTGGGTCTGTATATCTACTGTAGACTATAGTTATGTGGCTATTGGTGACTTGCCTGCTTCCAGGCAGTATTAGCTACTGCTGCTGTGTTCAATAAAAGAGTATTTGCCTAAAGCTCTATGTTTCCTGGGTCATCTTTTTCACTAACACCGCAATATGAACTTTGTATTCACTCAGGTTATTGACCCTTACCTGTTTTCTCTCTCTCTCCTCTGCAGGTATTTTCTGCTCAGAGTCGTCTGAGAAATGCGTGTCGTCTCCGTGTCAGAATGGAGCGACGTGTGTGGACACAATGGACGATTATGTGTGTCTGTGTGCATGGGACGGTGTGCGGTACATGGGGAAGGACTGTGAAGAACTGTACGACGCCTGTGTGTTTGTGGACTGTGAGGGCTGCACGAGTGAGCTGGGCACTGACCAGTTCACCTGTCCAGCAGAGGTGGATGAGTGTGCGAGTGGGCCTTGCATAGGCGTTCGGTCTGAGTGCATAAAAGAACCGGATGGATTCTCCTGCTTGTGCCCGGATGGGTTCGGAGGAGAAGACTGTGTTGCACGCATTACTGACTGCGTGGACGAGCCCTGCCTAAACAACGCCACCTGCAGGCGGCAGCTGGACGGCTTTAGGTGTGAGTGCGTTCCAGGGTTCCGCGGAGAACGCTGCGAGGAGGACATAGACGAGTGTGTGTCACAGCCTTGCCAGAATGGTGCAATATGCAAGGATGGAACCAATGAGTACCACTGCTTCTGCGTACCTGGTTACCAAGGTTACAACTGCGAGATCGACATTAATGAATGCGCATCCCGACCGTGTGAGAACAATGGAACCTGCATCAATGGAAAGGACCGCTACATTTGTGAGTGCCTCCTGGGATACACAGGTAACGAGAAGAGTCTTCATATTTAGTTCTGTAATGACTGTTGGAGAATTAAAATGACATATACGTCATTTTTTTGTTTTTTTTTATACGATTAACTACATGAAATAGTTTTTTGTCTGTTTTATGTCCACACACCATTTCCACTTGTTGTAGTCCAGTAATTGTGAGACAGTCCCTAACACTGAACATGGAAAGAAACACAGTGATAGCTTAAAAGAAAAAGAACAAAATAAAAGCACAGCTCAGTAGAAGTTGCGGTTGTAGATTACTGTCATCTTTAGCACAAAACTAAAATTAATTTAATAAGAAAAAAATGAATTTTGAACATCAAACAGATTGCACCGTCCAAGCCTGTGATGTCTGTAGCCGCTTAGCTTAGCCTGAGACTGATAGCATTTTTCTGTCTGATGAGTCAGCAGACAGTTTAAGTTTTAAGGTTTATTACATGCATTACATCAATACAGTACACCAATACGGTGCACTTATACAGTACACTAAAACAGTAACCTATTATAGTGCATTAATACTTTACACTAATATAGTTCATTAATACATTACACCAATACAGTACACTAATATAGTTCATTAATACATTACACCAATACACTACACTAATATAGTTCATTAATACATTACACCAATACAGTACACTAATATAGTGTGCTAATACATTACATTAATACAGTACACTAATATGGTGCATAATGCAGTACACTATTATAGTGCACTAACATATTACACTAATATAGTACATTAATACAGTACACTAATATAGTACACTGTTATAGTGCACTAATATATTACACTAATATAGTGCACTAATACATTACACTAATACAGTACACTATTATAATATACTAATACATTACACTAATACAGTACATTAATATAGTGCACTAATACATTACATTAATACAGTACACTGCCTGATGCAACAGCAGATAGTTTAAGATTTATGGTTCAAGTCTAAGATTACAGTATTACGCTGTCGTCATTGTAATGAAAAAACATTATATTTAATACAGCAACTACCTCTGCTATTACTGTAAATGTGGTAGCCTGGTATCCTAAATAATATAAATAGCAGGTAAACATTTAAAAATGAGGTACATAAGCACAATATCTTGATGATGACCCTCAGTCTGATATACATTGCTGATAAATTTGTGTTTTTTTCCTGAAAATCATTTTCTGAAACATTTCTTTGGCGTTTACGAGTCACTCTCATGTTTTCTAACGTTGTGAATCATTTCTGTCGTCTCCTTTTTGACTATATGTAGGAACGAACTGTGAGGTGGAGGTGGATGAGTGTGAGTCAGACCCATGTGAGAATGGAGCTACCTGTAATGACCTGATGGGTTTGTACACCTGCGACTGTGTGAAAGGATTCAGTGGCCTCAACTGTGAGATCAACATCGATGAGTGTGAGAGTGCACCGTGTCAGAATGGAGGCACCTGCCACGATCTGGTCGACAGGTAAAAACAACGATCTTGTCTATACTTACACAGACAAACACGTATGTTTTTTATGTTTTGGTCTTTTTTGGCCTTTTCTCTGGGTGGGTAGGGTGGTCCTGTCTCTCTCTGTGTGGGTAGGGTGGTAATGTCTCTCTCTCTCCCCATCAACCAGCAAGATGGTAGCCAATGTGGCCACCTGTAAGCTAACGTAACAGAATTAGCCATTAACATTCTCCTCTAAATGTGTTTACCTTGTGTCATGTGTTTTAGAGGAATCTCGTGCTAGCCTTCACCCTCCCAGCTTGGTAGCTTTGTGTGACAGAGGGAGACCTAGCTAACGGGGGAAATGGACAGGACTAATTGAAAAACATAGGGGAGAAAAATGGATAAATAATTATGCCTTTTGTACTGAAACAGACTTATCTTAACCTGTTTACACTAATATATTGCACTAATAGAATACTTTATGGTACAGTAATACAATGCACTAAAATGGTACACTAATACAGTGCACTAATACAGTACATTAATATGATGCACTAATACAGTACACTAATACAATACATTAATATGAAGCACTAATACAGTGCACTAATACAGCACACTGATATCATACATTAATACAGTGCACTAATACGGTACATTAATATGACACACTTATACAGAACACTGATATCACACATTAATACACTGCACTAATACAGTATACTAATATGATACACTAATACATTTCACTTGTGTGGTGCACTAATAGGAATGTTGATGTGTTTGTGTGTAGTTTTGAATGCGACTGTGGGGACTCTGGATTCATGGGTGATGTTTGTGAGGAGGACATTCCTGAGTGTGCATCGGACCCCTGTCAGCACGGAGCCACCTGTGTCGAAGGGACTAATGGATACACCTGTACCTGCTGGCCAGGTAAGACACTCACACACACACACAGAACAGGTGTTTATGAAGCTATAACTGTGGAAATAATGACAGATGTATAAAGACATAAATCATACATAAACCCGTGTGCATTTATTGCTATACTTGTTAAGATTACTTGTTAAAATATATTAAGACTGTCAAACAATTAACATAATCACATTATATTGTGTAGTTTATCGTGATTAATCTCATTTGTTTTATTTACTCAGATTTGACTCAAAAATATACTTTCCATTCATGAAGCAGTGTATTGTGTTGTAGCTGTATGAGTTTACAAAAACCTCTTTAAAAAAAGCCAGCTGGTTCCCAAATGGTGCAGATCAGGAGTGCCCACTCTGATCCGCAGAGGGCATGGCTACAGGTTTTCAATCCAACAAAGCAGGAATACCTGATTAACTGTTCGACCACCTGATTAAACATGTATAAACCAGTGAGCTCCAGCCGGATTGAGATGAAAACCTGCAGCCACAGCAACCTCCTTTAAATAGGATTGTCGTCTTCCTGCTGTAGAAAAGTGAAGATTTTTTCAAATGGGAGTGACAGTATATTTTTCTGTGTGTGTGTGTGTGTGTGTGTGTGTGTGTGTGTGTGTGTGTGTGCAGGTTTCAAGGGGCTGAACTGTGAAGTGGATGTTGATGATTGTGCTGATTCTCCCTGTGAGAATGGAGGCGAGTGCTTTGAGAAGTCTGACCCCACAAACTGGGATACTGAGTGGACCTTCAGTTATGCTACAGCCGCAGGATATGTGTGTCAGTGTCAGCCAGGATACACAGGTAGCATTCACTATTTACTATTCATTCATTATTTACTATTATTCTTAAATGTGGAAACTACTAATCTCAACTCCGAAAACGTCGGGATGTGTGTAATGCTAACAAACAGAAAAGGGTAATGTGTAAATCCACTTTAACCTGAATTTTGAAAAAACAATACAAAGATAAATTATTTACTGTTTTATCTTATCAACTTCATTGTTTTCTCATAAATATAAGCGCTGATCTTTAAAAGATGGTGGTGGGACGGGCGTCCAGCTTATGTGTCTCAGAACACAACGTCTTCGTCTCTGCCTTCTTTGTGAAGGACATTTTCCTGAGTCTGACATCATTTTAAAGCAATTAAAAACAAAAGCGCTGCTCACTGCTGCTCATCTCACTCTGACTGGACTCACGTGATGCTGTTTGTCATGGTAACGTCTACACTAAGTGGTTCTATGTTGAACGACTACTTTTCCTTTAGGTTGAATATGAAAATTTGGGGAAAGATGAATATGACAATGTGTTTGTTAATGTGTTTTTGTTGACAGGAGAGAACTGCTCCGTAAACATTAATGAATGTGTGTCGGAGCCGTGTCAGAACGGCGGGACATGTGAGGATTTGGTGAACGGATACGTGTGTTTGTGTGCAGATGGATTCACAGGTAAGAATTATGTGTGTCATAAAGACACTGATCGGTCTCTGGACAAGGAATTAGGCATGATTTAATGACGTGAATGTATTGCACAAAGCCCTAACTGAGAAACAGGTTATATCTTCGCTTGTGAGATGACAAACGCTGTCTCTGTTCTCTGTTTTGCCCAGGTGTGGAGTGTGAGGTGGACATAGACGAGTGTGAAAACGCCCCGTGTCTGAACGGTGGAGTGTGTGAGGATTTAGTGGCTGACTACCTGTGTCACTGTCAAGAGCCTACAGAGGGCCTCCCGGCCTGGGGAGGGCGCCAGTGTGCAGTGGAGCTGCTTGGATGCCTCGACCACCAGTGTCAGAATGGAGCCACCTGCACGCCTTGGCTGGATGGGGAGGAACACAGGCACACCTGCCTGTGCGCACCTGGTTTCTCTGATGACTTTTGCTCCACCCCCACCACATTCTCCTTCTCCCAGCCAGGCTATTTCCTGTTGGAGGTTCCTGTGGATGAGCGGAAGAAGCGCTCTGTGGAAACGGAGCGCCCCCTGCAGGTGTGTCTGCGCTTTCGCACCACGCTGTCTAACAGGCTGCTTTTCTTCCGGGGCAGCACTGACCACTTCTTGATCCTTGAACTGGTGGAAGGTGCTCTGCGAGCATGGGCAGAGTCCAGAGAAGACGGAGTCTCATTACAGATCACTTCCTCTGGATTGGTGAATGATGGTAGTTGGCATAAAGTGTGCGTGAGCGTTGCCGTGGCACCAGTTGAGCAAGCAGAAATTGTGCTGGAGATTAAAGGTGGTGGGTGTGGTAAAGAAGGCTGCAGGGCACAGCATAACACAGATCATGCCCCCTTCTTACAACACCACCAGCTCACACAAGTGTACGTGGGTGGAGCTCCGGAGGAGTACCTGAGCCTTACCAAGAGTGGGCGTGGCTTTGTGGGCTGTATGGAGGACCTCCTGGTGGATGGGCGGACCATCTTGCCACAGGGCGCAGAGGGGCCAGAGCTTGAGCTGGGCTGCAGTAAGAGGGAGTGGTGTCAGGAAGAGCCTCACCCCTGCAGTTACCATGGAGACTGCATTGATCTCTGGACTAGCTACAAGTGCTCCTGCCACAGACCATATTATGGACAAGACTGCAGCCAAGGTAACTAAAGACCTGTTTACACTTGACATTAATGTCAGGGGGATATTTCACAAAGCATGATTTCTCAGTTAGTCAGATAACTTAAGCCTAATGATGAAAACTGTCCATTAATGTCCTTCAGCTTGTTTCCTATTGGACAGGCTTAACTTTGGGGCTTATTTGTCTTGCTAAACTGAGAAATCCTGCTTTGTGTAATAGCCCCCACCAGGTCGTGGTTGGTATAGTGTAGTGGGTAACACCTCTACATTCTACGCTGTAGATTGGGGTTCAATCCCCCTACCTGGGCTCTACACTATACCAATAAGAGTCCTTGGGCAAGCCTTGCAATACTACCTTCCTCTACCAATGTAAAATACCAATAAATGTTTGCTGTGTCCAGAGAAACAGCTTTATATTTTATTTTCTCAGAAGGACTAAGACTTTTGCACAGTATGACATCCTGCTTGCTCTGAGAGCCACATCACATTTACATTATAAGCTTGTTCACCTAAGAGATCCCCTCTTCTCATTATGGTCAAATGAATACACCACGCTTATAAGTACCTATCTGATTTAGGAGCACATATGAAAACAGCTTTAATTCAGTTAGAAAAGATCTGATTTTTGTGTTCTGCTCTAAATAAACTGATCCTTAAACATATTTAGACAAAAAATGAGATCTGTTATACTTCATCCCTGTAATAAGAATACAAGTATGAATATAAGCAAACACACACAGAGCCCTCCACCCTTTAAAATTAGTCTTCAGTTCTAATGACATCAGACTGTGGACTAAATCTAATAAAATCAAACCTCAACACTCACACACAGTCACTCTCTGAACTCTCTCTCTCTCTCTCAGAGTTTTCCTCTTGGACGTACGGTCACGAGAGCTCAGCGAGTTTCAGCTCATTCAACCTGCTGGCAGGTCATGGTGAGAATTTCAGCATCTCCTTCTTCCTGCGTTCGCTGAAGCCAGACGGAGTTCTGCTGCAGCTGCAGGAGGCGGAGTCGGGTGGGACTGAGGAGGCGGAGCCGTACCTCACTGTGTACCTGCAGATGGGGCGGGTGCAGGTGAACGCAGTGGGGCAGAGCGTGAGGTCCCCTGTGTTTGTGTGTGATGGACACAAACAGGAGCTTCAGGTGGAGCTACAGCAGGGCGACGTGTTCTTCAGCCATGCAGGGTTCAATTATCACCTCGGTTCTGTGACCCCTGTGACCCCGCAGGAGGGTGACATGGTGTATGTGGGGGGGCTGCCAGATGAGGGGATGGCGAGTGAGTGGGGTGGCCAGTTTAAGGGCTGCCTGCAGGATGTGAGACTGGACAATGTGCATCTGGACGTAGGTGCGTGGAACAACACTGCCAATGACACGGCATACGTCCCCAGCGACGCAGAAAACGTGCTGCATGGCTGCATCAGTGATGATACATGCAAGGTACACCAACGCAAACAGATTTCTGCATTATTTCCTGTTGGGTTCTATCATATAAAAATAGCATGTTTTGCTATGTTTCTCAAATGATTAAATGCAGTTTTAGAAATGTTGTTTAGATGAGAATCAAATGATAAACCAGCAAGTATTGCACCAAGGTCCTTGACTGTAGCTTTTGGTTTTACTGAACAACCACTGAGCTCTAGGGTGAAGTTAATGACCTTATCTTGAGCAGATTTAGTATCCGATGTCAGTACTTCAGTTTTGTCATGATTTAGGAGAAGACATTTTCTAAGTCATCCAGGCTTTAATGTCTTTAAAGTCTTGCATTCCTTTTTTGGGTGTGATTGTACTGTATCATCAGCATAAAAATGTAAACCAGTACTAGCTTTGTGGATTACACATCCCAAGGGGCTGTAAGTAGAGTGAAAACAATGGGGGGCCTAAAACAGAGCTTTGTGGGACACCATAATGCACTCTTTTAGGCTCTGAAAACTCTTCATTGACGCTCACAAATTGGTAATGATGGGTCAGATATGATCTAAACCAGGTAAGAAGTCTACAAATTAACATTTTTATTATTAGTAGTGTCAAATGCTGTACTTGGATCTAACAGCACTGTAACAGAAACACATCACTTTCACAACATGATGTGTATTATTCCTACTTAGGAAAGAATAAAGTTGTTGGGCAGCAATTTCTCTAAAATGTCTCTTGACTATGCCCAATCTGGGAGCAGCACAGCATCGCCAGCAGATCAGCGCCACCTTGGGCAGTGGAGGTATACCTAGACAGTATTGATTCCAGAGCACACGTTTGTCTAGAAGACAGCTTCATGGTACAGAGCTAATTATAACCAAATTCATCACAGCACTTTTTAGGAGATGCATGATCTCACATCTATATAACTGTGAAATGTTATGACATATTATCTCATAGTTGTATGAAATCGTATCTTAAAAATACAAGACACCTCCTACAGGATCTATCGCAGAAGATGTCTGATAATATTATATTATCTGATCATTATCAACTACTAATATTAATAATAAGTCAAGATAGAAACATTTTGCTTATATGACTTAAAATGGAGAAGAGCCTTTGTCATGACAACAAGTAAAATGTCCCCACAAGAGTAGATGTTTATGTGAAAAATATGTATTTATCGACTCCTCTCAAGGTATTTTTCCCACAACTTTATTAAACCTTAATTTTTCTTTCTAAAAAATTCATCAGCATGGAGGAAACATCTCACTGTAGTTGTGGAGGCTCCAGGATCCAAACAACTCCTACAACTGTTTAAATGTTCAGCAGTTTCTGTTTTCACTCTCAAAACTCCCAGTGACTCGAAGATTATTTATTTTGTTTTATTCACTTTTTAATAATCACTAATGAACTTACTAATGAAACTAATTAGCATCAAAAATGAGCTGAATGTATGAGAACACTGAAGTCAGGTCTGAAGTCCGTACTAAATCAGCTGCTCTGTGTTGGTTTGTGTGGAAGGCAGAGCCGTGTATGAACGGAGGAGAGTGCTCCATCACCTGGAACGATTTCACATGTTCGTGTCCGCTGAACTTCACAGGGAAGACATGTGAAACCCGTGTGTGGTGCGTCAGTGATCCGTGTGTAAACGGGGGGCTCTGTGTGGATCTGCTGGACGGATTTGAATGTAAGTTCTTCTCTCTACACAGAGCTCATCTGAGACTCACTGGTCTCTGAGATGTAGGAAAATGAGCAGGTGACTCTCAGGTCTTCACTTTATTTTAGGGCTAAAGCTTTTTATGGTGAGGTTTAGGGTTAGATTATGGTCAGGTGAGGTTTAGGGGTAGATTACGATCACGTGAGGTTTAGGGATAGATTATTGTCAAGTGAGGTTTAGGGTTAGATGTAGTCAGGTGAGGTTTAGGGTTAGATTATGGTCAAGTGAGGTTTAGGGTTAGATTATTGTCAAGTGAGGTTTAGGGTTAGATATGGTCAAGTGAGGTTTAGGGTTAGATTATGGTCAAGTGAGGTTTAGGGTTAGATATGGTCAGGTGAGGTTTAGGGTTAGATATGGTCAAGTTAGGTTTAGGGTTAGATTATGATCACGTGAGGTTTAGGGTTAGATTCTTTTCAAGTGAGCTTTAGGGTTAGATATGGTCAGGTGAGGTTTAGGGTTAGATTATGGTCAAGTGAGGTTTAGGGTTAGATATGGTCAGGTGAGGTTTAGGGTTAGATATGGTCAAGTGAGGTTTAGGGTTAGATTATGATCACGTGAGGTTTAGGGTTAGATTCTTTTCAAGTGAGCTTTAGGGTTAGATATGGTCAGGTGAGGTTTAGCATTAGATTATGGTCAGGTGAGATTTAGGCTTAGATTATTGTCAAGGGAGGTTTAGGGTTAGATATGGTCAGGTGAGATTTAGGATTAGATTATGGTCAGGTGAGGTTTAGGGTTAGATATGGTCAGGTAAGGTTTAGGGTAAGATTATGGTCAGGTGAGGTTTAGGGTTAGATATGGTCAGGTAAGGTTTAGGGTAAGATTATGGTCAGGTGAGGTTTAGGGATAGATTTTGGTCAAGTGAGATTTAGGGTTAGATTATGGTCAAGTGAGATTTGGGTTTAGATTATGGTCAGGTGAGATTTGGGGTTAGATTATGGTCAGATGAGATTTAGGTTTAGATATGATTGGTAAAATTTGGGTTAGATTATTTTCAAGTGAGATTTAGGGTTATATTATGGTCAGTTGAGATTTAGGGTTAGATTATGGTCAGGTGAGATTTAGGGTTAGATTATGGTCAAGTGAGGTTTAGGGTTAGATATGGTCAGGTGAGGTTTAGGGTTAGATATGGTCAAGTGAGGTTTAGCATTAGATTATGGTCAGGTGAGATTTAGGCTTAGATTATTGTCAAGGGAGGTTTAGGGTTAGATATGGTCAGGTGAGATTTAGGATTAGATTATGGTCAGGTGAGGTTTAGGGTTAGATATGGTCAGGTAAGGTTTAGGGTAAGATTATGGTCAGGTGAGGTTTAGGGTTAGATATGGTCAGGTAAGGTTTAGGGTAAGATTATGGTCAGGTGAGGTTTAGGGATAGATTTTGGTCAAGTGAGATTTAGGGTTAGATTATGGTCAAGTGAGATTTGGGTTTAGATTATGGTCAGATGAGATTTAGGTTTAGATATGATTGGTAAAATTTGGGTTAGATTATTTTCAAGTGAGATTTAGGGTTATATTATGGTCAGCTGAGATTTAGGGTTAGATTATGGTCAAGTGAGATTTGGGTTTAGATTATGGTCAGGTGAGATTTGGGGTTAGATTATGGTCAGATGAGATTTAGGTTTAGATATGATTGGTAAAATTTGGGTTAGATTATTTTCAAGTGAGATTTAGGGTTATATTATGGTCAGTTGAGATTTAGGGTTAGATTATGGTCAGGTGAGATTTAGGGTTAGATTATGGTCAAGTGAGGTTTAGGGTTAGATATGGTCAGGTGAGGTTTAGGGTTAGATATGGTCAAGTGAGGTTTAGCATTAGATTATGGTCAGGTGAGATTTAGGCTTAGATTATTGTCAAGGGAGGTTTAGGGTTAGATATGGTCAGGTGAGATTTAGGATTAGATTATGGTCAGGTGAGGTTTAGGGTTAGATATGGTCAGGTAAGGTTTAGGGTAAGATTATGGTCAGGTGAGGTTTAGGGTTAGATATGGTCAGGTAAGGTTTAGGGTAAGATTATGGTCAGGTGAGGTTTAGGGATAGATTTTGGTCAAGTGAGATTTAGGGTTAGATTATGGTCAAGTGAGATTTGGGTTTAGATTATGGTCAGGTGAGATTTAGGTTTAGATATGATTGGTAAAATTTGGGTTAGATTATTTTCAAGTGAGATTTAGGGTTATATTATGGTCAGTTGAGATTTAGGGTTAGATTATGGTCAGGTGAGATTTAGGGTTAGATTATGGTCAGTTGAGATTTAGGGTTAGATTATGGTCAGGTGAGATTTAGGGTTAGATTATGGTCATATGAGGTTTAGAATCAGATCGTGGTTGAGTAAAGTTTAGAGTTAGATTATGATTGGTAAAGTTTTGTTGGCAATATTGTTTATTGCTGGATATATTGTTTTATATATGTGTACTAATATCTATATACATTGCATACATGGGTCCTTATTACATACAGAGACTTACATATATATATATATATATATGGGACATATTTTATATAGGCAATTTTATATTTGTGTATTTGCATACTATTATGAATATTATTATTAATATTAATATTATTATTATTATTATTATTCTATAATAATAATAATAATAATTATTATTATTACTACATAAAGGCTCTTTAAAGGCACAGTGGTGTAACAGGTCTAAATTTTTCTTCACAGGTGTAGCTAACGCTACCTTCGATAACTCCCCCCTCCACTACACTGCTAAAGGCTCTCTAGTGGCTCCGGTGACCAACATCACTATTGATCTACGCACACGGCAGGAGAACAGTGTGCTGCTGCGAGCCTGGAGGGGGGCGGAATTTCTCCTGATTGGTCTGCTGGACGGCACGGTGAGGGCAGAGCTACACGGAGAGAACAGCCTGGAGCCGGTGGCATTTTCTGGAACACAGCGCATCACAGATGGACGCTGGCATCACCTTGTGGTTGCCATGGAACATCCAGAGCAAGAGGCTTCGTCATGGGTGATCATGGTCGATGGCATCTCTGACGGCAGCAGTGCCCCAGAGCAGGCCGAAGCTCTGCGCTTCCTCAGCGACGTGACGAGCGAAGTGGCGCTGGCGGAGAGCTATGGTGGCTGTCTTGGTGTGGTCAGGGTGGGTGGAGTTTACCTGCCCTTCACTGATGATGTCGCACCACCGCAGGTGTTGCGCTTCCGTCGGCGGCGGGGTGAACGGGCACGGCTGGGATGTGTGGGCGCCCCCGTGTGCCGGCCGCAGCCCTGCCAGCACGGGGGCACATGTGAGGACTTATTCCACCTGTTCCGCTGTGCCTGCCCACCTGGCTGGGAGGGGCTCACCTGTGAAACCAACACGGACGAGTGCGCCTCGGGGCCCTGTCTCCACGGCAGCTGCAGGGACAAGCTTGGGGGCTTTGAATGCGAGTGTGAGCCAGGTTATGGTGGACCCACCTGCGCTCAGGACTTAGATGAATGTAAAGACTCTCCCTGCCTGAACAGAGCCACCTGCATGGATGGAGTCAATCAGTACACCTGCATCTGCAGACGTGGCTACAGCGGCAAACACTGCCAGTGAGAACATCCTCTCTCACTCTCTGTAATTCTACATTCAGGGCCAGATATACACTATATTGCCAAAAGTATTCACTCACCCATCCAAACCATTGAATTCGGGTGTTCCAATCACTTCCATGGCCACAGGTGTATAAAATCAAGCACCTAGGCATGCAGACTGCTTCTACAAACATTAGTGAAAGAATGGGTCGCTCTCAGGAGCTCAGTGAATTCCAGCGTGGTACCGTGATAGGATGCCACCTGTGCAACAAGTCCAGTCGTGAAATTTCCTCGCTACTAAATATTCCACAGTCAACTGTCAGTGGGATTATAACAAAGTGGAAGCGATTGAGAACGACAGCAACAGAGCCACAAAGTGGTCGGCCACGTAAAATGACAGAGTGGGGTCAGCGGATGCTGAGGCGCATAGTGCGCAGAGGTCACCAACTTTCTGCATAGTCAATCACTACAGACCTCCAAACTCATGTGGCCTTCAGATTAGCTCAAGAACAGTGTAGAGAGCTTCATGGAATGGGTTTCCATGGCCGAGCAGCTGCATCCAAGCCTTACATCACCAAGCGCAATGCAAAGCGCCAAATGCAGTGGTGTAAAGCGCCGCCACTGGACTCTAGAGCAGTGGAGACATGTTCTCTGGAGTGACGAATCACACTTCTCCATCTGGCAATCCAATGGACAAGGAGTTGGGCTCGGCCCCTTAGTTCCAGTGAAAGAAACTCTTAATGCTTTTGGACAATTTCATGCTCCCAACTTTGTGGGAACAGTTTGGAGATTGCCCCTTCCTGTTCCAGCATGACTGGAAGAACTTGACTGGCCTGTACAGAGTCCTGACCTCAACCTGATAGAACACCTTTGGGATGAATTAGAGCAGAGACTGCAAGCCACAAATGCGCTTCTGGAAGAATGGTCAAAAATTCCCATAAACACACTCCTAAACCTTGTGGAACGCCTTCCCAGACGAGTTGAAGCTGTTAAAGCTGCAAAGGGCGGGCCGACATCATATTAAACCCTATGGATTAAGAATGGGATGTCACTCAAATTCATATGCGTGTGAAGGCAGACGAGCGAATACTTTCGGCAATATAGTGTACGTACGAGCACAGGCACAATGTGCCTCGATGCAACAGCAATATGAGCCCACAGTGCACCTGAAATTAAACAGGAATTCCAGCAGTTTTTTTCTTTACAGTGGTGGTGATAAGAACCAGGGGTCGCCATGACTACAACACAAATATAGACATTTTATTTACTATCCAAAACCACCAGTGAATCTACACAAGTCTTCTGAATTTATATGGAATGTTGATGATTAAAATAGTGGAAAATCTGAAATAATAAGTTTTCTTTGGGGACTATTTTGCCTCACAGCGCCCTGCATGTATCCCTCCACCATGAATGGAGTTTAAGTTCTCAAAACTATCATAAAACAGTGTTTCAGTCATCAGGCAGTGAATTCATAACCATTTCATGTAATAGCTTCCTGTGAATAGAGGTAGACGTCTGTTTCCTATCACCACCACTGTGAACAGTTCTGACTCAGTAAGTTTCTCTAGAATGGAGCATTTTACACTAAACCACTGTTAACTTCGTTGACATTTTGGACAATCTTCCCTGTAAATGTGACTGTATGAGAGAGAAGCGCATTCTGTCCATACTGACAGCTCTAAACTGCAGCAGTTCTGTTTATAATATATATTCATTGCCCTTCAGGTGGAACCATCCTCCTCAGAAGTGTGAGAACCTAGAGTGTGAAAATGGTGGAGTGTGTCGAGATGCGCTGTGGGGAGCCGAGTGTATCTGCACACCAGGATTCACTGGACACAGGTATGTCCACTCACGCCTGATCTTTAAAATCCTGTTAAAAATGTCTTTCTGCAGCTTCAGACACATTAAAGTCTCAGCTATGGATTTTTGGATGTGTGGTGACATTTGTAGCACAAAGCATAGAAAATATTTTTATCAATGTCATAACTTAATTTTACATACACAATGAAAGTGTAAATATAATGAACTGATGCCAGTTTTGTTCACGTCCCACACCTTAGTGTTAAATCTTCAGATGCATAAAAAGTGAATACTAAATTACAAAAATACATTTATTCTGTTGTTGCGTTATTTGATTTTCTATAAATATGTCTGACCTACATTTATACATCCACAACAGTGGCTGATAAAACGTTATTTCAAAGCCAGACCTGCCTACTGTCAATGAAATCATAAAGAAACATAATAAATCAGTCACTAAAGTGTGGAAACCTAATGTAGGAGTCTCCAGATTCATCAAAAGCAAATTAAATATCATCTATTCATATTCAGTATATTCTGCAAGTCATCACTGTTAATTTATAACTAATGCATTCTGAATTAGACCTTTAAACTAGGCTAATGTAACAGGCTAATGTAACATGCTAATGTAACTGACTAATATAAAAAGAACAATGTAACAGGCTAATGTAATACACTACTGTAGCATGTTAACGTAACAGGCTTATGTAACATGCTAATGCAGCAGGCTAATGTAATGGGCTAATGTAACAGACTAATATAATAGCCTAATGTAACAGGCTAATGTAATAGACTACTGTAGCATGTTAATGTAACAGGCTAATGTAACAGACTAATGTAATAGACTACTGTAGCATGTTAATGTAACAGGCTAATGTAACAGACTAATGTAATAAACTACTGTAGCATGTTAATGTAACAGGCTAATGTGACACGCTAATGCAGCAGGCTAATGTAATGGGCTAATGTAATACACTACTGTAGCATGTTAACGTAACAGGCTAACGTAACAAGCTAATATAACAGGCTAATGTGACACGCTAATGCAGCAGGCTAATGTAATGGGCTAATGTAATACACTACTGTAGCATGTTAACGTAACAGGCTAATGTAACAGACTAATGTAACAGGCTAATGTAATGGGCTAATGTAACAGACTAATATAATAGCCTAATGTAGCAGGCTAATGTAATAGACTACTGTAGCATGCAACAGGCTAATGTAATGGGCTAATGTGTAATGGGCTAATGTAACAAACTAATATAATAGCCTAATGTAACAGGCTAATGTAACAGGCTAATGTAATAGACTACTGTAGCATGTTAATGTAACAGGCTAATGCAACAGGCTAATGTAATGGGCTAATGTAACAAACGGATATAATAGCCTAATGTAACAGGCTAATGTAACAGGCTAATGTAATAGACTACTGTAGCATGTTAATGTAACAGGCTAATGCAACAGGCTAATGTAATGGGCTAATGTAACAAACTAATATAATAGCCTAATGCAACAGGCTAATTTAATAGACTACTGTAGCATGTTAATGTAACAGGCTAATGTAATGGGCTAATGTAATACACTACTGTAGCATGTTAACGTAACAGGCTTATGTAACATGCTAATGCAGCAGGCTAATGCAGTGCGCTAAAGTAACAGACTAATATAACAGCCTAACGTAACAGGGTAATGTAACAGGCTAATGTAATAAACTACTGTAGCATGGTAATGTAACAGGCTAATGTAATGGGCTAATGTAACAAACTAATATAATAGCCTAATGCAACAGGCTAATTTAATAGACTACTGTAGCATGTTAACGTTACAGGCTTGTGTAACACGCTAATGCAGCAGGCTAATGTAACAGACTAATATAATAGCCTAACGTAACAAGCTAATATAACAGGCCAATGTAACAAGCTAATGCAACAGGCTAATGTAACAGACTAATGTACCAGACTAATGTACCAGATTAATGTACCAGACTAATGTACCAGATTAATGTACCAGATTAATGTACCAGATTAATGTAAGAACGTGTTAGTGTAAAAATAAATTAATCCCTAAACATTTCAACATGATTCACTTATTGAAGTTTGCACATTTTCCACAGTATATATTCCTTGTATTGACTAATTGGCGATAGAGCCGTATTTACTGAGCTCGATGTTGTTAAGCAGGTGTGTCAAACTAGGGAAAATATTCCAGGCCAAAGTGCAGTGGACATTAATCTTTACCTTCATCTAACGCTCTTTATTCAGTTCATGAAGGCCTCACTAATTGGCTGAATGAGGCAGTGAGCTGAAGTCTGCAGTTTTTGGCCCACAAGGACAGGAGCCTGACATGTGCTTTAAAGCCTCCACACTGAACTGTTCTGTATGCGAGTGTTGAGCCGTGCGGGACACTGAGGACGTCCTGAAGTAAGTGTATGAGCGGTTTCTGTGTGCAGGTGTGAGACGGAGATTGACGAGTGTTTGTCCAGTCCGTGTCTGAATGGCGGGACGTGTCTGGATCGTCTGAGCTTCTTTCAGTGTGTGTGCGCTGCAGGGTTCAGTGGACCGTACTGCGAAACTAACGTACGTTGAACTAAACATCCCTCATTAACACTGTACTGACCATCGACATACATATCAGAGACCTACATGTCTAATGATGTCTTTCTATACAAGACACATGAAGAGACATGGGCACATATCGGTTCTTCCTCTATGTGCAGTAAAATGAATGGCTGACTGTGGATATGAATACATAATCAAATCACTGTCAGTCTGATTACTAATATTAAACTATTAATCTCTGTGATACTAAAGATGTCTGTTTGTGTTTATGTTTATATGTGTATATGCTTGTATGTTGTTTTTATTATTAGTATTATTATTATTATTATTAGTATATTATGTCATTATTATATTAGTAAATGTATGTATATATTACATTATATTTAAATATGTGTTTATGTCTGTTTATGGTCATGTCTGTGGCTGTGTCTCTATTGTGTCTGTTTGTGTTTATATTTGTTTGTTTGTGTTTATATCGGTGATTGTTTGTGTGCAGAAAGAGGCTCAGCGGGATCGGATGCCGTGGCTGGTGGTGGCGATTCCGCTGGCGTGCGGCTGCGCTCTCTTGGCTGTGATTGGTCTGATTTTCATACTGATGACGGCGCGCAGGAAGCGTCAGTCTGAGGGGGCGTACTCACCCAGCCAACAGGAAGTAGCAGGCGCTCGTCTGGAAATGGACAGTATGCTAAAAGTCCCTCCAGAGGAACGCCTCATCTAGGACACGCCAACATCCCCGTTCAATCAGAGCAAAAACATCTGATTTACGTAATTATCTCCAAATATAATATATAAACTGTTTATTAAAAAAATGAATGAAAATATAAACAGGCCTCCAGATGACTGCTAGTGTTATTAGCTATGCTAATGTCTGTTAGTCCCAATGGATGTATGCTGTATTAGCATAATGCATGCTGGGCATTTTAGTGAGAGAACCTTGTTGAGTGGAACAGAAAAGCCATAAATTCATGAATTGAACACCACGAATAACATATTAAACTCTAGTTTTGGTCACGATCACCACAACATGGCAGAGTTATAAGCCTTCATTACTTGTTAGCCACATTAGCCTTGTAGTTGCAGTGCTAAAACTGAAGAGGAACACATCTCTTGGCTGATGGACTAAATTTGGGGTAAATGGGGGGAGGGGGGCTATGAGCTGTCGCTTTAAACACTGCACAGGTTAGTGCTTTACCTGCTTTAATGTTCGTGGATAAGCTGATCATCTGCCCATCTTTTGGCGTCTGGTGCGGGAAACCAGAGACTTTAGCGCTGTTCCGGAATTTCTATTCCAAACCCACACAAACACAAACACCCTCCCTAACAACAATCATACACCAAAACCTATACAATCATAAAGCCATAAAATCATGATGAAGGGACGAATCATTTCAAATATGTAAATAGAGTGATCCTGATCCAAGTGCTGCTTGGACTCTACATACCTCACACCACAACCACGGTTCTACACTATTAATACATCATCACCCCCTACTGGACAGATTTTGAACTGCAATAGCAAATATTAACTTAAAATTGTGCTTATTTATGAAATGTAATTATTATGATTTTTAAAGGTGAAATACCAACAAAGGAATCAAAGTGTGTAAAACACACTGCGGGCCAGTCTTAACCTTAATAATGACATAATTACTGTAATAAATGTCATATTCTGGTCATTTTATTCAGGCTTCTTTACGGTAATAAACACCGTGTTCAGGTGTAAACAGTCATCAGGTGCAGTGTTTGATTTACATGGCGCCCAGATTGGCCAACTATTCTCCTTTTAATGAAGTCTTTAGTTCTGAAAAGATGAAACGGTCATTCAGTTTGTGGGGAATAATTGGAGGATAATTATTTATAAGATGATATTTCAGTGTGTGTTTGACTGTTTCAGTAACCCAGTTCTTGTTACAGAGCTGTGACTGTTCACCTCCTCTGCGGTACCTGATTAATGTTGAGTAGGTTTTTAATTGTTCTAGCTTGGTGTGAGTTTTAGGGGTTTCTGCTATGAATGTCCTCAGCTGTAATCGGTCATGATCCCCAAGCCACTGTGGTGCTAACACGGCCAAAAAAAATGAATGAACATTTTTCAACAGCACATACTGACACAGGAAGCAGTATATAGCTAATACAGCATATACCGATACAATATGCAGTATATACTGACATACAGTATATACCGATCATTATATGTACTGATGTATTGATGCAGTATGCAGTATATACTTGATACAGTATACATGAACTACTGATACAGTACACAGTATATATTCATACAGTATGCTATGTATATTGACACAGTATACAGTATATACTGATACAGTATGTGGTATATACTGGTACAATATACAGCATATGTCGATATACTATACAGTATATACAGTATATACGATACAGCATACAGTATATATTGATTCAATATACACTGATATATTATGCAATATATATTGACACTATGCAGTACATATTGATATAGTATATACAGTATACAGTACATACATTTAAACAGTATACGGTACATACTGGTAGAGTATATAGTATATATTGACACTGTGAAATGAAATGAAACTGTGTACAGTATATAGTGGTACAGTATGTACAGTGCCCTCACAACATCAACAAAAACGCATTTGTGGGTGGAGATGGATTTAATATTATTGGCAATTACTATGAGCATTTTCAAATACATTAATAAATACTAATGGGATTTCCAACATAAAATGAATATAATGTGAAATAAATGAAACGACTGAACTACATCAGTAGTGAAGTGATGACTGTTACCGAGTGTTGAATCTAGTGCAGGACAGGTTCAGGTGTTGGTGAGACTGTTTGGAGTTTCTGATTGTTGTAAATTGCTGAATCATGTATTGTTGTTTTATCACTGCTTTGTATTTTCTCAGCATTGGTTGTTTCACCATCAGTGTACGGTGTGCGCACACACACACAGGTTGTGGTGCACTCCACAGTTGTGCAGTTTTGTGAATGGTACTGTAAAGATGTTCTAGCTCTGTATTTTTCCATGTAAAAATGTGTACAAACCGCTGTAATAAAACTGTGTTGCTGTAATTGTGCTGACATCCTAACTGATAGAACCACCTCCATTCACTTTAAGCTGAGTTTTCTATATTGAGGAGTAAAACAGTATGATGACTTGAGAACCTTAAAAACATACACACACACACACATGCCAAGAAAGGAGTGATGCCACTGAAGAACCACTTTTATTCCCTGAACAACCTTTTTGCAAAAGGTAGGTTCTTTACCAATTAAAGGCTTTACCTAGAACCATACGATTCATTTTTTCTAGACTGCATACAGACGGCTTAACCCAAGTTTGCCCAGCCTTCTTACCTGCAGCTAAAATATTTCACTTCTAGCCATGTTCAGGTTTAGGTTGTGATGCTGCTGTAACTCCACTAGAGGTCCTCCTCTCCTCACTTAGCACTACTGCAGGTGCTCCTCACTGCAGAGCAGAGTTAAAGTGATGGGACGGCAAAATGGAATCAACACATTTTCAGAAATTCTTTACTGTCAGTCAGTGTTGATAAGTGACATAAACCTACATCAACAATTATAAAGCTTTATTATTACAATACAGGTGTTGTCTGTGATAAAGGCTGTTTGATGTGAAGTTGGTGTTGTTAATGCTGATGATGTGTACAGTGTTTATGTAGGTTTATGCCAATAATCATGATGAACACATGTAGGTGTGATGCAGCTTTATCAACACTGACAAGCGTTACTCACCTTTCTGACCCCAAATGTAGTTAATCAGCCGAACTGCAGCCTAAACCATCAAACTGTGTGGAGCTGTTCTGTAATCTCTAATATACTTGAATATGATGGTCATTTTAAAGCATGAATTTTGTCTGGATATGTTGACATTTAGAGATAAATATCAAAAACTACATAATTAAATATATTACAGATTATTTAACAACACCACACAGCTTAAATGAAGATTTATGGGTCAGGATGCTAATGGAGGGTATAAGCTTCCATCAGCCTTGTAGCTCCAGTGCTAAAACTAAAGAAGCAAACTTCAGACACCAAACACCTGAAACTGATGGACTGCGGCAATGCATAAAGTTGGGCAGATGTGTCTCATGGCACGAAGGTTTTACAACGATCAACACAAACTATGAACATACGGAGGCAAAAGGAAAATATGGTGGACCAGAAACGATGGTGAGAACCTCAGTGTACAACAGAGACTGTTTATAGATCTTCATCACTGTTCATCTCTGTGAATCCTGTGTGTTTCTGTAGAATGAGGTCTACCAGTGACTGTACCTTTACTTTCAGTCCACTGTTCTTCCTCTTTTGTCTTCTTACAAAGTGCTTTAACAAAAAAGTGCATTGAACTTGATGTGAAGGTTCCTCTGCGTTGAAAACACATCCTTTTTTTTAGTACTAAAGAGTCGTACTTGGTGTGAAGGTTTTAACAGTGTAAATAATGTGTGAGTGAGTGTCAACATCAATCGCTAAAATCTGCACAGCAGTGTGAGCTGAATGTGTGAGCCAGTTCTGTCCATCCTTGACCACTACATCATTTACTAGCTATAAAAAAAAAAGGAATGAGAAAAGAAAAGAGTCCGAATTTTCACAGGAATATAATATGTGCTCTTTAATGCTGACATACATTATACATAAAATCATACCATTCAAATAAAAACAAACTCAAAGTGCTTGATGATGATATAAACGAAAAACATGAGTTCACATTTCAAAAGGGCACAAATAAACCTGGGAATATTCAGACAACAAAAAAAGTGTGTTTTGAAGCTTCTGTCTGCAGCCTGGCTTTGTTCAGAGGGGTAAATACACCTGGCTCGCACTAACCTACACTAACAGAGCTGCTTTACTGACAGGTCTCAGGAAACAAGCTTTACGGCCTTTCTTTACAGAACGACGCTTCAATGTCCTTTAAGGCACCTTCACCAGTGAGCCTGCAGTGCTGCAGTGGGCCAGTAGAGGGCACCATGACTCTCAATCACTGACTGAATCTCCTCAGAGAGACTACATCAGCCTTCGCCTCCCACTCAAACTACTCTTAAAAGGAGTATCAGTGAAGTGGAGGACGCCTGACTAGCACTTCAAAGGGAGCTTCACTGATTTTTCATAAACTTATTATTTCAGATTTTCCACTATTTCCCATCATCAACATTCCATATAAACTCAGAAGACTCGTGTAGGTTCACTGGTGGTTCTGGATAGTAAATAAAATGTCTATATTTGTGTCGTTGTCATGGCGACCCCTGGTTCCTATCACCACCACTGTAAAGACATCTGAACCATTTCACACCAAACCACTCTGAATCACTCTGTTTACACCTCACACCCTCAATTATGGAGGAATTTAGAAAAATCACTGGAATTGCCCTTTCAGTCATCCCTCCTCACTGTACTAATCTGAAATATTGTGGTGTGATTTAACAGGGTTTACTGGTTTTAGCTGGTTTTAGTCAGGTTTACTGGTCAGCACTGGACTGGGTGGAACGGGTGCTTACCAGACTGTAATAAACACAACAGATTATGATGGTTACTGTACGTCTTACACTAAACGTGCTGAGATTCAGCACTAACGTCTGAGCTGAACGAGCGGCGACTCCTCACAGAATGCTCTAAACCCTAAACTACCACATCTCTTTGGACTGGTACAGAGATCTAAGACCACTGCTCACCTAACACTTTACATATTTTTTATTTAAATACAAGTCCTGCTTCTTCTATGTTCCGCAACAACCAGAACCAGAAAAAAGGCGCTGTACACCAACCTGTCCACTCCAGTTCATCCAGTCCAAACAATACAGAACCGAGAGTCTAACTTTGCTGTGTGTTTTCACTGAGCAGCACTGAGTGGACACAACAGACATCATGACTGATGAGCTACTGAGGACAACCTGCCCCAACTCTCACACAGTGACCCCAACCCAGCCCTCACCGTTTAACTCATTACTACGACATAATAACTACATGTAGAGCTGACGGTCAGCCAGCTGACCTCAGCAACTCAGCGGAGCTTGCTTTCAGAGCCTGTCACTTTTGCGGCTGCCGTCAGGGATCAGGATTAGGGTAAGGGATCAGGATTAGGACTAGGGATCAGGATTAGTGTTAAGATTAGTATTAGGGATTAGGATTAGTATTAGCGATCAGGATTAGTATTAGGGATCAGGATTAGGACTAGGGATCAGGATTAGTGTTAGGATTAGTATTAGGGATCATGATTAGGATTAAGGTTAGGATTAGGTTGAGGGATCAGGATTAATGTTAGGATCAGTGTTAGGATTAGTATTAGGGATCAGGATTAGGCCTAAGGGGGTTATAATCCAGTGCACCCCTTGCAGGAGAAGCTGTGGCTCAGTTTGAGTGAAAAGGTCATTATTAGGGCTGCAACTATCAAATGTGTTAATTTTATGATATTCTATCCAGTATTATCTTTAACATTCGAATATTCTGTAAGAATAAGAAAAAATTAAGATGTTTCATTTTTATTATTATTATTATTGTCATTATTATTTTATTATCGTTATTACACTATAACATTAATATTAATTATTATAAGAAATATTGATATAAAAACATCACTGATAGATAATTTTCATAGGAAGCAGCATAAAATGCTACCTAATCCTGCCCAATCTGGCAACGCTGAAGAAAGCACCTGTTTATCATTATCTTACAAACAAATACAACTTATCTGGTCAGGTGTGGTCAGTGTTTGATATTATCCAATATTTGTTGCAGCCTTAATTATCACAACGCAGATGTCTCAGAAAGATGCAATATGCAAATATAGATGTAGATCAATAAAGGCAAAATAATACTTTTGGTCAAATAATGCAGATCAATCTTTAAGCATATCATCACATTATTTATTCCCCACTGAAACTGCAACATAATTGCAATAAAAGGATTTTGTCCATATCATGCAGCCCTAGAGTCCTGTTTAGTGTCTCTGATATTTAGGCTACAAGGTGTGTAGTGGACGTTGTGTAGTGAATAGTGTGCTTTGTGTTATGTACTTTTATTTTGTAGTAATTTGAGATCAGATTTGACTTCAGGTTTAGGTTTATCAGTGAAAACTTGGTTAAGGGCTCTGGTTTTGGGATAGGACTACACGATAGTGTTATGAAGTCTGGGAAACACTGCAGCATCAGCTGAGGAAGGCGTCATAGTTTGTGTGGCACCTTAATCCAAACCCCTGACCTTCACACTGACCCTAAACAGCCGCTTCAGTGAGTACCTAACAGCACGATGTGATGAAGAAAGCCTGCAGAGGGGCGGATAGAAAGTTACACACCACAACAGCTACGCCATCAGAGTGGTAGCTATACAAACTGTACTATTAGTCTGGATGCTATTAGATAAATGCCGAGCTAAACTACTGTGAGCATGACCTTTCACCTTTCCACATTCTAGTAGACAGCACGCGAGGTCAGCCGAAGGCCTGATTTTGTCTGAGGTCAGTTCATAAACTCAGGGAAAACAAACAGCTGCAGTTTGAGCATTAGTGTACGCACACACTCACTCGCACACATGTAGCAGGGCGTTCAGGCCAGCAGAGGGCGCAGTCCTTTAAAAAAATACCCAGTGGTCAACAGACAAGTGCTGTCCCTCATTGGTCAGTAGCAGCAGTGGAGGTAAGGTGTGCTCAAGGCTAATCAAAAGTCTCCCACCTCCTCCGCAAGTCCTCCACTTTTTTCTTAGGGGGCGTGGACACACCGGTGGGCATGGTTGTCATGGTGAGCAGGTCACAGAAGGGGTCGTGAGGCGCGTCTACAGGTTTGGAAGGCGGCAGAGCCTGGCTCAGAGAGGGTGGGGCCGGAGAATCTAACAAGCTAGAGAGAGAGCTGCTGCTGTTGGAAGTGGGTGGGATTTTGGCAGGTGGCCACGCCCCACTCGCCTGAGTTCCACCCAAAGCAGAAGGCTGACCGAACACTGAGAGGGGGCGGGGGGGTGGAGCGTTGAAGTAAGTGCCAGTTTGAGGAGGCACGTAAGTGGAGCTGAAGGGGTTGCTGGGAGCGACAGGGCTGTAGTGTCTCTGGAGGGTGTACTGGGGGTGTTGTGTGAAGGGGTTGAGGGAAAGAGGGGGCGGGAACGTGGGCAGGGCAGGCCGTGGGGGGACAGGAGGTTTGGGAGGTGGGCGGGGTTCTTCTGCACCACTCAGAGGGTCCAGCAGGCTGAGCAAGTCGGGCTCTGCCTCCGCACTGGCTGGGCAGGGCTGTGACAAAGGGGACATGTTGAGTGCTTGTCGGAACTCCTGCCCCCCCGCACTCACACTTAGCCCCACCTCTTTGTCCCCCTGCTTCAGGCACTGCAGCAAGGTGACGGCTGGTGCCAACACCTTTCCCGGCTCGGGCGTTTTGCGGCCCTGAGGGCGTGGGATGGTTATGCTGCCAGTCTCCGTCCTCTCTGCGCTCTCCTGGGTCGGGGCGGGACTCTCGCTGCTCGGTGGGCGTGGCTCTGGTGGCTCCAGGGGTGGGACGGATAGAGGCCGCTCCCAGCAAGGAGACTCACGGTCTGAAACAGTCACATCGTCCGGCCCTTTCTGGCTGCGCAACTTGTTATAACTGGAGTGCTTGAGTCCCGGGAGAGTGCGAGTACGTTCATCGCCACTAATCTCCATGCGCTACATCACACAAACAAACATGGTTACATGCGTGTTATATACATACACATGTACAGTGTGTACAGATGGTCCTCAATAACTCGTGAAGTCATAAAGCTGTCATGTCGTCAAATCAGAACTGCAGGACAATGGAAAACGGAAACACTATGGTTTGTTGTTGCATTTCAACTGAATGAAATACTAATAACATAGTACACCATTTTCCAACTTGGTTTACGGCTGAACAGTTTGGGGAAAATATCTCTTTGTGATTTTTCTGACTAATATTGAATCTGCGATTCAAATTATTGTGAACTATATAATGGCAACTCTTGCAATTTGAAAATTGCACTCTTTCAGATCAAAATCTTTAAAATTTTGATAAACAATCAATTCAGCCCTGGGATGTTTATACTATTGTTCTCATGTACTAACAGAGTAATGTATGATTAGTGTGTGTTGCGCTGGTCTGAGTGGATCAGACACAGCAGTGCTGCTGGAGTTTTTAAACACCTCAGTGTCGCTGCTGGACTGAGAACCAAAAATATCCAGCCAACAGCGTCCTGTGGGCAGCGTCCTGTGACCACTGATGAAGGACTAGAGGATGTCCAACACAAACAGTGCAGCAGCAGATGAGCTATCGTCTCTGACTTTACATCTATAAGGTGGACTGACCAGGTAGGAGTGTCTAATAGAGTGGACAGTGAGTGGACACAGTGTTTAAAAACTCCAGCAGCACTGCTGTGTCTGATCCACTCGCACCAGCGCAACACACACTAACACACCAGTCAATGCAGTCAGTGTCACTGCAGTGCTGAGAATGATCCATCATCCATAATACCTGCTCTGTGGGGGTCCTTTGGGGGTCCTGACCATTGAAGGACAGGGTAACAAGTATGCAGAGAAACAGATGGACTACAGTCTGTAACTGTAGAACTACAAAGTAAATGGAGCTAATAAAATGGACTGAATGGAATGAGTGTATACAGGAAAGTGGACTTGATAGAGTTGGTGTATACTGTAATGTTATCCTCTAATAGCTACATATATATATATATATATATATATATACATATAGGTGGAGCAACACAAAACACTGTGGATTTAGTTTCTGAAGTTGTGGCAAAATATCTGACAACCAATATACCCCTCAGGCCCTCGTGTATGTTTGGTCACCTGATAGTTGAAGTTGGCGCGCTGCTCCTGCGTCTCGGGCACTGAGCTGAGCTCTTCCAGACTCCGTGCTGGACCAAGCGGTACGTGCATGTAGAGTTTAGTGCGGGAAGCATGCGTGGGCTCCCCCTGCTGGCTGCTGAAGGAAGTCTCCAACAGACTCAGCTCAGAGAATTTATCCTGTATTGGGCTGGGTGGGGCAGTGTTGCCCTGGAAACGCTCTGCCCCCACCTCCTCACCCTCCTCCACAAGCTCCGCCTCCTTAAGAGATCTGTAAGGCTGAGGCCTGAGAGACATACAGACAAGTGAACACAGAGGCAGAGACACAGAAGCACGTTCACACTCTGCCTCAGCAAGACACTCCACTCACAGCTACACGTCATACAAAAACAACTGACTCTGGTTGGTCATTCTGTCAGTGAAACGGTCCTTTCCTGCTAAAGTAGGCGGTTCTTGACCATGTAGAGAACCGAAAACTACCAGACTCTCTGGAGACAGACAGAGTTCTGGTTTGGCCTCTTTGTTTTAATATAACTGAACACTGGTACATTAGCTCCACTGGTGCAGTTCTTTGTTTCAACACATGAGAAAGATGGTATTCGAGCAGGCATGCAGTTCCGCTCGTGGGTAGACCCTAATGCAGTTTATTTGGCGTGAGAGTGCAGCTGCAGGACGTGATGTCAATGCCTGCATGCGCAAAAGTGCCAAAGCATAGAATGAATAATTTAATCTTGATTTTTGACTCCATTATCTGAGGCTCCACCCTAAACACGCAGTTGGGTCAGTAAAAAAATGCAAGATTTCAAAATGACACTCTAAAAAATGAGTAACAAGGATGGTTTGTGTATTTTTTTCTGAAAGAACAGATTCACTGTGTTAATATTTGTTTCATTACTTTTATAATCCATTTTTAAACAAGATCAGTTTTACCTCCCAGAAAATGTCAGGTGGCGCAACCTCACACACTCAGATATATTACATTTAAAGAGTTATTTACTGCTACTGAAAACATGCGTCTTTGTACTTGGACCCCTGTATAAACCTTTGTCCTTGAACTCAAGGTTGTACATTTTTTTAAATAAATAAACAAACATTATAATAATAACACAAGTTCATGTGTTTCATTTAATGGAATTTGCTGTGATTAGCAGCATCATGTCACAAAACTTTGCTTTGGCCTCAACTACAGTGAAATCTGACCTGCCAGTTTGCATCCTTGACCAACAGCACTACAGCTTTGGCTGGTGTGACATCTGAAGGGGCAGGGCTTCACAGAGCAGCACTGACCAAACGCTATTTTTATCAGCGTCTAAACATGAATGGCTAAAGATTTCTGCCTCCCTGGATATAAATACACACGAGAGAGACTGTGTGATACACAGCCAGTTTTAGATGGCAGAGCTCTTTACTTTTTGTTTCTGCCCTTTATTGTCAGTGAGATGACAAACACAGGAAGTATCTAGTGAGAATGAGGCTTAAGGCAAATTAAGGACACGTCAGTTTCAAAGAACCGATATTTAAGAACCTAATGAAAACACAAGCCCACATTCTTACACACTATCCACCATCCAAGAGGACATTTTTCCTAGAAAGTATTCACCCAATCTGAGATACTCAGTCAGAAGGATTAGACCACACCCACATGGAGATAACCAACAGGCTGAGAATAAAGGGGCATGCTGTGATTGGTTCAAAAGCAGATTAAAGAAGAGACCATTCAAAGGGGGCGGAGAGCAGGAAGTGGTCAGGAAAAGCAGAGACGGAGTCGTCGTCCTGTGAAAGCTCATCACCAGAAGAGTCCTCACACAGAAACACAGTGTAGTGACGCGTAGGGCGCATACAGCTAAAGAGAGAGAGACAAAGCGAGATGCATAGAGAGAGAGAGAGAGAGAGAGAGAGAGAGAGAGAGAGAGAGAGAGAGAGAGATGGAAGTGCAATGTGAGACATGCAAAAAACAAATCATACAAATTTCATTACTGTTGAAAAAGATGCTGATTGGTTTCCATGAACTACATGAGCTACAGTCTGATCTGGCCCTGGTACAGTCTAAGTTGAGTCAGGACTGACCCCTGAAACCCCCATTAGTAAACCAGGGCCCCCAGACAGTCCACAGTTTTGCTCCAGCCAAACTCACCGTACATAGAAACTTAGACACACCATGAGTTCTAGAATTATTGGCACCTTTCCAAAAGGCTGTGAAAAATGTCTGTTGTTTATCGCATCAATCTTACAATAAATTTGATAATATGGGAGCAATATGACATTTCAGTGAGATTAAATTAGTAAAAGAAACTTCACCATTTTTAACCTCACCTAAGACGAGTCATACATGACTTTCTGTTTCACTGTACAGAGACGTGACCATCATCATCAAAAAAAAAAGTTAAAAAAATCAGATAATGGCTATAAAAAAACATCTACTTGCATAAAAATGCTCATCTCCACTGTTACAGCAATAATTAAGAAGTTTAAAACAACCAGAGCTGCAGTGAACTGGATAACCACCAGGCTCTGCCCTCGCCGGAGGTTTGAGAGGCAGAACTTTCTCTCAAGATCACGGCTGGACAAAGGCAGGAAGTGGCTGCATCCTGGGGTCACCAAGTCTCCAAAACTACAATTATACACCATCTCTACGCCAACAAACTATTTAGAAAACGTTTAGAAAGCCTCCTGTGGTCATCAATCCATAAAAGTATGTGTCTGAAAAGTAGAATATGTTCACTAAACATCAGTAGACCTTACTGGAACCAGGTTCTGTGGTCAGAAAAGACAATGACAGATATTTTGGCATCAAAAACAATCTCTATGGAGAAGTATGGTGGTGGATGCGTGATGTTTAGAATATACAGCATGATGGACAAATACCAGGAGATTTGACATCAACATCTAAGACTGGTTCTATCTTCTAGCACTCATGTGTCAAACACTAGGCCTCACAATCCTATCCAGCCAGCAAAGGTATTCTAATTTTCTATTAATATTAGCCTGTTTCACAATGTGCTGAACTACAGTCCCCAGCATGCACTGCAACATAATGTGTGCTCTGACTCTCCTACTCCAACAACAGTCTATGGGACAGTGGTTACACCTCAGTTCTACACAATTCTACACAATTCCACACTAGTCATATTACCAAACACACTAACTGCAGTTCAGCCAATTTAAACACTGAACATCAGCCCAGCAGCTCAGAAACTGAGCCCAAGTCTTAATGAACTTGCAGCAAAGAGAGGATGCCAGGCGTCTAGTTCAAGCAGATAGGTAGGTTTAAAAGACCAAGCACCTGGGGACATTTACATTTTGGATATTTCAAGTGTCTATGTAATATTTCAAGGGCTACTACAAGTGTCTTTATTTTACAGTTGAAGTTTTTGCATATTTTGAATAAACAATGGCCAGTTTGGGTTACAGCACAACTTTAATTAAAAATTAAATCAAACATTTTTTCTCTGGCCCACAGATTTGATGAGATTTTCTAATATGGCCCTTTTACTGGTTGAGTTTGACACCCCTGCTCTAGCAGAACAATGATCCAAAGCAAACCCTTTAAATCCATACAAAAAAAGATTCATTGTCCACAGAATGAAGCATTAGTAGTGCATATCCCAGCCTCCTGACCTTTAACCCTGACTGAAAACCAGCGAGCTGAGCTGATGAGGAGAGTCCATCAAAGACGAGGATCGAAGACATTTTGAGGAACGTTCTTCTCAAACTCTTATATTCCTACCTCACTCAGCTTTATAAAAGTCTTAGTGCTGCAGAAAGAACATGCAGAGGTGCTAATAATTTAACTTCACTGAAAGTTACGAATCTTGATCATGCATTTTCAGTGTAAGATTAAGCTGACAGACAACAGATCAGTTTTAATTTCTGCTAATTTTTACTAATGGTGTCAATAACTGCGGAGGGCAATGCAGTGAAAATACAGGTTTTATTGGAGAGCATTAACATTCTACAGTAATCAGCTACAAGCACCACATTAATGTTTTAACTTAAAATCAAAATCACAACAAATCTGCAAGTAATTTTTAATATATGAATCTGTAAAAGAGAATGTTGGGACTTTGGTCATATGAGTCTGTGAGTCTTACTGTTCAGGACTGCCCTCCAATCCCACGTTACTGCGCGGCCTCTTCGCCACCAGCGGCCGAGGAGGACGAGCCTGCACACACAAGCACATCAACCACACAGGAACACCAGTCAGAACCTCTCAGAGATAAATGTGATGTTAGAACACAGAGATCAGACGAGTTTCAGATTCAGCTGTAAACCTGCTCATAATAAACATGCTCAGTCAGAAGCTACAGAGAAGAAAAACATTAGCATGTGAAGATTATCTGTGAGTCAGAAAGGTTCAAGTTAGCTGGGCTACATGCTGGCCAAAGAGATCAGTCTGCACCCTGAGGAACGTGGCAGAGCAGCAGAGAAAAGACCACCCGCCCACCCAGACCTACAGATACAACTCATCACATTCAACTGCGGCGCTGGGAGATCCAGCAGCTGTACTTATATACAGGCATCTGTTGCACATTAATATTCATTTTCAGGTCTAGATTAATAAAGAGAATGTAGATAACCGCAGTATAGGTAGTTTTCTGGGTGCTTCAAACTGTTTATGCTTCAAAATACACTACATTTCCAAAAGTATCTGGACGGCCGTTCTACTCAGCAAGTTTAACCACTTGAAGGTCACACATTGCTGACACAGCTTGTATAAGTTCCATAAAAAAGCTCTGACCAATAGAATGGGACACTCTGGAGCAGCTGCACATGATCCTAAGGTCTCCACATCCAATGCCAAGCGTGGACTAGAGGGATATAAAGCCCCACAGCATTGGGCTGCGGAGCAGTGGAACTGTGTTCTCTGGAGTGATGGAGCTCCAGTACCTTTGGAATGGGTTAGAGTGATCCAGAACTGACCATCCAACATCAGCACCTGACCTCACTAATGCTCAATTAAATCCTCACAGCAATGTTCAATATCTAGAGTAAAGCCTTCCCAGAAGAGTAGAGGCTGATACTGCAGCACAGACTCACTATTAACACCTTCATTTCAGAAGAAATGCTGGATCAGCGGGTGTCCACAAACTTTGGACAGATAGTGGACATAACTGCTAGGCTTCCTTTCTGGAGTGTGGTTTGCGTCTAGTTCAAATTTACGCGTTAGATTCTCTTCAGTGACAATTTAAGATGATTAACGCAAAGTCTTAACGTGTAAGAGAGTGACCAACTCTGTCCTGTAGCCAGATGCACCAGCCGTCCGTTCAAACGTAGGCTAGTTATAACACAAGCTCAGTTTTATCATCACTAAATCAGAACGAGTTGCACACAAACTAGTTTTAATGTTCAGCTTAGCAGTTACTAAATATTCACACCCCCTCAGCAGGTGTAGGTTTTGTACATAGGAATCACAAAAAGACCAAAAACACGACTTTTTTGGTTACTAAACTAAAACTCTAGAAGCTGTACTCTGTGATTTTCCTCACAGCTCTGATCGTCGTCCTGGTTTAAACTCTGAGCGTGAAGCTCAACCCCCACAGCTCCAGCCCAGATAGACTGAACAGCTGCACAGACAGCTAAACTGATCTGCTGTTGTGTCGCTCAGCCAGAAACCGCCGTTGCATATTTGTTTCTCAGTGAAATATTAAAGAATAAACAGACAGCAGCTGTAGATCATTCACTTTAACCTGTACACGTCGTTCTCTTCTAGACTGGATACTCAGTCAGAGCAGCTGCCGCTGTGTTTCCATGGCAGCACGTTTACTGATCAGTTCTGATCATGTTATCGTCGTGTTAAAGCAACGTACGCATTTGTTAGCTGTTACTAGTTAAGACATGACGCACAGATTTGTGATGCAACCAAATTTAGCAAAATGACGGTTTAAACTAACAAGTGTAACTAAGGACTCAGTAAAGACTTTACGCTCAAACTTACACATAAACTTACGCAAACGTGGTGCAACCCAGTCCAGGAGATCTGCCTTCCTGTTCCAACCCTGGCCTGCCACATTCATGGCTGTTATCAAGCAAAATACTCGCTAAACTACTAGTTAAACATTTCATGCTACAAACACAGGTACATTTCTGGAACACCTACAGGATTGAAATGATTGATCAATCACAAGTCAGAAAACTGCTGAGAGTAATAAAAAAAAAGCAACATGATCTGATTATTTAAGCAAAGTTTCACTACTTACCCATTTGGGAAAAAGGATCTCCAGAAATCGAAACTCTAAAAGTTACTGTAAAACACCTACAGATGTTGGCAACGCCCAAAAAGTGATAAACAAATTCAAATGTCTATTTTGGGCTCTTTAAAGTAACCCACTCCCTCCTCTGCAGGGCCACCTGGGGTGCTTTTCTCAACAGACTTATCCTATGTGGTGACACCACTAGATATTTGATAAGGAGGGAGCATTTAAATACAATGTGGTCAAGTTCAGGACAGCTGCTACTACGGTTTTTCAGCTGTACAGTGTATTTCACCGATAACAGTGCATCACAAAATCACACAATCAAGTCTATTAGAGATACCGAACGGCACACGGTTTGAGGAAAGTGTGAGATTTAGGCATGCAGTTAGCACCATGCTAATTGGTGGGGTATAAGCTGCTATCACTTGTTAGCTACATTAACCTCGTAGCTTCACTGCTAAAACTAAAGAAGTACACTTGAGATACTGGACACTTCTTGAGTGATTGATTACATTTAACAAATCACTGTGGCAATTTTGACCACAAAATCTGTATCAACTGTTTGATTTGTACTCAACAACTCGCTGAACTGCTCTCACTAGCATTCTCTGAGAGCCTTTAAGAAAGTGTTAAAACCAGCACATCTGCATGCAATCAGTAGATGAAGCAGTGCGGTCAGGAGGAAGTGGACAGGCCCGAAGGTGAAAACTCCAGAGCGAAGGGTCAGCCTGTTGTACTCACTGGACGACTGCTGCGCTGCAGTTTGGAGGGGTGTGGGGGAGGGGGGCGCTGGGGGGCAGGGGGACGCTGGGGGCGGGTGGGCCGAGGGGGCTGACCTCGCTCCGACTGTTACAGGCACATATAAAAACACTTCTCCATTAGAGCTCAGATGATCAATCAGAAAAGTTCATAAATCAGGATAAAAAAAACATAGATAAACATTCAATATTCAGTTCGATATTCAGTCCAGTTTCCATCCGAACCAGAAGTGACATTTCATTCAATTTAAATGAAGATACATTCTTTTTCCAAGAGCAGACCCACCGAGACCCACCGAGACCCTGTCTCACACGGCAGCTCTCACTGCTGAGAGAGTCAGTTACACAGTCTCAGATCAGAGCTCAGAACGTTACGCTAAAAGAAAAAGTAGATTTCATGGTAGTATTCAAATCGATTAGTCATCAATAAGTGGTCACAGCTTTATTCTATAGAAACACATTCATCTATTTAGCAGCTTGACAGAAGAGCTGATCAGGCTCAGTCTGCTGGTTCTACTCTGCAGTCTGATCAATAAGAAATAATGATGCATACATTGTGGACTGAAAGCTTATACACTAACTAAATATTGCAATGCTGAATTTACAGTGTTTTTCTCTAAATGTGATCACCACTTTTGAAAAATGACATTCTGGATATTGATTTTATTAACGTATTTATATAATTATTATTATGGATTTATTTGATACATTTATTGTAAAGCAAATTGGTTTTACATAATATTAATTCCAATCTTTTAACAGAAGAGTGATCTAGCAGTGCCCGCTGGTGATCGACTGTAATCTGAATGGATCTCATTAATGACCAATGGAATTACAGCAAAACAAGCTTCATGTTTCTTGTGCTTTGTGAATTAATGAGAAAGCTGCCTGGTGTGTTTAAGGTTTTAGGTTGGGTAGTGACTGATTCTCAGTTTTTCAGCTGCCAAAAACAAACAAAAAAAAAAACAACAGTTTGAAAATGTTTAATTTCCAGTATTGTGTAGCGTATTTTCTTGTGTTGCATATTTTCTTTGTGTATTTTGTTGTGTAGTGTATTTGTCTTGTCTAGTGTATTTTGTTGTGTAGCGTATTTTATTGTGTAGCATATTTTATTGCATAGCATATTGTGCTGTGTAGCATATTTTATTGTGTAGCGTATTTTGTTGTGTAGCGTATTTTAGCCGAAGTCTCACTAAACGTAAATAAAAGATTTCCCAAACGCGTCTCCGGCAGCTCCATCCTCTCATCATACACCAACTGTGCTGAGTTCCGCCACACAGACTCATTCAAAAACCCAACAAGTTCTTCAACAAATATGAACCCCACCTAAATGAGACCACCCATCTCTCTCACTCAAGCACACGCAGAAGAGGACCCACCTGTCCGAAGTGCACTGTGATTGGTCGTCTCTGTTCCCAGGTGAGCGAGTCCTTACTGTGTGTGGAGGGTATGTGGGCGGAGCCAGGTTCGTCTCTGTTGCCGGAGTAACCGTTCTCCGTCAGTTCCTGCAGAGAAAAAGACACGTAAGGTTGTGTGTGTGTGTGTGTGTGTGTGTGTAGTTGTGCTGAGCCAACAAACATCTCATTACTGTCAGAAGAAAACTTCATATTTCCACTATTTATTTATTTATTGATAAGTTTTGCATCATATCAAAACTTCGTTCAACAGTTCAAAATGACAAATAAAATGTTCCATTACAAACTGAGAACACTTTTATCTTCTCCTGTAAAGTTACTCTTTTGTTCCCCACAGTGCACAAGTGTGTGTACGTACCTTCTGTTTAAGGCGGCTCTTCACTTCTTTGATACCCATCTTCGCGTGATCTTTGGCCTGTTAGAGAGAAACATCAGTACGACACGAGAAAAGCAAAGGAAGCAGGGGCTAGATTCACAAAAGCTATCTTGAGAAAAAACGTTCTTAAATTATGACGAAAACTAAGAAGTTTATAAGAACGTTCTTAAATGCAATTCTCCAAAACATTTGAGAAGTTCCCAAATATTCTCTTAAGATAATCTTAATTACTTTCTTAAGATTTTCTTTAAAGAATCTTCGTTTTCTTACGTAGGCTGTGCTGCATTTTACCACATAAAATAAACAATGTGAGATTTAATTTGAATTTGTATTAACTGCTATTTCCATTATTTAGTTTAATCCGCTCAGAGGAGCAAAATGGAGGAAAAACATCAAACCAAGCAGTAGAAAAGTTTAGCAAACAACTATAGGTGATGGTGTCAGAAACAGCAAACAGAAAAAAAATCCTCATTGGAAAATATGATAATTGTGGAGTGACAGACGAAGATAGGCAGGAGCAGCAGAGGCAGCATCCGTGATAAATTCAGATGCTCACCTTGTTGACTCTTACAGCCAAACTGTCGCAATGTTAAGAAAACATTTAAGAAAATAATATTTTTAAGAATAACATTTGTTCTTAGAATCATTCTTAAGAAAATCATTAAGAAAAGAAAATAAGAGAATTCTTGAGAAATTATTTGAAGAATAACAATTTCTCAACTTTTTTCTTAAGAATAAAATAAAGAAAAAACACAAATTTAAGATTTTCTTTCTTAGGACACTTTCGTGAATCCAGCCGCAGAACAGAATTTATAACTGAACCACAAAAGAATCATCACTAACATACAGACGTCCAGTTCAACTCCAGCACTAAACAACTCAACACTGAACTGAATCTGAAGACCTGCGACCGTATAGAAGTTAACAAAATGAGCTTCATCTGAATGTATTACTTTCAAGTAATTCAATAACATTTTTTATCGTGTGAATGTAGAACCTGAACATGAAGACTGAAAACAAAGTGAAGTTTCACACACTGCAGGTAAAACTGCATGTAAAATGCTTATAAGCAATTTATAGAAATATTTATCTCAGCAAGTGAAATCATCTTAAATGTAGCCAATATATGTAAGTTCTCGTCATGACCCTGTTGTAAAACCATTCTAAGATTATTTAACCTATTTTGACACAGTCTTTAATTGTTTTATCTTCTTCCGCTGGCAGATCTTTTTCATATGTTTAAAGCAATATTACTGGAAACAAGCAAAATTATCTTCTTTACTTCTTGAAACACAATGATCTGCTAATGGAATGAGACACTTTCTGGATAAAATTACTTAAAACAAGTAAAACTGTGCAGAAACAAGTTAAATAATCGTATGATATCATTACAACAATCTCATAATGAGAAACATTAGACATATTAACTACATTTAAGATGTTTACACTTGCTCAGACACTTTTTTGCAGCGTGGCTGGTTGGAGCTCAATGTGATGCATCTGTGCGGAGCTGAACGTACAAACTTGTAGACGGTTTTCATGGCAGGATTTGCTTTCGTCTTCACGGTGTTGAAGATGGCTCCACCGCCCTTCTGCAGGACAGATGCAAGGCCAGTGATGTTAAAAAAGACACAAAGACTCGGATACCTACATAAAGCTCTCATACTCAGCAGCGAAACACCCACCTTCACTGTGAGAAGCCACTGATGGTAAACTTTATCGCTGCCTGTCAACACAAACACAAACACATCACACATTTCACACAGCGTGAAGTCGTACTGGGCATACACTGACATAGATCTGTGCCTGTAACGGAATCCTCTTAACTGGGAAACCATGTGAAACATAACCACAGGAATCAGGTAAACCAGACTTCAGGGAGGGAGAGGGGAATTTTAAATCTTTTTTTAGCTTTTTTTATTTCCACAAAGCCTTTATATATGTTTTCTTTCAGTAATTTTGAGACGGTCCCTGACTGTGCAGTGACAGCATGCGAGTTAAATCGCTGTCAAATTAAAGAACATAACAAAGCGCAGCTCAGTAAACATTGTGGTTTGCTGGCACCCATCATTTAGCAAAAAACTGTAATTAGTCATAAAGAGCAGAACTGTGCATGTCACACAAACTTTATCGTCCAATGATCTAACATCCAGTCTCTCTTGACTGTATGAGAGCTGAGACTGCGTTCTGAGTCTGCTGTGTGTGATCTGTAAATCTGGACTCTGTGCTCTGAGGATGTTCTAAAATGTTCAGACGGCTTTTTGTAGGCCTGATATCTGCCTGCAGCACCTAGCTTGTTCAACCAGCTCTGTTAAAAAATATCTCTTCTATATTAGTACGGTAACTGTGGTAACATCAACACATTTAACCGTTCAATTCTGATCATGTGTTTGGTTAACAAATTTCCACCGCAAGTCTTATATAGCAACAATCTAGTAGTGCTCCTCTTCTTACGCTGGGGCTGAATTTCAAATGAATCCCTGCTCCCTAAATAGTGCACTATGTAGGAATTTAAACACTGGATCCTGCAGCCCAAGAGAGAATAATACAGCTTAGAAACAGTCATTTGGGATTCAGCAACATTTATACTGGTTAAATGATGCGCTGTTTGGCTGTAGGCTAAAATTTCTAAAGTTTCTTAGCTAGCACACTATTTAGGGAATACAGAGCCGTTTGGAATTCAGCCTGGGTTTGGTGCAACTTCTGACTGAAACATGCATGAAAGTAGAGCTGGGCGATATGGCCAAAAATGTTATCACGATAAACAAAATTCATATCGTTCGATATCGATACATACCGCGATAAATGTCAAATCATTATTTATTACAAGTTTGAAGGCTGATTTTTGCTCCTGGGTGGTTAATTGCTGTTTTAAACTATCCTTTATGGTCGGAACACGACAAACACTCAAACAGTGGAACCTTTCACACATCTGTCATGAGAGAGTGGGAGAAAGTGTCTGGTGAGCTGTTTTTACCAGCTGGAAAAGCATGGCTGTTTTGTAATAGTCATAATTTAAGAAAGAAAACAGATTATTTTAGCTGGTGACGAGCGCTCGGCTACCCCGCTACAAATGACATCACAGTATTCAAACACCAGCTAGCAACGACTGGATTTCTCTATACTATCGTAGTAGTTTAAGTGGTGAACCGCAAAATATCAACACCAGACAAACAGAGTCCTCCTTTTAGGAACGTTTAAACTGAAAGCAGTGCTTTTGTGTCTTGTTTGATCTACAGTATCATCAATTCCCTGTGTTGTGTGAGTGACGGAGCGCTGCTTCAAGTTAGCCAGCTGCTAAAAACAGCTAGCCTGGAAAGGTAGCGCTCTCCCGCTCTCCAATGCCTCACAGCTTCCTCAGTTTACTTTCGTTTAAATCAGGGCTGTAATTTACATGAACCACTTCTTTCTTTCACTTTCGTTGCTTGGGAATGCACTCATACTTAAATATGACTATCCGAGCGCTGTAACAGCGCTGTAGTTGTGAGGATTGTGATTTAACACTGCTAAAGCTGGTTAGGATGTTGGGAAAGAGGTGAGTTCGCTGTAGGTCAGTACAGATACGCCACTGACCTCGTCACTCACACTCGGTCACAGGAGAAGAGATCGCCTGTCGCTCCACTCAAACAGGGAATGTATAACTCCGCATTTCAGCCGTTGCTAAAGACTCATCTTACTCGTGGCCCCCTCCCTCTCTAATCATGTAGAAAAACTCGGAAGTGCGCCCTCTCCTGGCGACAGCAGAGTAGTGTCGCTTTCCTTGTAGTACAAAACGGCACCAAGGCTGTCGCTGAACGTGGAAGTGTGAGAGTAGTGTATTATAACGAACATTTATCGAACATGACGTATCGCCCTATCGAGGAAAAGTTATATCGCGATAATTATCGTTACCGTTTTATCGCCCAGCCCTACATAAAAGATATTCAAGTTACATTCTTTAGTGGTTCATACTGCAGTTTTACAGATAATCATACCGTAAGTACTTTAATTCAAGCCTGTGATATTAATGATGGAGTTGTCTTTTAGCTTGTTAGCTAGCTGACCAGCCTTGTTCTAGATAAGAACATAAGCTGTCAGCTCCTCAGTTTAAACAAAAACAGGTTCTTATTTCATCAGTACACTCAGTGCTCCGTGTGAGCAGCATTAGAGTCAAAGATTAATTCATTAAAAGCAGAAGGGTTTTTCGAGTTCAGTAGCGGCGAGGCGTCATAGCCGCGGTACACTGTGTATTTTACAATGGCTTCAAATGCGGCTCAGCCAATCAGATTTTAGGACTGAGACTATCAGTTTTATAATTAGAATAATACAACTGAAAGAGATCCATGCATATTTACACAATAATACTTAACCTCTATATACTGAATGTACTGTGTGTTCAGGTATCAGGCACAGATCTCATCAATTACTGCTTCTTAAAATATACACAAGAATTCTTGTTTACCCAATTTAACCCAATTACTGCCTGACTCCTCTAGACCTGGAGTTATCGGATTATTAAGTGGAGGTAAACGCACTCAATGCAAACATAATCTGCTAATCTACTCACCAGCATATTCCCCCATATTAATCTCTTCCTCAAACACGTCACTGAAACCTTCACCAGAGTTCAGCAGCTCCAAACGCCCGTCTATAAACTAAACACATAAATACAGACACTAAAATCCACAGAAAAGACAAATACTGAGAAAAAAAATCAGCCTCATGACCAAAAACATAAAATCAAAATAACTGTTTACTCAAATATTAAAAACCCACTGTTCTTCAGAGTTACAGAGACACAGAATAATCTAATAATTAAAAAAAAATAATAAATAAATATTGGCACCAAAGGTTTATTTGCTCAAGTGCCACTATAAGTGCTAACAGCGCCCTCTTATGGAGAGTCTTTAGCCTGATAAACATGAGTGAGTGTGCTACAAAGTCAAGTCCATGAGGAGTATTGCATGTATGCAACAAAATGTTTTTGTTTTTCATCATCATAATTGGAATATCCAATAACATCACCCTGCCCCCCAATGAAGAGACTTTTTCAAAGACCTTTTTGCTCATTTTCTCCAAGAGCGCCAATAAATCTGGAGGACAGTGTGTAACTCAGTGATGAGGAGTCAGAAAATGTTCATGTTCTGGGCAAAATGTAAAGTACATGCAGTAAAAAAAATAATGTGCGTTTATCTGTCCATATAATACTCATGTTCTGTGGCCTTGATCACCTGCCCTGGAAATTTCTTTTTCTTTCAAAAACCCACAACACCAGCAGAATTCATCTTAATAAACAAAACAAATTCTTTTCACCAGGCCTGGACAATATCTAAAAAATATAATCTATCATCTAAAAATAAATCTTCCAAAACTAACTACATTACTAAACATACAGGATATAATCTTTTTGAACACACATTCCACTACATCCTACGCTAAAAGCTTGTATGCTTTTTAAGCTTAACCAATTCAACGAAAGTCTTCACCATCTCAACATCTTTTAGTTGTGAACTATTCCATGTCATTTTGAAAGCTGTGACTGTCGACACCTGCTCTAGTGAGTTCCTGATGGTGTGAGTTCACGGCTGTTTCTTCTATTTAAATGACATACACAAAAGCAAGTTGTGTGTTTTAATGTAAAGTTTTTAATAAATATTTTGCTGCTGGGTGTGTCTCTCTGTATATAATTACTTGTACTACTGTATTTGTGGGGACTATATGGCATTGTTCCTATGTGTGCGTGTACCTGTTTGAACAGCTGGAGCTGGATGGCGTTCTGGAGGAACTGTCTCATGGTGCTGGATCGATGTGTGATGAACGCATCCTCACTGAACGTAATCGGCTCCTCCTGAAAACAGACACACAAGAAAACTCTCAGTGACCACTGCGTTAATATCACTCAGACAAGTAATAATAATAATACTACTAATAATAATAAAACCTTTTATGGATGGATGGGCAATCTAAAACAACATATAACATTGTGATACTTCAAAACATCTAAAGACATCTTCACTCCAGTTACACAATTGACTCAGGAGATTGTCTCAGAACAGGAATTTGTCTGAAAGGAGCCGTAAACACACCCATTATGAATGTATAAGCAGTTCTATGTGCAGATTGTGTGTGTATGTATTACCGGTTCTATGCGCAGATTGTGTGTGTATGTATTACCAGGTCTATATGCAGATTGTGTGTGTATTAGTGGTTCTATGCGCAGATTGTGTGTGTATGTATTACCAGGTCTATACGCAGATTGTGTGTGTATTAGTGGTTCTATGTGCAGATTGTGTGTGCATGTATTAGTGGTTCTATGCGCAGATTGTGTGTGCATGTACTACTGGTTCTATGCGCAGATTGTGTGTGTATGTATTAGTGGTTCTATGCGCAGATTGTGTGTGCATGTACTACTGGTTCTATGCGCAGATTGTGTGTGCATGTATTAGTGGTTCTATGCGCAGATTGTGTGTGCATGTACTACTGGTTCTATGCACAGATTGTGTGTGTATGTATTAGTGGTTCTATGCGCAAATTGTGTGTATGTATTAGTGGTTCTATGCGCAGATTGTGTTTGTATTAGTTGTTCTATGCGCAGATGTGTGTGTATTACCGGTTCTTTGCACAGATTGTGTGTGTATGTATTAGTGGTTCTATGTGCAGACTGTGTGTATTACCGGTTCTATGCGCAGAGCGCTCCTGTAGCTGCCGAACAGAGAAGCCTGTGCTTTCAGAAACGCTCTGGCTACTCCGTCTCCTGTTGTCGTGGAAACCTTTTTCAAGCGATTCTTCAGAGAAGACACCTACAACACAACACAACACAACACAACAGAGATACATAAAAACACAGCATGCAGTTACTAACGGGCATGTGCCAACATTTAATTTGTTTGGCACTATAACTGCTGAAACTCTCATCATAGTTCACAATATCACCACAATATTGATTTAAAAAAATATCTTTCCACATCTCGATGTTTTTAATATTATAAAGATGTTCTGAATGTCATTTTTAAGAATAGTAGCATATGTGTATAATATTTGCAAAAACATCATCGTTAAAAATAAAAATTCTAAACTTCCACATAAAGATGCTCACTGTCACTATCATACAGGACCATTAGCAGTTCAGACTGAGACCTTTATCAAGAGCTGCTCCAACATCCTACAGCGTAAAACATCCTACCAGTACCTGAACTTATCTGAATAAATGTCATATACTGCACTGTATCATACAATGATGAACATGCTGCGCTAGTCATTACATAACAGTGCTCGTCAGCCCTTTGCTGAAGATGTGGACACCTTTACTTTATTAGCAGCCTTTACTTATTAAAAAAAACAATGGTGTTAATTTTGCTATCGTATGTATGAAATTTTCTATTATTAGGCTAATGAGGGTGTTTTCTCCCCACACTGGGTTCCATTCTACATGGCTCAAGTCTACTCACTGACCTTGGAAAACATTTTTGTTCCAGTTTTACACTGAATCATTTAGTAAATAGTTCATCTTAAAGCCAAAAGCTGAATATTACTGGATAAGCCTGTTAGCTCATTAGCATTCTGCTTGTTAAATAAAAACAGGTTTAGTCCGGTATTCTTTTGTCTTTTACTTCATAAACATGCAGCATATGTGTATTTGTGAGATGGAGCATTTTTCCCTTCTCTAATCTGGATGAGACATGAGTTTTCACCTTTCTGAAAAACTCAGTTCGCTCCTCCTTCTGCCGTGCTGTGGCTGTTATGATGAGTTTGTGGCTTCTCTCAGAGGAAGGACTGTATCAGGTGATGAGAGCGTGAAAGTGCAGTGGGAGGGTGTGAAAGCAGAGCTGCAGATCTAAAAATCTCTGGTAAAACTGCAGCTTGTTTGAGTAACATGTAACGATATTTTTAAAGCGTGCACGATAACCGAACACGACTAAAATCATGGCATGCCAAACTACCGAATACCAGCCCACGTCTACTTATTAAAAGAATTAGACTGTTTGTGTGTGACAGAGAGAGACGAGAATTTTCTTACTTCTCTCCTTCTAACGCTCTGATCTTATTGATTTGTATATGCGTCCGTATGTGAACTCTCACCACATCGTTAGGAAGACTCTGCAGATCATCAAACGGTGTCTCCAGCGTGTTAGTGTCCACGTTGAGAATGACAACATCATCCAGAGCCATTCCTCTGACCTTCTGCAAACACACATACATCTCTTCTTAGAAACCTGTAAAGCTAGATTAGTAATTAGTGACTAGATACTAGATTTTAGATATAGGATTTAAAGATTTGCAGTTAGGGTGAAACTGACTCCTTGGGGTGAACCAAATGGAACTTCGCAGAGGGCTAAAGATTAGGAGTTAGAGGTTCGTTTTCAGAGATTAGGTTTTAGTGGTAAGGGATTACTGGTTAGTGATCAGGGATTAGGAGTTAAGGATTAAGGGTTAGTGGTCATGGATAAAAACGTAGTGGTTATGGATTGAGAATTACTAGTTATGGAACGAGAATTACTGGTTATGGATCGAGAATTACTGGTTATGGATTGAGAATTAGTGGTTCTAGATTAAGGGTTAGGGGTTATGGATTAAGGGTTAGGGGTTATAGATTATGGGTTATGGATTAGAAGTAAGGGATTATGGATTAGATGCTGGGGTTGGAGTAAGGGAATATGGATTAGGGGTTGGGGATCATGGGTTAGTAGTAATGGATTAAGAGTTGGGGTTAAGGATTATGTGTTAGTGGGTAATGGTTAAGGATACTAGCTAAATTGTCAGGGATGATGGGTCAGTGGGTAGGGATAAAGCATTAGCAGTAGAGAATGGTGGATCAATAGTTAGGGATTATGGGTCAGTGGTCAGGGATCATGGGGTTAGTGGTCAGGGATGATGATGTTTTAGTGGTTTAGTTTAGTTAGGCTGGGCCAGCTAAAGCAGGTTATAGAGGTTAGTGGTGAGTTGGAAGTTACTGGTTATACTATAGGCGTCTCCTCTTACCTCCATCAGGCTTGAGTGAACTCCTATGAGGTACGGCATCGGCGCGCTAACACAGAGAGAGAAAAAGGTCACAAATATTCACACACACACACACAGAGTGTTGACAGAGTGCAGTCTGTAAGATAGTGTGCGTTTGTGTGTGTGTGTGTGTGTGTGTGTATTCTCTCACCAGCAGTAGTCTATCAGATGCTGTGGCAGAACCGGGATGTAAACATGTTGCCAGTACATGGGATACAACATGGCTGCTGCACCGTGGACACACGCTGTTAACTGAGAGAGAGAGAGAGAGAGAGAGAGAGAGAGAGAGAGAGAGAGAGAGAGAGAGAGAGAACATTTGGTATAACAATAACACGCACTGCAGGTTTTCCATGCAAAACCGCCCTTTAGTCATACGGGGGCAGTCATAGACTGGAGGTTAGGGAAACAGCCCAGTGACCGGAAGGTCGCCGGTTTGATCCCCTGAGCTGACAGTATGTGACTGAAGTGCCCTTGAGCAAGGCACCTAACCCCCAACTAGCTCCAGGCAAGTGTGCTCACTGTGTGTGTGTGTTCACTGCACAGATGGGTTGAAAGTCCCACCTGGGAGGAAAAATGAAATTACCCATTATAAACCTTTAATTACCACCACCATACACTGCAAACAATTTTTTCAGCTCTGAACTGTAAAACACAGCTTTTGTTTATCTAACCTATTTTAACCATTTTTACAATGCACTATTAAAAAATGTCCAATGTTCAATCTAAATAAGTGACCTGATTTTATTCAACTCACATAAACGCTTTAAATAAACCAACGAAAAGCAATGTAGTCAGGTTAGATAAACAAAAGCAACATTTTTCATTAATTAAAAGCCTCAAATAAGCATCTACCCTATTCCAATGTTGACAGTGTCGTTAGGCAATAATTAAAGGTTTAGGTTTATAACGCATCATTGCCTTTATTTCCCAGGTGGGTTTATCATAGTGGTCTATGGCTGAGAAACGTAGTGGATGGTAGTGTAACCAATAACATACGTCACAGAACAGTTTCTGATGGTTTCAGTACGTATCAGGTACAGTGTGTTTATACATTTAAGGAGTTTAGCTGCAGTTTCATTATAGGTCACTGTCAAATTTTTCATGATACATGTTGTAGGAAGTGGGCTGTACACATACAAGAAATATCAATGCTATGATTAAAACCAACTTAATTACAGAAAATAATGTATTTCTGTTACACACAAGCTGTTATTCTTTTCATACATTTTCTATATCCAAATTTATTACCAGTGGCTATACAGCATGTTGGAATGAAGCTCTTCATATTTTTTTAAATAAAATCATTTTAGATGCTTCATTAAAGCTATTTATGTGGATTATCAGTGGCATATTATTCTGGAATGTGTCTTACTTTTAATAAGAATTATATTTAACAACTGAAATAAAGCTAAAATAATTGTATTGGATAAAATAGTATAAACAGAAATAAATAAAATATGAAGAAAAATTTCATGGTATGGCTTTCACTTATTAGCTAAACATGAGCGCATGTAAGCACACTGCATCATCTCCGAGCTCTGAAAAACTAGAGCTGAATGTTGTTTTACGCCCAAATTTCTGAAGTCATTTATCTCAGACTGCACTAACTGCCCTCAAAATGCAGCTACACACAAGGTGAGAAATTCAGTGTTTTAGACTATCTGTATGGTATCTGTCTTTTTTGTGGCATAGAAATCATTAAATCAACCAAATTATGAGGTACGGATCATCTCTAACAATAGCTGCACTCTATAAACCAATATGAACCTTCTGTGTTTTTATTTTGTACTTATATCAGTAGAAAACAATTTCCTATTGAGATATATTGTTCATTTAATAAGCAAATATTCAAACTGCAGAAATGGATAAAATGCCCCTCATTCCTAACACACTGTCTGGGATCCAGACGCTGAATTCACCTGAGAACAAAACCCAAAGAATGCTGAAGGTGTCTGTACAGTCGGACACTCACAGTGCTCAGTTTGCTGGAGCTGATGAGGACCCTGCGCTCATACAGCAGGCTGGCGTACAGGTGGAGCATGTTATTCACATCTACTGCTACAAAATACTCCGTCAGGTTCCTCTGTGACAAACAAACAAGTGATGTTTTACCAAATGATACAGACAAAATTCCATATCTTGATCATGATATAATTTACAATCCATTAAATAAACAAAAACACTTTAGTGGTTCTTTGATGTGACGTGGTTAAACACTGGATATTTGATTAAAATGATTTAAGTCTGATAAAGTGATAATGTGAATCACTCGATTTATCAAAATATGCGCAGAAACTCATCCTGAATGTCTGAGATGGTTCAGGATGTTCACAGCACAGTCAGACATTCAGTGATTGGTCAGGGGGCTCATTTGCATATGGAGGCCTGCTGTGATGTCAGTATTGCAAAGGAGAATATTATGATAAACAAATTCTGTAGTGTGCAGTGGTTTGGTGTGTACTACGTAGTCTACAGTGGTTAAGTGTGTAGGGGTGGGGGAAAAAATCGATTCTTAGATGCATCGTGATTCAGACATGGATGATTCTGAATCGATTCACAAACGTCAAAAATTGATTTTCTAAATTTTAATCGATAACGTAACATTGACGGAATGAAAAAGGCGCAACTTTGCGAAGTGCAGAAGTGCAGCACCCGGACAGTCTGTGGCAGCACACAACATTAAAAGCTAGCGCAGGGGTCGCAACCCAAATGTTAATAAGAGTCATTTTGTCTTTTCAACAAAAATCAAACCACCTTGGGAACCACAAAATTTTATGTCCATTTTACCATCTTGGCTGTACGTGTGTCTCAGTACGTGCTGATATCCTATTGTAGGGTAAAAATATAATACAGACAAAAACACAGACTCACTCTGCACTGCTTTAAGCTGTAGCTCAGCTATAGCCGCTTTTCTCACTTCTCCAACTGGAAACTTTTCCGCAAAAGTAGAACAATTTCTTGTAAAATGTCTCTCGATGTTCTGCTTTTTACGAGGTTGAAGTCAGTTTCTCATTCTCCAGGTTCTCGTTTGAATTTTCCCGTTCCACCTTAAATGGTTCCTGAGGCGGCAGAATGAGCTGCTGCATTATTTAAGGTGGAATGGGAAAATTCAAACAAGAAGCTGAGGAACGAGAAACTGACTTCAGTTTCACGTGTGTTTTAGTGTTCGACAGTTTCTTGTTACAGATTAAACATATCAGGAAACCAGCTGGAGTGATTACAAACGCAAATAAGTCTATTCGTCTCCAAATTATCGATGTTCATCTTAAATCTTTCTCTTTGCCTTTTCGTTAGCTACTAGCTAGGTGAACTAGCAGTTATAGACTACAATAATTCCAGAGTTTAAGACCATTTATTGTTAAACTGTGTTGAACGATCAGCAAAGCTTTATTTTACTGCAAAGGAGGATTATTTTATTTTTACCTAGAAATCTAATTCTGCTGTGGAGCTGCAACCGGCCAGTAAAAGAGCTACAGGTTGCCTAGAGATTCCCACCCCTAGTGATATGCAGTAGATAAATGTGTAGAATGTACTGTGCATTGGTTTAGTGTGTAATGTGCAGTGGTTTAATGTGTAGTATGTAGAATGCAGTGGATTAGTGTGTAGGAAGTAGAGTGCAGTGGATTAGTGTGTAGGAAGTAGAATGCAGTGGATTAGTGTGTAGGAAGTAGAGTGCAGTGGATTAGTGTGTAGTATGTAGAATGCAGTGGATTAGTGTGTAGTATGTAGAATGCAGTGGATTAGTGTGTAGGAAGTAGAGTGCAGTGGATTAGTGTGTAGTATGTAGAATGCAGTGGATTAGTGTGTAGGAAGTAGAGTGCAGTGGATTAGTGTGTAGGAAGTAGAGTGCAGTGGATTAGTGTGTACTATGTAGAATGCAGTGGATTAGTGTGTAGGAAGTAGAATGCAGTGGATTAGTGTGTAGGAAGTAGAGTGCAGTGGATTAGTGTGTAGGAAGTAGAATGCAGTGGATTAGTGTGTAGGAAGTAGAGTGCAGTGGATTAGTGTGTAGTATGTAGAATGCAGTGGATTAGTGTGTAGTAAGTAGAGTGCAGTGGATTCGTGTGTAGCATGTAGAATGCAGTGGTTTAGTGTGTAATATGTAGAATGCAGTGGTTTAGTGTGTAGTATGTAGAATGCAGTGGATTAACGTGTAGTATGTAGTGTGAAGCATTCTGTGGTATGAAACAGGCACTGGATCACTGTAATGCTGTATCTGTCTAATGTGTAGAACGTAGAACACAACAAGTAAACTCACATTTTCCGGAATACTTGGCAACTCCCTCAGATCAGGCACTGAGAAAAAGGCATGCTTGAAAGAAAGAGAGAGAGACAGAGAGAGATATGCATGATTATCATTCAAGTATCAATCATAAAACTTCAGTAACTGCTGTCAACTTGTTTTGTTGATCTGTTTATGATTTTAGGTTTGTGCTCCTGCAGGAGTTTACATTTGACTATCAAATTAAGAACAACATGGGTCATTTCATTTGTGAGACTTTTGTCCTTTTGCGTTTTCTCAGTTGCATTTGAGTTGGGCAGAAATATACTGGTAGATTCTAATGTCAAGTGCTAAACAACTCCCAGCAGAACATCATTTTACCTCCATAATTCAGTATCTTACACAGTGTCCTAATCTGACCTCTGCCAGAAAAGCTACTTTATTTTGCTGCGGTTATACCACTGTCAATCACTGTGCTGTCAGACATGTTCACATAGTCCTGATGAAGCAGAGAACAGTTTTTCTAACTTTCTTCTTGTTTAGAATATTTTTTTCAAATCTGACTCTGATTAATGTCATCACTGAGATGTGCTCAGACAGGGACACAGTGTGTGTTGGAGTAAAAAGACAACATTACCACGCTCAGGTGTACAGGGACTCCAGGTTCAGGGATTGGTAACGCATACAGAGACTCCAGCAGCTCCCTCCACTGACTCTCCTGCACATATTTGCAGAACATACACATAAATAACAGAGGTTACTTTTTCTAGACTGCACCTATAAAATATTTTCATTTTCAAATATTCTAAGATATACTATCAGAAACATTTGAATATTTTAAATTCACTTTACTGACTGAATGAAAAAAAAAAAAAGATTTCCTATAAATTTTAATATTTTGTTTTAGTATGTTTGTTATTTATACTCTTCTCTTGAACTACAAGTCAATAAAAAATATATGCACCCCTACACACTGTCACCATATGCGTCATGAAAACACTTTCATTACAGATGCACTGTAGGTAAATACTCGTACAGAGATGCCTGTTGCACAGCGCCTGTGCTGGTAAACACACCTGACGTTCCCAGTGTGGGTGATGTCACTGACCTGTCCTTTAATGGTGTAGTCAGCCAGCACGTTCAGCAGCTTGTAAAACACCTCGAACCATGGAAGATAACTACACACACACACACAAGCATAGATACACTGAATAATAGCTTGTATATACATATATATATATACATATAAATACATATATATATATATATATATATATACATACATATGTGTGTGTGTGTGTGTGTGTATATATATATATATATATATATATATATATATATATATATATATACACGTATCACTCTGTAGAACCACAGCAGAGAACATACAGACCTGAGGATGCAATAACAACTCTGAACTCCAGACGAGAGACGGCAGAACCCAAAACGCTGCTTACTGTCAATATCAGTCAGAACAAAGGTGAAGTTCTGCCCCACCTGACCCACTGCCAGACTGTGAGTGAGAGAGAGAGAGAGAGAAAGAGAGAGAGAGATACAGGGAAAGAACCATAACTCATTTTTGCATGATCATTTTCCAGCCTTGCTTTGTTCCTTAGAATTAAACAGGCTGTTTTTATTACTGTGTCTTCGGGACTGATATATGTAAATGTTTTCATTGGCTCCTCTGTATTGTGCCACATATGATAAGCAATTTGGACTGAAACACTCCTTATAACTTCAGTGTGAAAGGTCAGGGCTAAACTGCTGTAGGTTGAATGGGTGGGGCTAAACTGCTGTAGGCTGAATGGGTGGAACTAAACTGCTGTAGGCTGAATGCGTGGAGCTAAACTGCTGTAGACTGAATGGGTGGAGCTAAACTGCTGTAGACTGAATGGGCAGAGCTAAACTGCTTTAGGTTAAATGGGTGGGGCTAAACTGCTGTAGGTTGAATGGGTGGGGCTAAACTGCTGTAGGTTAAATGGGTGGGGCTTAACTGCTGTATTTTGAATGGGTGGGGCTAAACTGCTGTAGGCTAAATGGGTGGAGCTAACCTGCTGTAGGCTGAATGGGCAGAGCTAAACTGCTGTAGGTTAAATGGGTGGGACTTAACTGCTGTAGGTTGAATGGGCAGGGCTAAACTGCTGTAGGCTGAATGGGCAGGGCTAAACTACTGTAGGCTGAATAGTTGGGGCTAAACTGCTGTAGGCTGAATGGGCGGGGCTAAACTGCAGTTGGCTGAATGGGTGGGGCTAAACTACTGTAGACTCAATGGGTGGAGCTAAACTGCTGTAGACTGAATGGGCAGAGCTAAACTGCTGTAGGCTTAACTGCTGTAGGTTGAATGGGTGGGGCTAAACTGCTGTAGGCTGAATGGGTGGGGCTAAACTGCTGTAGGCTGAATGGGCAGGGCTAAACTGCAGTTGGCTGAATGGGTGGGGCTAAACTGCTGTAGGCTGAATGGGCGGGACTAAATTACTGTAGGCTGAATAGGTGGGGCTAAACTGCTGTAGGCTGAATGGGCAGGGCTAAACTACTGTAGGCTGAATAGGTGGGGCTAAACTGCTGTAGGCTGAATGGGCAGGGCTAAACTGCAGTTGGCTGAATGGGTGGGGCTAAACTGCTGTAGGCTGAATGGGCGGGACTAAACTACTGTAGGCTGAATGGGCAGAGCTAAACTGCTGTAGGTTAAATGGGTGGGGCTAAACTGCTGTAGGTTAAATGGGTGGGGCTAAACTGCTGTAGGCTGAATGGGTGGAGCTAAACTACTGTAGTCTGAATGGTGGGGCAAAACTACTGTAGCTGAATGGTGGGCCTAAACTGCTGTAGGCTGAATGGGTGGGGCTAAACTGCTGTAGGCTGAATGGGCGGGGCTAAACTGCAGTTGGCTGAACTACACAAGCTCTTTAAAAAACACAATTTACTAACAGTGTGGTAAACAGGAAGTCTCAGTGAAATACCAGGAGTTTAACTTCTGGTATTGCCAGTAAAAACCATGAGCAGTAGGTGTTATACCTGTCCACACTGAAGGGGAAACAAAATTTTGGCACAGTCTGCAGAGTTTCCTGAGAGAGAGAGAAAGAGAGAGAGAGAGAGAAAGAGCGAGAGAGAGAGAGAGAGAGAGTATTACAGCCTTTAAACTTAACACATTCAGAGGAAATTTTGCGAATTGTGCAAGATCCAGACTTCCGTTAGTTGCTGGTAGTCATGCTCTCCTAAAATCTATAACACACAGAGTGCTGTGCTAAACTCAGACACCCTTTAGTTAATTTGATTTCCAGTCAAAATGATCATTAGGTTCAGGTTATTCATTTTCAGCCTCAACAATATATCTAATATCAGATGTTGCAGTATTTATTGTGTCCACTCTTTCCTTTTATTCCAGCTTCCATGTTTTTTAGAAGATTCGAGTAAAATGGTAATTAAATACTAAACAGGAAGGGTTTCAGTGTGAGCACAAGCTGGAGTTGGTAATTTACCTGCAGGAGACCCAGTACGACATCTGGGAAGCTACCTGGAGGACTCTTGTGAGCGAAAGCTAATTCTTTTCTGGGAAATACAGCGATGTTTAGTTTATAGCTGGCAAAGCTGAACATTTCTGTGCTCCTTTAGTTTAACAGCCGAGTTTCTTAGTTTTGTTTTGAGAGTGAAAACATCACAGGAGTGAATTTGGATTCTACAGTGAAGTGGTGAAAATCTACAACGTGTGCGTGCATGACTGCTACTGCGTGTTTTTACGGTCAGGTTTTCAGATTTATGAGAATGATAAAAGTATTATGTTATCATTACCGATGATTATAATGACAGATGTCAGAAAATTTTATGTCATGATGGTTCATTAGAGCACACTTAGCAAAAATGACTATGTGACATAAACTGATGTGAAACATTACAACATCCATAAATGACAATTACCAGTAATAATAGCATGACACTGTTATATTACTGGACTTTACGTGTCATGACCACATATGACATCTGCTATAGCAAGATTATGGTATGACTGGGGGGTCCAGTAAAGCGATAATGATCCCAAATAGCTGCATGTGTGAATAACGCAAAGAAAAAAAAACAGTGAAAGTATGGCGATAATATTTCAGGCTTTGAGTGTGAAAAGAGAAATGAGCTCATAATACACAGTATAATACAGACCTGCTCAGCATAGTCCTCAGGAAAAACTCTCCGCACCTCCGGCTCTGCACAACACAACCACAGAAAGACAGAGAGACAGTTATTATAACGTTTCAATGATGTTGCTGTTATCATTATTATTATTATTACTGCCGCTACCAAAAACAGCAAGCTGTATCAGTCACTGCTCTTCCAAATGGAAACTGGCAGAGACCTCCTTAATATGAATATTAATGGGATGATGCTGCATTATTCATGAGCAGAGTTTTACCTGTGCCCACCGTCCCAGAATGGCCCACCTCCATGTACATCTCAAAGGTGGTCTCAGGGCTGTCCCTGAAATACAGCGGAGCCCAAACTTTAAAATGCAACATAAACAGAAGAGCATAACCACAGCAACAGTACTGCAGCTGGGCATTAGCTGTTCGTTACATTATTATTTACATGTAATTACACATTCAATTACATAGTAACAAGAGAAAAGTTTAATTTACAGTCAATTTACATTCTGTATCCACAGATTCATGCCTGCACTTCTGAAGTTTTTGTTCACTTCAACATCAAAAAAATTAGTGCGTTTACATCCACTCAATAATCTGATCGTAATCGGATTTCTGCAGTTATCTGATTATTTAAACGGTCATATAAACAACATACTCCGATTTCTTAGATCCGATTTTAGCTCAGTAATCAGATTTCTCAGTGCATGTAAACTCTTACTCTGATTTCTTTCGTGTTTCTCAGTCTGTGCATGTCTGAGAACAGACTGCAGTACCAGAAATAAGCGAGTAGCGTCGCCGTGAAACGCAACAAAACACTTTTGGAGCGACGCTGCTTGCTTATTTCTGGTACTGCAGTCTGTTCTCAGACATGCACAGACCAAATACATGCTTGATGAAATGATGGATTTAAATATTCTTCATCTTCTAGATGACGTATGTTCCTAGATTCAGGTAAAGCGGCAAGTTTTTAAAAAAAGCCACATCATGAAGTTTGAGTTTTACATTACGCTTCATCATGTCTTATTCTGTGAGCTTATTGGCTGGTTGTAAAGCAGAAATCTGATTACTGCCTTACTCATATAGACCTGGAGTTTCACATTATCTGATTGCCCAAGTGCATGTAAACGCGCTGATCGGATTACTGACAAAATCTGATTTTCTGCATCTGTTATCGGATTATTAAATGCATGTAAACACACTGAATGACAAAAACGACTTCCTTTCTACAAAACAAGACAATACACACAATAATTTTTCATAAAATCTGTCCAATCAATTGAAATATTTTAGTCATATCACTGTTTATATCTCCTGGTCTGATGTTCAAAATGTATAAGAGAACAAAAACTAAAATGCAACAATGTATAATTTTTTGCTTTGGTCTAAAAATTTTTCAAACAGGGCCAAATCAGACACCAAGGTCGCAATGTGAGGGCTGAGATATTATTCATAAATGATTAAAAATATTAAATATGACAAATACAATACAAATACAGGTATAGAAATTAACCGAACCGAGAAATCCATTTTGAGAATTTGATGACCACTTAAGCATACATAAATACACTGTCTGGAAAACGCTGGTCAGAAACACATTAGCATGCAGAATCAGAGCTTTCTGTGAGCAACTGTGTTTCCTATCACTGTATAAAAGATGGACGAGGCTCTTTCATTGCTGGATTGCTCATTCAGAGTAATTTAGATCGGGAACTGCTTAGGACAAATTACTGATTTCTTTAAGAGTAACAATAAAACGTGACAATAATGTTTTCTATTCCAGTGTTTACTTGTTCAGAAATATCATTTGTGTGACCAACGAAATAAAAATCTTTAAATTTTCAGCACTGTCATATCAAATAAATGCAACGACAGCATTCAGAAACTGCGTCATTAAACAAGCGGAGCAGATTAACCAGCATAAACTGCCACATTTTTTTTTGCATACTTACTAAATTACTAAATTTGATCTGGCAAGGCGTTGGTGCTGTGAGACCTGAACAGCTGCAGTTACTTTAGTTTCTCTGCTCTCTGAATATTCACTGTAATGTCCATACTTTGTTTTGTATCTACCGACACTGAATTTGTTAGTGTTTTGAAATCTGAGGCTCACACATTTGCTGTGGCTCTCAATGAAAGAATATTCAAATTTCCATCTCGCCAGAATCGCCAGTTTTATGGCTGCAGTCTGGACTAACTGTCTTTCAGTAAATGAAACTGCAGGTCAGTCAGAGGAGAAAGGCTCCTAAACTCTAGCTAACTTTATTTCGCTTCATTTAACGCCACTGGTGCCACCATCAGGTGAAAGGAAAAATGGCAACATATTGACTGGCAGGCCTCATATAATTAAAATCTGCCTGCAGGCTGCATTTGGCCCTGGGGCTGGACTTTGGACACGGTCGGACTAAAAGAACCAAACTACAGATATGAACTCACACCTCATAGACTGATATGTACATGAGCTCTTATGACTCTTTCTGAAATAGCTGGGCTGAAAAGTACAAAACAAACTGGCCAATTTTCTCGCCAGTTTAGTCGTATCCAGTTCTGCCCGTGACTCCCCCAATCACACTATACCACCAGTGCTAGGAGGGCAAAGGCGAGCACAAGCTTCCCTTGTGTCATGTGAAGCTCCACCGCATCTTTTCAAACTGCCGCTAATGCAGCGTCATTGGACAGCTGAACGTGCTCGGAGGAGACGCTAACCGCCAGTTCTGTTACGTCAGCTAACAGACGCCTCCACTGGCATCCTGTCCACCCAGAGAGTGCAAGGCTAACTGTGCTCTCTTGGACTCCTGGACACGGACGGCTGTAGCATCACCAGGGATCTAACACCAATACTAATATGAACTCTGTCTGACCTAACCAGCCTTTAAATCCTGATATTTACACTGATTTACAGGTGGAGATTGATATTACCGGCTCTAGGCCTGTGCCTGGTGACAGCTCACCGAGATACAATTAAAAACACTTTATTGCAGGTTTAAAAAACATCATTTATTTGTGGATTTATTTCACGTAAACCACAGCAAGACACTAATATTCCCACACATGATCATAACTGAACTGTTAAACATGTTGGTGACGTGATCCATGTTAATACCACATTTATTGGACTGATATAGATGAGACTGTGTAGATGCAGCTGTTGAGCTGCGCTGGTTGAATGTGAACCTGGTTTAACTGTTTCCTGCTGTCTTCTACACAGTTAGTCTCTGTTTACAGAGCAGGCCTAACTATCTCCAGCTCACGACTAGAGAGTGAGTGGTATTCAGGGACGTGGGAAGGTTTTTTAAGCTGATAACAAAACACCAATCAGGCATAACATTATGACCACAACCTTGTTTCTACACTCATTGTCCACTTTATCAGCTCCACTTACTATATAGGTGCACTTTGTAGTTCTACAGTTACAGACTGTAGTCCATCTGTTTCTCTGCATACTTTGTTACCCTGTTCTTCAGTGGTCAGGACCCCCACAGAGCAGGTGTTATTTGAGTGGTGGTCCTAAGTCTTAAAATCCGGCGGTCTTTGCTCAGATGTTTACATTGGTTTGACTTCACAGCTATAAACCAAATCTAATTATCGATCAGATCTGCAGAGAATGAAGATTTATCCGCTCTCTTCACCAACAGGGTACCAACTTCATAACGTAGTGGAGAACTTATCTCCTGTTCAAAGTAGAACAGCACTGCTGTCACAATAAGAGTCCTTTATAATAAAGCAGACTGTATATGTGCTTCAATAAACATCCTACCAATTAATATTCATATTCTTCATGTTATTATTATTGTTATTGGAAATAACAATATAAATTTAATTAATTATAAGTATTTTTATGCCTCCCTGCAAGGGTATTTTATCCTGTACTGTTGACATTTGCCTCAAACAAATTTCATGCAGCTCAGTACAGAAAAACTAGGCTTGATTAAATATGCTGGTTTAGTCCCCATATATGGACTGTATGGAGTGGAGAGTCAACTTTTACAGTGTTTACGCTCTAAAATTTCATTTTCATTTTAAAAACAGCACAGAAAATTCTGTTTTCCGCGACTAAAACAGCCAGTCTAAGGACGGTAAATGTGTGTTATCTCCACCTGTCCGAGTTGTAAACAAACCGAAATAAAACACTGCTTCTGCAATGACAGCGAAGAGTTCCCGTGATGATTCAAACTCCCGTTTTCCTGCTTTGAGACCGTTTAAGACACTGAAGACGCTGAAGACGCTACTATAAACAAACGCGCCACATTCATAATTTAAGAACCTTAATCAGGTCCGCTGTTTACGGCTCGAGCCCGGAGAGTAAACCCAGCCTGGAGCTCATAAACAGACACTTAAGCTGATTTAATCCCGTTTAATGTTTCTATCGCTGAATCCGGTACAGGGTAAACAGCAGTATCAGCGTTCAGCTCCGGCACTGTTACCGCAACAAGTCTGCTCAGGCCCGGACACGGAGAGCCGGACTCGCCCCGCTAACCGCTCCGTCCGGAGACCCAGACTCAGCAGAGGAGCTCAAACGGAAGGACGCTTACTTGATGCGGGAGCCCATTTCTCCTCTTTTCCTCAGTCCGTCTCTCCCGGGGTGACTGTGAACATGAAGGCGGTGAAACAGTGAGATTCCCCCTCAGTCCGCCCGTTACACAGCACTCCGGAACGCCATAGTCTCCACACGCAGATCACGGTACCGACTGTCCGCGGGAATTCTGGGAGCTGTAGTTCCGGAAGCAGTCAGAGGCGTGTCGGTGGAAAGGGAGCCGCGGCGTGTACAGTATAAATAAACTACATCTACCATGAAGCCACCGGGCAGCGACGCAGGAGTCTCATGACAGAGAAACGTACAGGCTCGAATAGCGCGGTGACAGCTGGATGGGTCGGTTCTGGATGTTCCTTTAATAACTTTAAAGCTGTGGGTTTGTGGATGTTTGTTCAGAAGTTTTAGGGCAGAGCATGTTACATATTTTATCAGCGTCATAACCCGTTTTCACACAGTTGCTAATTGTAACGGACATTCTTCCCTGCTCTTTTCTGTCCCACATGTTCTTACCACGAGCTGACCAAATGATTTAAAATGGAGTTTAATTCAAAGCCAAACAAACCTACTCTAAATGGAAACTGGGCTCATGGCTAAAAGTTTTTGAGACCTTGTCTCTGGATTCACATTTATTTTTCAGTGTTTTCTGCGTGCCCTACTGTAAAGTCTGTAATACATTTTAATTAGACTTTGTCATATCGTCCTTCTGTAGTCGGCGCCATACTCTTATACCCATATAAGGAACTCCGGGTCTAAAAGGAATTTCTCTATGAAAAAAATGACTGGAATTTTCGAAAATGGCCTCTGTCGCATCCAAGTGTGTGTCTATCTATCTATCTATCTATCTATCTATCTATCTATCTATCTGTATATCTATCTATCTATCTATCTATCTATCTATTTATCTATCTAATTATGAGGTCGTTGAAGAGCCTTAATGCTAACATTGCTACATGCGAGCTAAAGCTACTGCGCATCAATTTGATGTCACTAAGCTATTTGAAACTAAGGCGGGCTGTGGCGGTGCTCTGACGAGCTGTGCTACCTTATCGAAATGTTCTACCGTAGCGCATAATTACAGGTATACACGTAAATAGTAGTTTTGCTGCTGGCAGTACTGTTTGATAAAATTTATTTAAATTTCAGAACATCCTACTAACAGGTTTTATATATGAAGCTACCTATAAATATACACTACAGTAGGACGTTTCGACAAGGTAGCACAATTCGTCAGAACACCCGGCTTACTTTCGTCTAGCTTAGTGATGTCAAATTGATCTTCAGCAGCATTAGCATGTAGCAATATTAGTAATATGGCTCTTTAACAACCTCGTAATTCCAAGGATCCAGTGATATTTGGGAAAAAACATATACATGACAAAATGTATTGGGTTCTGAACATTTTTATTCACCACAGGGTGCAAGAGGCAATTTTTCAAAAGCTCCATTCATTTTTGCTATGGAGAACTTAAGCTTAGAGCCAGGGTTTCAAATATGCATATGAAGATGGTCTGTGGTCTTCAGTGGTCTATAGTCCTGCACTTAAACACGAACCTCTGAAGCATTTGGAGCTTTTAACATTCAAGCGGCATGTTCTAATAAATTAATAGAGCAGTAGATTTTCAATGAGTAATCAACAGTCAGTTGCTTTGTGAAACGTTCCATTGGATGATACACCATATAGACAAAATTATTGGGACACCCCTCCTAATTATTGAGTTCAGGTGTTTCAGCCACACTCATTGCTAACAGGTGGATAAAATTAAACACAGTCTTGCAATCTCCATAGACAAACATTGGCAGTGTAGGCAGTGTAAAGCACCACCACTGGACTCTGGAGCAGTGGAAACATGTTCTGTGGAGTGATGAATCAGCTTCTCTATCTGTCAGTCTGATGGACGAGTCTGGGTTTGGCGAATGCCAGGAGAACGTTACCTGCCTGACTGCACTGTGCCAACTGTAAAGTTTGGTGGAGGAGGGACGATGATATGGGGCTGTTTTTCAGGGGTTGGTCTGGAACCCTTAGTTCCAGTGAAGGGAAATCTTAATGCTTCAGCAGACCAAGACATTTTAGACAATTGTGCACTTCCAACTTTGTGCTTCCCAGAAGACTGGAAGCTGTTAGAGCTGCAAAGGGGGACCAACTCCATATTTATGCCTATGGATTTAGAATGGGATTCATAAAAGCTCCTGTAGGTGTCAAGTGTAGGTATCCCAATACTTTTGTCCATATAGTGTAACTACAGATAATACTGGATCTTGTTGAGGAGAGGCCAGGAAACAGTCGAACAAACACACTGAACATACATCATTACTTACTGTACTAATATTTATGTTTGTATTTGATCTAATAGGGATTAATTCAGCAAATATACTGTTACTGAGATAAACAGCTTACATAGCTTTTTTCACTGTACTGTATTTTACAACATTACACTATAATTTTACACTATATTTGTTACTAATCTACTTCAAAAATATGACTTTAAAAAGAAAATATGAATTAAATAATTTACATGTTGTGTCAAATTCTGTGTATTCTTTTGGGAGGTGGGGGGGTTTAATATCTGGTGGGCCAAAGGCAACATATGGTATAAGTTAAGGAACATGTTTATTAGTTAATATTTTAAATTCGGATTCTTTATTCATAAAGGTAGATTTTTGAAATTCCCACCAAACTTTAACTTTCCCCCCAGATCAGTGTCTTTGCTTTATTATTCTCGGCTGAAATTGTGTAACTTCAGAATTTAAATGGGTTGCTATGGATTTTCATTTGACCTATGGGTTTCTTATATATTATGTATTGTAATTAATCATTATTTGTTTGTTTTATTCTGTTAATTGCTCTGTTTGCTTATGCACATCTCAGACTAAACCAGTATCAGTGTCTGTGTTACAGAACCTCCCTATTTTAAGTCCTCAGTTAAGATAAATAAATAAGATCACAGAAGTGGATTTAATTTTATATCGTCTTATAAAAACCCTAAACTATGCAATCGAGGTCGATCATCAGTTGTCATGCCTGTTTCCAGGCAACCCAAGCCGCTGTTAGTTCATAACGGTGTTGTCTGTCTCCATGGTAACCGCAGTGTGAGGGTGCTGCCCCCTGTCGGGTCTCAGTGGTACAGCAGTGAATGAGGAAGCCGCTCCGGCTCGCTGCTTTTAGAAATGACCGTTTTTAGGTCGCCGCTTGTTTTAGTTTCTCTTTTTCGTCGACGGGCCGCGACTCAGGGTCATGTGATCCGCTGTTGATGAAGATGACGGGCTGTTGTCATGGCGACAACCTCTCTGTAAATCTCTTGATGACGTTGAGCATTGGAGAATACGTGAATTGAAAGTATTACCTCACCGGAAATGACGCAGATGATGAGAGCCGCTTCACGTGTTGGGAAACGTGTTGTGTACAGCAGTGTGTAGTTAACAGCGGGGCCAAAAGTGTCTGGACTTTTGTTTCATATTTAATGGTGTTTTAAGTTCGTTGTGTTAGTTAGAAAACTGAATGTCAGTCCCTGACATTTTATTTCTGGTAAAGTCTTCTTTAAGAAGTTGCCTGGTGAAGTTCTTCTTTGCAGGGTTTCTGAAGGTTTGCATCCAGAATATCTTTATGAAAGTTTCTGTCTATCTGTCTATCTATCTATCTATCTATCTATCTATCTATCTATTTTTCTATCTATCTATCTATCTATCTATGTTTATACATCTGAGAAAATTAGAAAAAATCTGATAATCTGGTCAGTAAGTATTTATTTGTTTAGAAAAAGCACTAATATTAGAATAAATCCAAATAACATTTATAATTATTAAAAAAATAAGTCTATTACTGCACTATTTATATTTGCACCAACAGTTACTGTACAAGTTTTTCAGTTTTTCAGTTTTTGACATAATTTGCAAAAACCTGTTGCTCTTTACATTGTGTATAAATTTCATAATGAATGGACCAAAAGAAACAACCCAAAATGACTTGGAAAGAAGTCTGGTTCCATTGACTTACATTGAAAGTAAATTATGTGTTTTTCCTTCTTCTGTGAAATTACCATTTTGGACGACAGTGATATGCTGCTCTCACAGGACATACTACCTCATTGTACGCTCTCCACTCACTCTGTATGTATGTAAATATATTTATATTTGCATATCTTTTACCACTATACCGTTCTTCTGTACTTTATATGTAAATAACACTGTATTTTGCACTTCTGGTTAGATGCTAACTGCATTTCATTGGCTCTGTACTTGTACTCTGCACAATGACAATAAAGTTGGATCTAATCTAATCTAATCTAAAGGTCTAGAGTTAACCAGGACATGATTGTTGGAATCATTTTTACATGATTTTCATTTGCATCAACAAAACAACTAATATAATCAAAGAAACAAGGTCCGGACCACCGCAGGACCCCCACAGGATGCTCCTAAGACCACCACAGGACCCCCACAGTAGCACCACAGGACCACCACCGAGCAGGAACTGAAGAGGGAGATTGTGAAGACTCAGAAAAGCCTTGGCAGCTTTTAACAGTACCGATCATTAAGCCTACTGAAGAGTGTGTATTAGCTTTGATGGAGGTTATAAACACATTCAGGCTCTGTTTCCTTCTCAAAGACGCGCGCGCCTCCTCAGCACTTTGTGCGTTCGTCGCCAGAGGGCGCGCTCTGTCTGTCTCTGTCGATAATCCAAACAATAATTACAATAATTTTGTATTACTTTTCTAAATCTGGAGCGCCAGAATAGTGATGGAACCTCCCTTTGGTTGTGAAGTTCGATCCTGAAGCTCTTCGACGACTTTTCACCCAATTCCTCTCCGACTAGCGTCTGTGGCGCTATGCGCATGCGCGGCAGCTCCACTGATGCTGAGGCGCTTCCGAAGTTCAGCGAAGACTCTCTCCGCCCAGCTCGCGGAAAAACAGAGCGGAGCGCCCGCGCGCTACAGGAGAACATGTAGAGAGAGAGAGAGAGAGACAGACAGAGAGAGAGAGTGAGAGTGAGAGTGGAAAGGAGAAGAAGAGGAGCGCGCAGCTGCACGAGGCACGAAGAGGAGTAAAACAAGGCTGATGCGTTTCTGATCCGGATAGAAGGAGATTAAAGGTAGGATGATGAAAAAAACGCGCTTAGAAAGTTAAAGCTGGATAAGCGTGGTGAAATGGCTCGCGCTCCTGATAGTAAGACTGCGCAGGAGCGTCAATAATAAGTGCACGTGCGTACACGTTATATCTGTGTGATGCGTGAGTGTTGGCGCAGAGGCTGAGCGCGTGCTTTACAGTGAGCTGAGACGCTAACTTTAGCTGAAACAGCCTGTTTCACAGTGGGTGTGTGGGTGTGTGTGTGTGTGTCTTTTGGGGGGTAAACAGGGAAATGGAGAGCAGGCCGAGCTGCGCACTGCTTCACTTTAACTTCCTCAACTCAGCTTAACTGCTAAAAGTCCGTTTCATGCTCGAATTTTCCCGTTCCACCTTAAATGGTGCAGGCGCCAGAATGTAACTGCTGCACCATTTAAGGTGGAACGGGAAAATTCGAGCATGAAACTGGCGAAGAGGAAGCTGATGAGGAGTCTAGAGGAGCTGTGCTGAGGACTTAGCAGCCAATTCAGGCGTCTGAGCGTAATTACACTGAAAACATAGACAGAAGGGTCTTTTTTTTGTTCGCTTCAAGTTTCAGTAAGTCTTATTCGCGCATCTGCAGTGCTGCTGTGAGCTCATTAATATTCATGAGCACCACTACTTTTCAACGCGCGGCCCCGCCCCCTCACATGTCTTGAAATGGTTGGTTTTTGACTGGGCGATTAAAAACGGTTAGAAGTTGCGTTCTCGATTAATCGATTAATCTGTGAAGTGTTTGTGTCGGCCACAGTGTTTCTTCTACGAAATACTATATTTATTGTATTTTGTATGCAATAAAGACTTCGTTTGTATCTTTTTCAGTAAAGTATATTGGACTGTTTGAACAACTCTACACATTATATTATTGCTCAGTTAAGCTTGTTTTTATTATTTGGTCTTAAAAACAACGCACATTTCTCGATTAATCATCCAAATAATCAGCAGATTTTTCAATTATTATTACAATTAATTGTATCAGTCCTAATTTTCAATGGCGTGTTCTTTACGCCTTTGGCAATACCATTAAACTGTAATTATGTTATTACATATTTAATTGCCCTGTTAATGAGTTACATTAACATTATATTTCATTAATTACACACAGGATTTACTAATCTAATCTAAAAACTATAATAGGTTTAAAATAACAGCACGCTTGCAGCACTAACTGTAACTGTGATGTCCAGAGGTTAATTACACAGTAATACGGGTCACATTCTAATCACTGATTCAGTCTCACATTGTTCAGTGTTTTTCCTGCACTAACTTTCACATCCTGCACTGCGTCTTTAAGACTCGGGGGGATTTCACAAAGCACACTGCAGAACTTAAAGAGGAATTCCACCCATTTTCCAAAATTCCCCCATAACCCCTCTAAACTATCATAAAACAGTGTCTCAGTCATCAGGCAGTGAATTCATAACCATTTCATGTAGTAACTTTCTGTGAGGGAGCTTTTAGAGGTGGACGTCTGGTTCCTATCACCACCACTGTGAAAAGTTCTGACTCGGTAAATTTATCTAGAACAGAGCGTTTCACACCAAACCACTCTGGACGATTCTGTTTACATCTTAACCACTAAATTATGCAGAGAACCTTAGGAAAATCAGTGGAGTTCCCCTTTAAGCCTGAACTGAAGACCGTTAGATGTGAAAGTCTCTCTGCTCTTTACCTTTTGGACTAATCTGACGTCTGGATGAAGTTCTCCGGGTTAACTGAGTAGCCGTGCTCTGTGAAAGCGTGTATTATGTAGTGTGTGTGTGTTACTGAGTGAACCTCAGTGTGTCTTCTGATTGTGGAAGTGCTCTTTAATGCCTTCAGCGTGAGTCACTCCAGACCAACACTTCCAAAAAAACACAGAGAAAGAGAAGAGGGAGGAGAGAGAGCGGGATTCTCTTACAATCTGAATCATAACAAACGCCCTGCTTCCTCCTTCGGCCTCTCTCTCTCTCTCTCTCTCTCTCTCTCTCTTTCTCTCTCTCTGTCTGTCTCTCTTTCTCTCTCTCTCTCTCTCTCTCTCTCTCTCTCTCTGACTAACTCTGTTCAGTTTGTTTAACAGTAATCTGAGATCATGTTCGTACAGTACAGGCTGTGTTCTGACAGATCTCTCTGTGCCTGATCAATATGTGTTATTTAGCAAATAAAAAAAGCAGCTTTTACCTGTTTTTCAAAATTTCTCATGAACAGATTCGTTCAGAGTGGTTCAGAGTAGTTTAGAGTGGTTCTTAGCTCTAGAGAAACTTACTGAGTCAGGGTTGTTCACAGTGGTGGTGATAGGAACCAGACGTCCACCTCTAAAAGCTCCCTCACAGAAAGTTACTACATGAAATGGTTATGAATTCACTGCCTGATGACTGAGACACTGTTTTATGATAGTTTTATAACATATACATGTAGGACTTTAGTACACGTCCTTGTTTCTACACTCAGTGTCCACTTTATCAGCTCCACTGACCGTATAGTTTCACTTTGTAGTTCTACAATTACTGACTGTAGTCCATCTGTTTCTCTGCATACTTGGTTACCCTGTTCTTCAGTGGTCAGGACCCCCACAGGACCCTCACAGAGCTGGTACTATTTGGGTGGTGGATCATTCTCAGCACTGCAGTAACACTGACGTGGTGGTGTGTTAGTGTGTGTTGTGCTGGTATGAGTGGATCAGACACAGCAGTCCTGCTGGAGTTTTTAAACACTGTGTCCACTCACTGTCCACTCTATTAGACACTCCTACCTTGTCAGTCCACCTTGTAGATGTAATATGTCTGTGTGTGTGTGTGTATGTGTGTGTAGTCTGTGTGTGTAGTGAGTGTGTGTGTGTGTATAGTCTGTGAATGTGTGTGTGTAATGTGTGTGGTGGGGGGTTTGTGGGTTTGCAGGGAGAGTGTTTGAGTGACACTGAAACCATTTTTGTGGAACAAACACTGAACTGAATGAATAGCGAAATTAAACTGTGTCACTCAACTCACGCACACAGACAGATGGAGAAAAGAGGACAGAAGTACAGACAGACAGGCAGACAGACAGACAGACAGACAGAGAAACAGAGAGAGAAAGAGATACGGACAGACAGGCAGAGAGAGGCAGACAAACAGGCAAACAAAGAAAGACAGACAGGCAGACAAAGAGAAAGACAGAGCAACAGACAGGCAGAGAGGGAGAAAGACAGACAGACATGTAGACAAAGAGAAAGACAGGCAGACAGAGAGACAGGCAAGCAGACAAAGAGAAATAAAGACAGACTGGCAAACAGGGAGACAGACAGACAGACAGGCAGACAAAGAGAAAGACAGAGTGACAGACAGGCAGAGAGGGAGAAAGACAGAGAGACAGGCTAACAGAGAGATAGGCAGGCAGACAAAGAGAAATAAAGACAGACTGGCAAACAGGGAGACAGACAGACAGACAGGCACACAAAGAAAGGCAGACAGAAAGACAGAGTGACAGACAGGCAGAGAGGGAGAAAGGCAGACAGACATGTAGACAAAGAGAAAGACAGAGAGGCAGACAAAGAGAAAGACAGGCATACAGAGAGATAGACAGGCAGGCAGGCAGGCAGTGGGGAACTCATGGTTGTGATGTCACACATTGTGATGTTTGCCTGTCTCTAACGAGCTCAGTGTTATTAGACCATAGACCTGATGATGTAGATGATAATTAAAACTTCAGCTCTCCTGGATTTTAATCATATTTCTGCAGTTTTAAACCTGCTGAGACTGTAATCCATGTATGAAGAGCATCGCAGGTTAAAACTGAAGCTGGATCACCAGTTAGTGTCACAGCACCATCTGCAGAGCTTGGAAATATGATGGTATTTTAATCTCATTATGACAAATGTTACTGTCATAATCAGCAGGCTTTTGTGAGCATGTGGTGGATTTTATATCACTAAAGTGAAAGTATAATTAGGATTTTTTCGCAGCAGCTATAAAATACAGTTTCTGCCTGTGTTGGAGCTGCTCACTTTCTGAACTATGTATTTTTTTGTATTCAGTAACATTGTTGGAATATATTCAGATGGAAATTTGTAGGTATTAAACCAGAAGTGAACTGGATTTTTATCTTCGTTTCTAGAAGTGTTGTTGTTCAGGACTGTTTAAGAAGCTGCAGTCGTCTATCTCAGCACGGACGTCTTGTGGAGAGGTGTGAACTGTCTTTCACAGCGGGGCCTCACACCCCTCCCCTTTCAATCTCATTTCTCACTAGCAGCTCAACGTTTCACACACTGAGAGACGACATTGTGTAGCCCAGAGGTCGCACCCCAAATGTTAAGAAGAGCCATTTTGTCCTTTCTACAAAAATCAATCCATCCTGGGAGCCACAACATTTTATGTCCATTTTACCATCTTGGCTTTAAATACGTCGCAGTATGAGTTAATGTGCTAGTGTAGGCTATCAAATTATATATAAACGAAAACGCAGACTTACTTTGCTCTGCTTTAAGCTTTAGCTCAGCTATAGCCGCTTTTCTCGCATCTCCAGCAAACTTTTCAGCAAAAGTAGAACAATTTCTTGTAAAATGTCTCTCAACGTTTGACTTTTTACGAGGCTGAAGTCGCTTCTCAGCTGGAGTGATTATAAACGCAAGTAAGTCCATTATCTATTAGCTATGCCAGACTGTTGTCTGTGTTGCTATGGTGACCAGCAGTCTGCGCTGATCTTCAGGGTTAAAGGGTGAATTAGCAGTTCTACATTAACTCCAGCGTTTAAGATCATTTATTGTTAAACTGTGTTGAACGATCAGCAGAGCTTTATTTTACTGTAAAGGAGGATTATTTTATTTTTACCTACAAACATAATTCTGCCACATGTTGCTGACCCCTGTCCTAGTTCATGTGATAACAGAGTCAGTTTTATTTGATTATATTGCCTAAAAATATAGAGTTGATTTCTAGTCCACCAGCAGAATGACCACTAGAGGGTGCTGAAGAGGTCAGCGCTGTTTAATTGGTTTAGTGCAGTGCAGACTGTGAAATGTTGAATACAAATCATCGTTTTTGTCAGCGTTTGTGGCACTGCTGGTGTGTTGAAACATGTCTTTAGTACTGCAGTATGATATTTTTATCACATTGTCCAACACGTGGAGCTAAATTAGACAGAACGGTTACCGCAACTTTTACACATTCATTCAGAGCTGCGTGCAGTGTCTGAATGTAGAGTGAGTGTGTGTGTGTGTGTGTGTGTGTCTGTGTGTGTGTGTGTGTGTGTGTGTGTGTGTGTGTGTGTGTGTGTGTGTGTGTCTGTGGCGGGAGGTTTTTGTGGGTAAATTCCTCTCCAGCATCTTGTAGCAGGTGAAAAGTGTTGAGTGACGCAGTGTGAAACCTTTCTGTGGAACACCAAATAAAGAGTGCAATTAGACGACGTCACTCCGCTCACGCAGGCCGAGAAAAAAAAGCTACTCATATCCGAAATACCCAGAACATCAGAGCAGAGGAATCCGTGGAGCTGCTGTGTGTGCAGCAAGCCTGTGCGAGCACTCTTTCCTAGAACTGCTCATGTGCGCGGGTTCCTTGCTGTGATATTCTGAGTAATCTGGATTGACACGTGTCTGTGGACCGTGACAACAGAGAGTTTCCAACAGCTCAGAGCAGAGCAAGGAGAGAATAAAGAAAGAAACAAAGTGAGAAGGAAAAGAGCAGCAGCTACTAAACTGACCACGCTGGAAAAGAGTCTGAATGACATGAAGTGAGTTCAGCTGCTATAAGGTCGTCCATCGCTGACACAGCTTGTAGAATCTCCTTAGAAGCACTGACCAATAGAATAGAGCAGCTGCACATGATCCTAAGGTCTCCATGTCCAATGCCCAGCCTGGGCTAGGGGGTATAAAGCCCCCCAGCATTGGGCTGTGGAGCAGTGGAGCTGTGTTCTCTGTAGTGATGGAGCTCCATTCAGTACCTTTGGGATGAGTCAGAGTGATCCAGAACTGACCATCCAACATCAGTACCTGACCTCACTAGTGCTCAATCAAATCCTCACAGCAATGTTCAACATCTAGTATAGAGCTTTCCCAGAAGAGTAGAGGCTGTTACTGCAGCACAGACTCACTGTGAACACCTTCATTTCAGAAGAAACTCTTTGGACACATTATGTATCATCCTAATTACTGTGTGAGTCGTATTAGAAGGTAACAAATGGAATGTCCTCGTTATGTGTTTGAGCCAATCAGATGTGTTGTTGGTAGGGTGAGACCCCATTTTACACCTGCTCGTTTCAGAGGATTTATGGATTTTGGATTTTAATCACTTGTATGTATGCTTGCTAATCAGATGCGTCTCTGGTTAGTCAGATTATGCAAATCAGCTCATTTAGAAAACATTTGCATGGCACTAAAGTTATTTTATAACTGAATGCTTTACAGTTCATAATGAGTCAGAGAATAATTTGCATATATTTCTGTAGAAACGGATAAGAAAAGTTAGACTATGTTGTAGAACGTTTATGTATCAACTCTAAATGCTGTATGATGCCCAGATTGATCTGCATTTGATTATAAGGCCTTGTGAAGAATGCTATAAGAAGACATAATGTTTATGTCTGTAAACATTCGGCAGGGGGAGCTCTCACTGGTTTTACTAGTTGATTAAATGGCAAACGCTTTAGTTTCATTTCCTTATTTATTCCCTTTTTCGGGTTACAACCAAGGTGCAAAATACAAGGGGTCCTAGGGGTCTGGGACTCCCTAATTAACCTCTTGGACCCCCTGAATATCTCAAAATCAAAATTCCTGGGGCCCCTGAAAATAAACATATTATGACGTCATGCTGTCATTGTTTATCTGCTTCACCCACAATCAGCTTCTGTCTTTGGTGTTCTTAACTAACCAGAGCTGCAGCACTGCTCTGCCTCAGGGTGGCGCTGTAGCAGACTGGTTCACCCAGTTGGTCCTTCATAGCCTAGAAACTGCAACTCTGCCCAGATTCCTCTGAACTGATAATATACTGATAATGAACTAATAATGAACCTTTAATGTACTAATAATGTACTGATAATGTACTGATAATGAAGTGATAATATATTGATAATATACTGATAACATACTGACAATATACTGATAATGTACTAACAATGTATTAATAACGTACTGATAATGAAGTGATAATGTACTGGTAATGTACTAATGTACTGGCAACATATTAATAATGTACTAAAAATGAACTGATAACATACTGATAATATATTGATGATAGTATGCTGATAATGTACTGATAATATATTAATAATAAACTGACAATGTGCTCATACTATATTGATAATGTATTGATAACACACCAATAATATAGTGACAATGAACTGATGTTCTGCTAATATACTGATAATGTACCAATAATGTACTGGTAGTATATTGATGATAGTTTATTGATAATGCACTGATAATGTAATGATAATATACTAATAGTGTACTGATATTGTACTAATAACATATTGATAATGTACTAATAATGGATTGATAATATACTGATAATATATTGATGATGTACTAACAATGAACTGATAATGTACTGATAATATATTGATAATGTATTGATAACACACCAATATATTGACAAAGAACTGATGTTCTGCTAATATACTGATAGTGTACTGATGAAATATTGATAATAAACTGATAATATAATGATAGTTTATTGATAATGTACTGATAATGAACTGATGATGTATTGATTATATACTGTGTGTTTATGTGTTACAGGTGTGGTATGTCAGTATGGAGGGTCAGCACAGCCAGCAGGATCAGAATAAAAATGACACGCTACCAGAACACGACAACCAGGTCAGACACACACACACACACACACTACCACAGAACCACCCCCACCGCACACACACTTTACAACACTTTAACACTTTAATACTGATTTCAGTTTGCCTTACTCATCCCCTAAAAACTGCCCACTCATCTGTCCACTCATTTCTGTTATCTAGAGTTAGTTACTCTTACTGACTCTCCCGTAGAGTAATTACAGTAATTACAGTACTCGAGTATTTATTCATCACTGCTGCAATTAATTTAATCAGCAAAAGCTGTTAGATAGAGCTAGAGTGTAAATGATTAACTGCTAGCCAATTAGTAAACCATTCGAGCTGAAGCACGTTTATGGATTGCACACATGAGGGCGCTATAGTCAGTTAGTTCTGCTACAGAGGTGTTGTGCAATTAAATCCTCACTGCAATGTTCAAGATATAGTGTAAAGCCTTCACAGCAGAGTAGAGGCTGTTACTGCAGCACAGACTCACTATTAACACCTTCATTTCAGAGGAAACTCTGGAGTGTCCACAGGTTTGGACACAGACTGTATGTGCAGTGTTTATAATATGTGCTTTAATAGTTTGAGTTGAGATTCTGTTGTGCAGGTTCTGGTTCTGGTTCTGGTGTTACGTGTAAGTAACTCTCGCTCCTCTTTCGTTTTGGCAGAGTTACTGCAGCGCACTGTCCAACTTCCGCATCGAGAAGAAGATCGGCCGCGGGCAGTTCAGTGAGGTGTACAGAGCCACGTATCTGCTGGAGAACAAGCAGGTGGCTCTGAAGAAAGTACAGGTACCTCTACCATGCGCACTGTGACTGAGAGGGTCAGCAATACATAGAAACTGTAAAAATGTGATTTTTGAAAACATCTTCGCTATACACAGAACATGACAGTCATTTTTCTAAGGTTCTGCTTACAGAGTTGTGAACATACCCATCACTTTCTCAGAAATGCGTGTCATCACAAAATTCATCATAATAATGTATATTATACTCTCAGAAATAAAGGTAGTAAACTGTCACAATCTTGTCACTGGGGTGGTCCCCTCAAGGCTCCATCTCAGGACCTTTAGTCAGGGAACATAACTGAACCATAATCCACTGAAATGATATGTTCTAAGCTGTACTGACTCCACACACCCCGTCTCGCCTCCAGGCTTTTATTTTACTGTTCTGTTTTAAAACATTCGGTTATGAAAAGGTACAAATACAAACTTTTCACCTGGAAAAACTTATTTAAGGTTCACAATCAGACCTTAAAACCACTGTTGGAGCTTTGAGGGAAAGTTTACATTGTTTGTACCTTGATGAGGGAAAAATGTACCTGAACAGAACCTTTATTTCTAACAGTGTAACAACACCCCCACCCCCCCAAAACACTCACACAAGACATCAGACTACATGGCGTGAACAATATCAGACATTTCCCCACCGCGCAAACCATCTGCTCTGCGTAGTCGTGTGAGCTGAAACGAAGGTTCAGTTCTTGTGTTTATGGTAATTGTAGTCCATCAGGTAATATGAAAAATAGAGGGCAAATCCAGATGTCTGTAAACAAAGGTTCTCACGATGTACTAAATGCCCAGAAGTTTTTTTGGGGGCTGTAATGTTATCGTTAAAGCCAGCAATGATTTGTGATTTTACGGTTTGCCTGTTAAAAAAACGAAGCCCTTCCTAAAGACTTCTCTAGATCTGAAAGCTGAGGTGCCCCCTGCTGTTCCTACTGCCTTTAGCCTATATACTATCTAGAACCAGGTAATAATAAAGAGCTGATTAAATCAAAAATCACTTATTAAGACCGATTCTTACCTTTAGGTAGTAAACTATTTAGATTCATATAGTTTTAGTCTCAGAATATTTAAGTTGGTTTAAACCTATTTTAACAACCAGTTGTGGATAAATATGGAAGAGCTTTTAGTGATTTTTGCAGTTAAACTTTCCTGAATTTGTAAAGAAAACTGACTTGAAAACTTGTTAATGCTTCAGTAATAAAACATTGCCAATCATACACTAATAGTGAATGAAATTAGATGATAATTCATGCTGAATAATTTAGTAAGTTTAATAAGTTTTGCCCATTCATCCAGAAGAGCATTTGTGAGGTCAGACACTGATGTTGGACGAGAGGGTCTGACTCACAATCTCCATTCTAGTTCATCCCAAAGGTGTTCGATGGGGTTGAGGTCAGGGCTCTGTGAGGGCCAGTCAAGTTCTTCCACACCAAACTCACCCAGTCATGACTTTATGGAGCTGCTTTGTGCACTGGGTCTCAGTCAGGCTGGAACAGGAAAGGTTCTTCCCCAAACTGTTCCCACAAAGTTGGAAGTGTACAGTTGTCCAAAATGTCTTGGTCTGCTGAAGCATTAAGATTTCCCTTCACCGGAACTAAGGGTTCTAGATCAACCCCTGAAAAACAGCCCCATATCATCATCCCTCCTCCACCAAACTTTACAGCTGGCACAGTGCAGTCAGGCAGGTAACGTTCTCCTGGCATTCACCAAACCCAGACTCGTCCATCAGACTGACAGATAGAGAAGCTGATTCATCACTCCACAGAACACGTCTCCACTGCTCCAGAGTCCAGTGGTGGTGCTTTACTCCACTCCATCCGACGCTTGGCATTGTGCTTGGTGATGTAAGGCTGCATGCAGCTGCTCGACCATGGAAACCCTGCCATGAAACTCCCGGCGCTCAGTGTTTGTGCTGACGTTGATGCCAGAGGAGGTTTAAATCCGCAGTTATTGATCAGCAGAGCATTAAAGACTGTTATGCACTATACGTCTCAGCACTCTGCGACCCGCTCTGCAACTTTACATGGTCTGACACTTCGTGCTGTGGTTCCTAAACGCTTCACTTTTCAATAATACCTCTCACAGCTGATTGTGGAATATTTAGGAGGGAAGAAATTTCACAAACTGACTTGTTACAACGGGGGCATCTTACAGCACCACTCTGGAATTCAGTGGGCTCTTTAGAACAAACTAGTCTTTCACTAATGTCTGTAAAGGCAAACTGCATGGCTAAGAGTTTGAGTTTATACACCTATGATACACCTGTGGCAATGAGACTGAATTAAACACCTGAATTCACTGATTAAGAGGTGTGTTCCAATACTTTTTGTATATAGTGTGGTATATATGTCATATGTACAGTGATATATATACAGTATATGTGTATGTAGAGATATAATATCTGTATATAGCCCTGCGATGGACTGGCAACCTGTCCAGGGTGTATCCTGCCTTCCGCCCAGTGACAGCTGGGATAGGCTCCAGCACCCCACCGCGACCCAGAAGGATAAGTGGTTTAGATGATGTGTGCGTGTGAATATCTGTATATAATAACAGTGTTTGTGTTTTATTGTTGCTGTGTGTTTGCGTGTCTCAGATTTTTGAGATGATGGACGCTAAATCTCGTCAGGACTGCATTAAAGAGATCGACTTGCTGAAGGTTAGTGATGAGATTAAACTCTGCTCTGTGATGGAGGTCAGAGTGTTTATCTATGTTTTGAAAAAGAAACATTTCTGTGAGATATGTTTATGTATATATACGTGTGTGTGACACTGTCCTCTTCCGTCCTGCAGCAGCTGAATCATCCCAACGTGATAAAGTATCTGGACTCCTTCATTGAGGATAACGAGCTGAACATCGTGTTGGAGTTGGCCGACGCTGGAGATCTGTCACACATGATAAAGGTGAGTTTGTGATCAGAGCTGCAGGAGATTCGAAAATGACCGAGGAAACTGTAGAACATCCAGAACGGAGTTACAGTGCTGTGAGAAAGTATTCACCCCCTTCCCATTTTCTCCATTTTTTTGCATATTTGTCACACTTGAATGTTTCAGATCATCAGACTACTCTTATTGCTACACAAAGATACGCAAGTAAACAAAAAATAATGTTTTTAAATGATAATTTCATTTTTATAAAGAAAAATGCCGTTCATCCCTACCTGACCCTATGTGAAAAAGTAACTGCCCCCTTAGCTACTAAATGAACCAGTTAACCAAATTTTATTTGACTACTGGGTTCAGTTTCACTGACCACACCCAGGCATGATTACTGCCAGACCTGTTAAATCTAAACATCACTTAAAAACAACCTGTCTGGCAGTGTGAAACAGCTAGAAGGTCTCAAAAAGCAGCACATGATGCCACGTTCTAAAGAGATTCAAATACAGAGGCGAAACAAAGTCACTGAAATCTACCGTCTGGAAAAGGTTACAAAGCCATTGCCAAGACTCTGGGACTCCAGTCATCTTACAAACTGGAGAAAACTTGAAGATATGGGTCCCATTGCATCTAGCGCAAAGCTAACACCTCATTCCACCATAACATTATACCAACAGTGAAACACGGTGGTGGTAGTGTGATGGTCTGGGCCTGCTTTGCTTCTGCACGACCTGGACGACTAGTCATAATTAATCGAGCCATGAAGTGGAGAATGTCTGCCCGTCAGTTTGTGACCTAAAGCTCAAGTGCAGTTGGGTTTGCAGGAGGACGATGATCTGAAGCACACATGCTCCACACAAGTCCACCTCTGAATGGCTCAAAAGAACTAAAATGAAGGAGTGGCTGAGTCAAAGTCTGACTAGAACCCCTATTGAGATGCTGTGGGTGAGACCTTAAACAGGCAGCTCATGCTCAAAAACCCTCTAATGTAGCCGAATTAAAACAATTCTGTAAAGAAACGTCGGCCAGAATTCCTCCACAGTGATGTAGAGGACTCACTGCAAGTTATCGCAAACGTCTGATTGCAGGTGTGACAACCAGCTATTAGGTTTAGGGGCAGTTACTTTTTCACATGAATGATATAGGTTTTGAATACATCTTGAGATTATAATAAAATTAATATCAATCTTATGATAAAATTTGTATACAGAATTCTAACAGTTATAATAAAACTAACATCCAGAATACGCTTATTTGAAATAATTACAGTAATTATTTATTATCACAGTGCTGCTGTTTAGTGAGCTGTCTGCATATCTGCATATATATATATATATATACACACAACTCCAGCAGCACTGCTGTGTCTGATCCACTCAGACCAGCGCAACACACACTAACACACCACCACCACATCAGTGTTACTGCAGTGCTGAGAATGATCCACCACCCAAATAGTACCGGCTCTGAGGGTCCATGGGGGTCCTACAGTCTGTAACTGTAGAACTACAAAGTGCACCTATATAGTAAGTGGAGCTGATAAAGTGGACAATGAGCGTAGAAACAAGGAGGTGGTCATAATGTTATGCCTGATCGGTGTACAGTTGTATGCAAAAGTTTGTGCACCCTGGTCAAATTCCATATTGTTGTTGTTGAAGTGAAAAGTTAAGACATCCTGTACAGAGAACACACTTCTGCACATTGTACTACACAGTTACTGTTTATTTACTGCATTTAACCTATCGGAAAACAAATAGACCATAAAATATGGCCTGTGCAAAACTTAGGGTTATTTCATATTTTATGTTTTTTTTTCCTACATGTATTCATACTCTTGCTTATTCTTACATCTTTAATGCTGTTGTGAATACTTATGTTACCCACCTGGGATCGAAAAAGCCTTATCATTTAATAACTTTTTGATGATCCCAGAAAACATGAAATATTTAATAAAGCATCTGAAAATACCTTCTGTCATCTTACTTAGAGTATTTCAGTCTACACTGAATATTACCGACTAAAATAACAGCGTGTGTGTGTGTGTGCAGTACTTTAAGAAGAAGCGGAGGCTGATTCCTGAGAGGACGATATGGAAGTACTTTGTTCAGCTGTGCAGTGCAGTGGAGCACATGCACTCCCGCAGAGTCATGCACCGAGGTACACACACACACACACACACACACACCCACACTCACACACATACACACACACACACACACACAGACACACACACACACACACACACACGCACACCATTATTCTTAACTTTTCAACTGTGATTCCAAATTTTGGAACTGTAATTCTAAACTTCTGAACTCTTCTGTGACTCCAGACTCTTGACTGGTGGTGTAACGGTCTGTGTGTATGTTTCTGTCTCTGTCAGATATAAAACCAGCTAACGTGTTCATCACAGCGACTGGAGTGGTCAAACTGGGAGATCTGGGTTTGGGACGCTTCTTCAGCTCCAAAACTACAGTCGTTCATTCACTGGGTGAATATATACACACACACACATACACATATATGCATATCACATGTATACATATATATACATACACACATGCACAGATCGCACATCAGCCCCATGTATTCAGTGATAAAAAGTTAAGCACTGCTAAGATAAATAAGTTAGAAATACTACTATTAATAATAGTAATTATTAGTAATATAAGTATAGTTATGACAGTTTATTTTATGATGATTGTCCACTGAAGGATCTAATGGGAGTAGATTTTTGGCTGTAGTTGCTGTACTTTAGCTAAAGCTACTGTACAGTGTTTGTAATGGTTAAGTATTGCTGGCTGAATCTTCAGTGCATCAGTGGTCACCAACACTTCCTCCTGGAGATCTTCCTTTCTGCACACCCAACCTAAAGGTAACACACATTAATACGCTAATAAAGAACTTCTGAAGGTAAGAATTAGACTGATTAGGTGTGGTGGATTCGGGTTGGAGCTAAAGTCCGCAGGAAGGAATCTCCAGGGTTTGTAAGTCCAGGCATTTGAATTTGTTTGTGATGGTCATTAGTGAGCAGGATCTGATGATCTGATTCATTCCGTCATCGACTTCTTTCATATAAATCACTCCAACAACAACCACATCAGTTTCTGAAAGCTGTGTTTGTCCCACCCTCAGTTTCTGAATCCTCTGTTTGACCCCCCTCTCAGTGGGAACCCCGTACTACATGTCTCCTGAGAGAATCCACGAGAACGGCTACAACTTCAAGTCAGACATCTGGTCTCTGGGCTGTCTGTTGTACGAGGTACACAAATACAGTTCATGTATTACTATTAATTACTCTCTCTCTCTCTCTCTCTATATCTCTATATATATATATATATATATATATATATATATATATATATATATAAAGAGAGCGAGAGAGAGTACTGTACAGAGACACCTCCTTTTATGTAATTTTCTGTCAAAAGTCATAATTTGTTTTCAGCGTCAGAAAAAAAAACAGAAAACACATTTAACAGAAAATTTCACACAAGCCTCAACAACCAGATATCAGCATTTAATTTGTCCACTCTTTACTTTTGTGCACCTGCTGTCACTTTAACTCCATCCTTACAATCTTAAACCCAACCAGTTACAGCTGTCCTCCAACAAAAGCTTCCTAAAGGTGTCACTGACGTTGTTCCCCTTCAGACTGACACATTCATACAAAGAACTACCCAAACTCACCTCAGCTGCCTCACACATTTCTCTCATCTAAAATGACTAAAGGAGATATTTGTGAGGAGATTAGACATGAGGTAATGAAGGGAAATAAGTGAGTTTCTAAAACTGGAGTTTAAAAACTGATTAAAAGTTACAGACTCCCGTGTGCCTCCTAACAACCGCCTGGAAGAGCTGTTAGACCCCAAAACTGCCCCATCAGATAAACAGCACTTAGAGCTTTCATCTTTGAGAGAGAGGAGAAAATCGAGCTGCTTCAGATCTGAAAACATCCACAGGTGTTTCTGTCCATCCTTCCACTGTGAGAAGACGACTCAGCGCTGTGGGTCTGAAAGGATGTGTAGCTGTCAAGAAGAACCTCACTGAGAAAAGGAGACGGACACATCAAACAAAGAAGCTGAACAATGGACTGACCACCCCAGAGTCCAGACCTCAACACCACTGAATGTGTTTGATTACTTCAGAAAATCATCAACCAGCTTCTACGACTGAACTTTGGAGGTGTGTCTGCAGATTCTTTGAGGAACTGAAAGTGAGTCTCCTGAACAGAATGGAAGCTGGAATAAAGGGAAGGAGTGACTCACTGACTCACACAGCTGAGAGTAGAGTTAGTCACTGAGGCTTCTGAGTCATTTTCTGTTAAATGTGTTTTCTGCTTTTTTTTTCCCAATGCTGAAAAATGAACTTCCTCAGTTATTATGGAATCATCTGCAGCTCCGTTCATCTGTGAAAAGTTCTTGTTACAGCTTCCTTTAAATTGTCTGAATCTCACCGATGTAGATTAGAGGAAATGTTAATGTGTGTGTGTTTGTATCAGATGGCGGCGCTGCAGAGCCCATTCTACAGCGATCAGATGAACCTGCTGATGCTCTGCCAGAAGATTGAGCAGTGTGATTATCCTCCTCTACCTCCAGACCACTTTTCAGAGAAGGTACACACACACACACACACACACACACACACACACACACACACACACACTTTCATAGTAATAGTTTTGGCCAATTTAGTCACTAATGACGAGCACAGTGTAGATGATATAAACCAGATATCAGAAGATGTTTTTAGATGTTTACATACATACACACACCATCCCCCTCCTTGTTTCTACACTCATTGTCCACTTTATCAGCTCCACTGACCGTATAGTTTCACTTTGTAGTTCTACAGTTACAGACTGTAGTCCATCTGTTTCTCTGCATACTTTGTTACCCTGTTCTTCAGTGGTCAGGACCCCCATGGACCCTCACAGAGCAGGTACTATTTGGGTGGTGGATCATTCTCAGCACTGTTGTAACACTGACGTGGTGGTGGTGTGTTAGTGTGTGTTGTGCTGGTCTGAGTGGATCAGACACAGCAGTGCTGCTGGAGTTTTTAACCACTGTGTCCACTCACTGTCCACTCTATCAGACACTCCCACCTTGTCAGTCCACCTTGTAGATGTAAAGTCAGAGACGATAGCTCATCTGCTGCTGCACAGTTTGTGTCGGTCATCCTCTAGTCCTTCACCAGTGGTCACAGGACGCTGCCCACAGGACGCTGTTGGCTGGATATTTTTGGTTGGTGGACTATTCTCAGTCCAGCAGTGCCACTGAGGTGTTTAAAAACTCCAGCAGCACTGCTGTGTCTGATCCACTCAGACCAGCACAACACACACTAACACACCACCACCATGTCAGTGTTACTGCAGTGCTGAGAATGATCCACCACCCAAACAGTACCTGCTCTGTGGGGATCCTGACCATTGCACAACAGGGAAACCATGCAGCACATTAGAACCATTTTATACATTTACTATATACTTTTTATACACTTCTCTACAACTATATTGGTTTCTTATTATTAAAAACTGTTTTCAGACCTTTCTGAAGTTCAGATGTAGTAGTTTAATGTTTTAACTGAATGTAAAAACTGTCTTTGTGTCGTAGTTGAGGAATTTGGTCAGCATGTGCATCAACCCGGATCCAGACGAGCGGCCGGACATCGTGTTAGTCCTGCAGTTCTCCAAACAGATGCAGCTGTGGACGGCCAGCACCTGAAACGGCCCTCTGGAGACACACCTGCACACACCTGCCAAGCGCTGCTGAGGCAGAAGAAGGACTGTGTGTGAACTGTGGACTCATTCAGACTCTGTGCCTGAAGAACTCTGCTGTATTACTGCACTGATCAAACACAACTATAACAAACTCACACAGACGCTGTTCTCCAAAACGCCTTAAAACGCTTCATCAAAAACTCCTGCACTGTCAAATATCAGTTCCTTTACTGTTCTTTTTCTGCTCAACGTGGGATCAATATTCACCATTTGAACTTTCGCTTTAACTGGACGGATCCCTGACCGTCTTACCGTCCGATGAACTGTAACTAGACTCGATGAGTTTGGAGAAAGTGGACTGAACAGCTTAATATGTAACCCCCCCTTAATTGTGCTCATGTTCAAGTACTAACAGTTCAAATACATATTCTGGAAACCTTGTGAAGTATTTGTGTTTAGCGGTTACTCTCGCTGGTGGTCAGGGAGGGGTCTGACCTCAGTGGTGGTCAGGGAAAATGACTGCTCCCTACTCGTACCCTACTGAGGCTGTATGCATTAACTCCTTAAAAAGCCGACTGTACGTTTGCGCTGAAAAATATCAGCAATGGTACATGACCGACGACTGCATGCGGTGATGTAAATGTTGCCATGGTGATAACATTAGTGGAATTACAGTGGCCTTCCTGTTTGAGTGCAAGGCGACAGCGTTTTATCCTAAAAGGTATTTTGAACACATGCTAATATTCCTACGGGCACATCTGGAGGAGGGAAAATCTGGGAAAAACATCCAACTTCGACTTTCTAACCAACATTTTTTGCAGTTTAAATGAGATTGTTTTCTGTTAATTAGGCTTCATTTTGCCAAGAAGACCAGCACATCCTTTTTTCAGACTCGAGGTTTAGTGCGCCAGAGCTGCGTGAGATTAGGTTATCGCGATATGATGTCATTTTTTTTTTTTATCGCAGTTTTGATATTTAAACAATTAAGCGTTCGGCCGTACGCCTGGACAGCTACAAACAGTCAGCAGCCATGTTGCTAAAGGAATCAAGATCCAGTTTTTCCCACCACTAATCCTGACCACAAAAGGTCTTAACGGGACGTTCTGCAGACAGCTGCGCTACGCTGCGATTATGGCTGCTGCCCCATTAAAAACATGAACTATACGGTTTCTACCGTCATAAGCACAGCATGAGGGCCCACACATAGGCTCCTCTCTCAAAACCACACAACTTAGTACTGTAATCATACTAGTTATTGAAGAATACAATATATATATATTATATATATATATATATATTTCCTGCTCATTATTGATCAAAATTGTACACCAATAAAATCATGTTTCCACCCCACCACCCAATACCTATGATAGCAAGAGGATAGTGGATCACTGTCAGCCCACTGATGGCAAAGTTGGTGGTCTACTGGTGTTTTCCGGGCGGCCCACCGGTGGTTAAGCAGAATATTAGACAAAATTCCAAGTATCATCGCTCATATTCCTCCCCCAGTCCAATTTACTGATTTTCCTTCCTTCCCTTCTTTAGTTACACTTTGTAAATTAGTAAATAATTTTAATCCAGCTCAGTGTCAGCAATAACATCTATAAAATCATTTTATATCAGCCTTGCCATTATATTTTTCTCTCAGTTGTTTGTAATATTTGTCTAAGTTTATTTTCTAAAATAAAAGTCTCTGTGCATTTAAAATTTGTTTGAGGAGATTAAAAACTAGTTACAGCTTGTATGCAGGACAGTAATCTGGGTGGTCTGAGGGTGGACCAGCGGTGGCAAACAGTCAAGCAGGGGGCTGACCTTATTTGCTGCTATATGGGACTAATCTAAACCAAAACATCTAGGATCACAAACAGCTCTTGGGCCAATCAGGGATGGCTGTCTCTTTCCCCTAAGTTTTTACTCCCTCTTTGTGATGTTTGTGGCATCTATCAGGTGAAAAACATTGCTTTTCAGGGAGGAAAAGTACTACAAAGATAATATAACTAGGGCGGCCACGATTATGAAATTTCAGCTGATAATTAATTCTAATTAATTCTGTTCTTCTACTGTAATATTTACCTTCAATGAACAAGCCTAAATTGGCCAAACTCGCTGATAAGCCACCTTGCTTCCTGTCAAAATGATGCACTACACTTATGCAAGAACAGTTGTCTACAGAATGGTGTACAGAGTTAAACTCTAAGCCAAAAAACATTCATTCTGCCAGCGTACATGCTAAAGAGGTTAGAATTAGCCACATAGCTAACAAATGCCCTCTAAACATGGAGCGCCAACTTATAAGTCAGACCTTTTGTGTTGTCATAAACCCTATGATGTCTCAGTGAACGCATTTACTGCTTACACTTGATTCACATTTTGCTAGTGGCAGAAATCTAACAACTGTGGAGAAATATTGTGGTCCTAAATAACTGCGATCATCTCAAATAACTGATCGGGCAGATTTGTAACAATTGTGGCCCAAGTATAAAGCAGTTATTACTCTAATAAACACCGTTCGTCATAAGCGTACCACCTTCATGTGCTCAAGGACTAACCACAGCCTGAGTATCTAAGCCTGGACTAACAGCAGGTCGTTCCCTGCAGCTGCGTTTGTTCCGCGAAGCTGAACGTCAGAGTTTCAACACGTATGAAGCTTTAGGAAGAACCGCACGTCTCTTCACAACAGATTTTATTGTAAACACGGGGAAAAAACATCTCCATACATGAAATACAGAACGGGGTCAAGGGTGACGGTCAGCGTGGTGTCTGTTCAGGACGTGTCCATGGTCTGCACGCTCTCCTCCATCACCTCCAGCTGAAGAGGGGTCACTTCCTTTGTCAAAACGCCTGTGGTGCCGTGCTTGTACTTGTAGTCACCGGTTCTGCAGGAAGAAAAGCAGAGCGTGAGCGAGCGTGTAGTTCAGTTCAGTTCAGCACTCTACCCGTCTACTCCACAGAGATCAGTACGTCCTCCGAGCAGAGCACTGCAGTAAACCACTGTTAGAATGTCAGTAAAGTCAGTAAGAACTGCACTCGCAACCTGCGCAATTCCAGACGAGCCCTTAAAGTGATACTTTAGCAAATAATTACATTTACAGTTTTCCCTCTACACCAAATGTAGTCGATCAGTCAGGATGGGTCTGGTGTCTGAAGCTTGATTCTTTAGTTTCAGCACTGAAGTGACGAGGCTAGTGCAGTTAACAAGTACCCCACCAACTAGCATGGTGCTAAGTGCATGTCTAACTCATCATTAGCCTCAAAGCGTGCGGAGTAGTTCAGTATATGTATGACTCACTGTTATCTATAAACAGGGACCAACTGTTCAGACTTAAAGATCATGTACAGGGTGATTCAAAAAGATTCAAAATGATTTATTTCACCTGTAAATCATTACAGATCAATGCAGAAAACTGTAAACGGTTTAAATGAGCATAAAGTTTATTATGTAATTGTACAAGGTCTCAGTATGAACCTCCTCCAGCTGTACAGACAACATCAACGCCATAGTCAAATTCATCCCATACTGGATTGAGCATGTCGGGTGTCGCTGCACTCACGGCTCTTTCAGTGCGATTTCGGAGATCATCCAGTGTTGTGGAACCAACGACGAACGCTCTGAGCTGTTGGAGGTTCTGAACTGACTAAGAAGTCAGATGGAGGGCTTCTTTATCGCTAACTAGGCTACTATTGACTACTGTGCTACTGTTAGCTAGGCCCAGGAACACTAAAAATCCACATGTTGGCACGAGTATCCAGTGTTGTGCCAATTAGCTGTAGTGTTTGCTTTAGCTCATTAGCCTATTTTACTATCCAACATGAGTACTAATTTTTGTGCAACACCAGTGCTCCCACCTAAATGGTAAGCCTACAGGACTACATTAATTTCATTCCTTTTTGGGGGGTGGGGTGTTCTTCCATGCAGCCAATGGATTATTCATTGATTAATCCTTGCAGATACACAATTATCAATATTAGTTTGAATGCACAACCCTATCAGAAACCACCATCAAATCTATTACATCTTACTTAACAACTCCACACCGTCTGAGTTATTAACATGGTTTCAGGGATGCAGTTAGCACAATGCTAACTGGTGGGATATAGGCTTCCATTACTTGTTAGCTACATTAGCCTCATAGCTCCAGTGCTGAAACTAAAGAAGCTAACTTCAGACTCCAATGTCCTGGCTGATATGAAATCTGTATAAATGTAATTTTATGCTAAATTATCACTTTAACCCCCCTGAATTACACAGCTGTACTTATTCTCCCTTAACAGGAGGCGTAAGTGTGTAGGAAGTGAGGGGTGGGGGGGCCCGTTTTATTTGGAATCGATGTTAGCAAAGGTTAAAAACAAACACGCTTCAGAATCTGTTTTGTCTACAAGTTTCAACATTAAAACACAGACTCTCTAAATCACACGCGTTTTTACTCACTCTTCAGCTCGAACATGCTCTTCCAGTCTTAAAGCAGAACAGGTGGAGATTTGGTCAGAGTCTCAGCACACACAGCACTCCACACCAGCACTGACCCACATATTAGTTACTGGGCTTTTTATCAGTATTGACAAACAAAATTCGCAATTTCTTTTGTTTGCTGCATCTCTGGGATTTTAGCCTCGAGCTTATTGACGATAGTATCACGAATCACCATCAGATTGCAGCCATCACAAAGGCTATCAGGTTGGATGATTTAAATGTCAGACAACGCACCATCCGCAGCTCTAAAACGGACACGTCTAGTGAACTGTCTTCTTTTAATGTGTAGTCCACGCTCTGTATCAGTCCTGATTCGTGGTCTGGCTTCAGAACGTTCTACAGCGCCGAGAGGCAGCACTTTGCTTACTGTGGTCGTGCTTGTTAAACCGATAAAGCCGTGCTGCAGCCCTCCACTACATGCTTTCTCAGAAAAAAAATAATGTTGGCTTAACTGTCTGATACTGTGGTTCCATTAGCGTTGTTAGAAACTAAGAGAAAATTTCATGTATCCAAATAGCCTGATAACAACTGCAGGGACTTTTGGGGTTAGCATAAGCATGGCATGGGCACCAGAGCGCTTCTGTTTCCTCTTGTTGCGCCTGAGTAGCTGCCTGACTCAATCAGGTGCAACAGAGGAAGCCGCAGTCTTAAAATAAGCCCAGGTGCAGCTCATACTGAAGTGTGAACAAATGAAATATTTTTTATATCCGAGCAAAGTCTGACGGTGAGGGGAAGGGGCTGAACGGCCTGTACAGGTTCCAGAACATACCTGCTGCTCTATTTAAGGTGGAACAGGACATTCAAACAGCCAGACACTGAATAAGAAGCCTCTCCAGCCCCGTAGAAATTCAGACGTGAAATAACATTGTTTTTTAGCACCGTTTTTGCCGTGCCGAGAGAAACCGCTGTGCGATTAAGGTTAAAAATCAAAGGTTTATATATTTATCTGTGCATATTGGGTTATCTATTATTTTATTATTGCCACAACAAAAATATTTCAGATTTAATGTGGCTCTTGTTAAAAAGTGAAGTGACATCCAAGCATCTGAAATGGTTTTGCTTTGGGGTGGGGGTGGAGGGGGAGGTGGGGACCGAACATCATTGTGGCATGCGCCCGTCTCCTGGCCACCGGGGTCAAATGTGAGGCAAATTAAAGTGACAGGGACAGCTCTTGCGGCCGTCGTCGGGGTCTGGGGGACGAGCGCATTCCACAATCATAATTAAAATAAACACAAGTAAAACACAAACTTCACATTTATCATCAACATAGCATGTTATGACACAAACAACCTCTTTATGAAGAGAAGTAAAGAAAATCAACAACATAAGATGCAATTAATAGAAACCAAAGCCTCAAAGAATTCTGGGTAGCTCTACCCACGTGCACTGATAATTTCTATGCAAAACATGTTTTAACACTTCAATGAAGTATGTGACTGAAACAGCAAAATGCACTTTAAATGAAATTCTTGATAGGAACATAACTTTATTTGATAAAGCAAAGCTTAAATGGGGGTCTTTTCTGCAGGAAACATCATTGTGTAACGCATTTTTATAACACTGACAGTTCTGTTTTTCTAACGCCTTTTTTATTTTGCTAATTTCTGCATAATTCTGCTAACGCCCATCTTTTCTGCTCATTTAGTGCTTAAAGAAGAACTGAAGTGTTTTCATGACAGGCTAAGAGAAGTCCTGACTGGTGGCCTGTCTGCAGGTGTCACTCACCTGACGCCCTTCTTGTTGGCCTCGTCGTGTGGTCTCAGGTAGTCCACCTTGCCTTTGGTGATCACGCACAGATCGATGTTGCTGCCTGAGCCGAGGTCGCTAAAGATCCCGGCTGCTATCGCATCACGCACCAGCTGCTTCGCCTCCTCCTCCTGATGGGCAGAACATACGGTGAGCATCGCAATGCTTCACTGACAGGAAGAGAAATAGACAGGCGGACACTCACCTCCATGCTGGGTTTGAATCGGTCTTCAAACACGGCCATAGCAGCCAGAGAGCCAGAACCTGACAATACAGACCGGAGATGCACATCACACCACGCAGAAACAACTCAGAACCTTAACAGAAACAATAATATAACCACTGAACCAGCACATCTAAAAACATGAGGGGCCGATTAATCTGCGCCGCTGATTTTATATTTCTCAGATTTCACTGCAGCGGAAAAAGTTTAAAGTAACGTCTGATAGATCAGCTGACCGATACCAGGTGATACTAGCGACATGCCGAATTATCAGTGTTGGCCAATAACCTTGTCGATAACACACTGATAATTAGCACCTATTTTAGGTTGCACACTAACCAGATACAAACTCTCAGTCTCTCACTGAAGGGAACTAATAAATAAAAAAAAAAATTAGATGATTAACAGAAAGGAAAAAGAGCAAAGAATTCTGTGTAGCTCGGCCCCCAGAGCTACAACACATCACATTTGCTGAATGAGGATGTTCGGATTGTGATACAAACAGTGCAGGCCATCAATCAAACTTAATCTTCGCATGTCACTCAAATCAGACAACTGCCATTTCTGCCACATCAGCTAGCCAGAAAAAAGCAAATGGTGAATCAACACCTGAGTGGCACAACAATCTAAGCGCTCCATCATTGTGAGATCGTGAGTCTGATGCCAAGTGATGCCACAGCCATCTGTAAGTGTGAGTCAGAGATCATGAATGTCCTTCCTCTTTGAGTGGGTACAGTGGTCCTCCCTTCACCGTAAAGTCACTAAGCATGATACGGGTATTTGAGCAGGGTTCGGATAGTTCTGGAATTAACAATCGTACCACTCTGTACCACAAGGCCCGTTAGAAAAATGCCTTTCAGTGTCAGAGACTCACCCATTGTAACATAGGGCAGCTTGTCTGTTGAGCCATGAGGGTAGATGCTGTAGAGGTGCGGCCCGTTACAGTCAACTCCACCCAACACCAGCGCTGCTCCGATATAACCCTGATACCTGCACACACAAACGCAAAGACACCACAAAGTCAAAAATGGAAAAATTTACCAAATGGCAGATAAATAAACCAGATGTTAGGGAAACAGAGACAAAGAAAAGGGATTAAATAAAAGGTTAACACTCTTCAATAGCTAAGTGGATGGAATGCAGCATGTATATATAATCTAAAGATCGTGCGTAAGACATACAAGATCATAAAATTACAAATTTATATAATATAAATCTAAAATAATGCAGCTTTTTATAAGTGTAAATTTTAAACTTTCATTTCAACCATTTCTACTGAGACAGATGCATTTTGAGGAGTATTCTAATATCCTAACAAGAACACATTTTGTTCGCATGCTTTATAACACCTCATATTGGGGGGGGGGTTTAACATTCCGCAGCATTAGGATCGTCATCCAATCAGGAGCCCCCTGATTAAAATTAAGCCCCAGAGACCCACAGGAATGTGATGTTATGAAGGAAGCCTTTAAAAGATGTTCTGAGGGGGCTGTGAGAAATCTAAAGGAGCAGAGCAGATCTCCTCTGTGGTCGTCAGTACGACAATATCTGTTTGTGTGCAGGAGGTGAGATGTGAGCAGTACTGAATCACTCAGCTGATTAAGTGATAAATCTTTGAATTGTTTGTAAACTGTAATATATAAGGAAAGAAAGACACCGGGAGAAAGAAGGTGTTTGTTGGTGGGCACCTGAAGAGCATCTGTTTGAGCATGCGGTTAGCAGTGGCCACTCTTGGAAGGCGGTTGGTGGAGAGAGAGTGCAGCTCCAGATTAGAGGAGATCAGCTGGGTGGTCATCTCCGTATCTGCTGCCGTACCAGCTCCGCAACAGCTACACGAACAAACACAACCCGGTTTACACAGTAACTCACTGTCCAGCTGGACAATCAGATTGCAGAGTTGAATATATACATATTATTCCCATATAATATGATGTCACAATATTTGGGGCTTAGAAATCCTACAAATACAACGAGGAACAGATAGATAGACAGACACATAGAGAGACAGATAGACAGACAGACAGATAGAAAGATAGAGAGACAGATAGACAGCTAGATAGACAGACAGATAGATAGACAGATAGACAGACAGACAGACAGCTAGATAGACAGAGACAGATAGACAGACAGATAGAGAGACAGACAGACAGACAGACAGAGGGACAGATAGACAGACAGACAGACAGATGGAAATATACATAGATAGACAGACACATAGATACAGATAGATAGACAGATAGATAGACAGACAGACAGATAGCTAGACACAGACAGACAGCTAGATAGACAGCTAGATAGAAAGACAGCTAGACAGACAGACAGACCGACCGACCCAAAGGAAAATTGCAGTGTTTCAGTAGCAACACACATAACTGCACATAAACTTACATATACTATGCAGAAAATAAAAAAACAGAAATAAAAACAGACCAAAAAAAACATACATAGGATACAGTATAAGAGAGTAGAAATAAAAGTATCTCTATTTGCATATTTCCTTATACTTACATATTCAAGTATTGATGTTTTATTTAATTTTGAATCTTTAACATATTTTTTACGTATTAAACCCCTTCTGAGACTCATAGATTACCAAGATGCAATTCTGTCTTAGTCCACAAGATGTAGCTGTTTCTTTCTAATGAGACCAGGATTTACACCAGTGAAGGTTCTGCTATGAAGAGATGAGTAGTGTGGTTGCTAACATGCTTGCCTGAAAGTGGTATAACGAGGTTCACTTGCAGTGTTTAGGCAGGAATCAGAAACATTATCATAAATATACCCATAAGAGTCATTAGATAAGATTCTTACTAAAAGTACCTATCAAATATGTAAGCGTAAGAAAATGTTTATGTTGAGTTGTCAACAGTTCAGTTTTGCTTCAGTAAAAAAGGTTGAAGTGAGAAAATGTAAGCTTTGCTATATGAAAGTTATTTGGAGGAATAATTTGCATAAATTGTAATGTATAGCAATACAGTCACAATGCGCTATTTGGCATATTATTTAAGCTACAGAACGCGAGAGGGAGTGTGTTATTGCGAAATAACATCGCGGCTGTGATTTGGTCGCAGGCACGAACACGAACCGATGTTATTGGCGATAACACACTCCTCGAGTGTTCTATTGCTTTAATACAACAGTTAAATAAAGTAATAAATTAATAAACTGGGCCGTGAACGCGGCGTTTAATTTGTTTTAATGTTCGCATTTCCTTCACCAAATTATAGTTCTTTAACAAGCAGCTTGTTGCTTCGTCAGAGTAACGAGCTCCGCCCACTCGCTGCACAGCCGGCAGTTCGTTCTCCAGCTCCTTACACTAAACTCCCAAACTGTCATCACCACTGAGCAGCTTTTCAGTTGGCAGCTGTGACAGAAGAACAGCTAAACAACCTGGAATCAGCCAGAACTGAACCCAATACCATTCGCCAAACGTGTAGTCTGATCTTCAGAGTCTGACCAAATCGGACTGAGCCATAAAACTGCCGCAATATCAAGTTCAGCTCAGTTTTGTCAGTTTTTGCCAGATCAGTATTAATGTTGTTTTGTTCCAGCCAGTCTGTAAAGCATCTTACAGCCCATTTTGTTTGGCAAATGGTGTTGGGTTCATTTCTGGCTGATTCCAGGTTGTTCAGCTGTTCTTCTGTCACAGCTGCCGACTGAAAAGCTGCTCAGTGATGACAGTTTGGGAATTTAGTGTCGTCTCATCTTCAGAGTCTGACCAAATCAGCTGTCGGTCAAATGTGATCTTAAAAGTGTCCATTTTCTGTTTGTGGCAAAGTAAGAAGTAAAAATGTTCAAATGGCTTAAGGGTCTCCTACAGCTGACAGAGTCATTGCCCAGCAGCGTCATCTCAGCGGAGTGATATTGTTTGTGAAAAACCTGTGATGTTATGGCAAAATAACAGCATGGTTAGAACACTTCTCAACCAATAAATATAATAAATATTTAGTATATTGTTTGTCAATTGTCGCAATATTGGTCTTTGCAATACTGACATCGCACAAGTCTGCAACGTGTAAATGATTTAAGAAATCGGACGAGAGGTTAAATCGATTCTCACAGCACTGTATATGGTGAGATGAGGACTCACTAAATGTTCGGGGAGATGTAGTGGATCTTAGAGCAGTTCTTATCAGCTACAACCATTCCTTCAGTCGCTCTGGTATCAGCTCCCAGCACCACTCCATCCTGGACAGGCAGAGAGAAATACACAACAAATAATCACAACAATGAGCTGCACAAAACAAACAAACAGTGAGGAGTTTTTAAAACGACCCACTCAAAAGAACAAACGCATCACAGAGATATTTAGTATGTAATCTTTCCTACTCTTTTCCCATTCTGAAAAACTGCTGTACTTGAAAAAAAGGATGCAGCGGTGGCAGCTGCATAGCCGTGTGCAAAAGTTGGGGTGCCCCAGTCAAACTCCACATACTGACCTCCACAGAGACTCAGTTCTGCACATTTTAATGTACAGTTATGGTTTTTTGCAGAAATTAACATAAGAGAAATAAATGAAACTGTGGCCTGAGCAAAGGTTACAGCACATTTTATATTGTTCCAGTGCATTAAACTCAGCTAATATATATATAACTTATGCAAAACAATTGCAGAAAAATGTCATATTTAAGTGCGTTCCCTGTCGAGGATGTAATCTGACTGAGGGTCATACGACTGTGTGTATGGTTACAGTGCAATACACTCTAATTTACTCCATATATTCTTTTCAATATATTTACTTCATGTAAATATATGCACATTCTGCACTAAAAGTCAAATATATTTTATGTTGCATCTCAGCTGTCAGCGAATGAAGAGCGAAAGGAGGAGAAAACAACACCCGTCAGACACTGTAAGAGTAACGTTCTGTGAAAGTCACCTTGTACACGATTCCACAGATGGTGGTGCCGGTTTTACGAGCTGCAGGCAGACTGCATCCCAGCTTAGCAATGTTAGCTTCTAGCAGAGCATTCCTGCAGAAAAACACAGAAACAACACATTACACAGAAAATGAATCAGTTCATGCTTCAGTTTTATATAAACAGTGAGAATATTAATGATTTTCAACCATCCTTGAACTACCTGTATAAATAAGGAGTTAAATGTGTGCTGATGCCGAGGTTTGTCATTTTAATGTACGTATCTGCAGATGCTGATAAACATTTAGAAAATGTAGAAATTGTGATTACATCTACCCAGATTAGCATTACAAAGAAATATAATATTTATTTCTCTAAGGATACATTAGAATAGAATGCAGTAAAATGAAAAATGCAGATACTGCAGTGCAGTAACACAGCATCTCCTAAATGTTCGGCCCTTCTGGAGCTCAATAAACACATATTTGTCTGAAATATCAGCTAAATCTAAGTAACTGCCCCTATTTAAGCAATTATCTGTTAAGACTGAAATGATTCCAATATTACTGAGCCTACTGTTAGATGATAATCAAGCTTTTGGAAAAGACAAAAATAAAGCTAAACTGTCCACTGCTCCTTTTAAATTAACACATGGATTTAAAGGTTCTCCAGAAGAACATTTTCAGCTCCTGGTGGGTGTGTCCACAGCATAAGCCCCACCCCCTCTGCCCACTTTACTCTATCACTAACAGGGGTTTCAGTGAGATACACTGTAGAGAGTGAGGGGCGAATCAGACATGCAGATTCACATTTACAACCACTGATTCACATTTACAACCACTGATTCACATCCGAGTTTTTCAACACACACTTAAATTGCTGCATCATGTGATTAATTTTATGCATCTGAGAGATAAAATGACCAACAGGTTTCACTGTAAACTCGTTTCAGAACATAAAATTGTAGCACATTTGCTAAAATGGTGCTGTATCACATGAAGCATTCAGAAACTAAATGAGGCAAACCTATTTTTTAAATAATTCCTTTAAACATGCTTTATTGACATCTAAATGTCTTGTTTATGTTAATCATTGTTTTCTCATTATTCTCTCAGTTCACCTGAATGAATTTCACTGACGCTTCACTGTTTAAAACCTCATTTTCTGTATATTTTTAAACTATTTTTATGAAGTTATTGGGCTAATGTTTACATTCATTGTATCATCGCTGTCCAAAAAAACTCAATTTTTTCACATTTTTATTTTTCTACATCCCCCGCAACCCAGAAGGATAAGTAGCTTAGAAAGTGTATGTGTGTGTGTACACGTCATTTGAGCTCTGCATGAATGTGTAATGATGAATGGATTATTAGAAATGCTCCAAACCTACCTGGAATAAAACCTTTTGACATTAACTCATATTAAAAGCAGAGAAAATGTGTAGCTTCTCCTCTAAAACTGCCCTTTTGGGGAGACGTAAATGTTGCAACAGGTACAACAAACTACAGAAGAATACACATTTTAATTAAAACAATACTGGAATCATATCTAAATACCAGCACCAGACAGCTGATTAAATTTGGCTGATGTTTCAAACCAGTATTAGCTGATGCAGTTACATCGCTGTGACGCCGAGTTAGGCACCAATATCTGCATTTTCAACCCTCTACAAATAAAAGCTCCACATCTCTGCTCTGCTGATTCAGGTGGATTTAAAGTCCCATCTCAGCGCATCTGCAGCTTTAATGATCACGTTAGAGAACGAAAACTGCACCGTCAGAATCTTCAACTTGTTACAGTGACTGATGGACACCAGAGACATGAGATGTTTAAATCAAACAACAGGGAGTGAAATTTCAGCAGGACGTTTAGTTTCTTGTGCGAGTCTCAGATTCAAATTACTCCTAGGTTAGGAGGAATGTTTATCCTTTACATCCTTCACCAGAGGGGCTGGAGTTTTACACACACCCACCATTTCCATCTGAAGGAGGAAAATATGAAGGCATAAAGGGTGATTTTTATAAATTTATACACAGTTAAATGATCAAGATGTAAAGTCATTCAGAGTGGTGGTGATAGGAACCAGACGTCCACCTCTAAAAGCTCCCTCACAGAAAGTTACTACGTGAAATGGTTATGAATTTACTGCCTGATGACTGAGACACTGTTTTATAATCGTTTATAGAGAACTTAAACTCCATTCATGGTGGAGGGATACATGCAGGGCGCTGTGAGGCAAAATAGTCCCCAAAGAAAACTTATTATTTCAGATTTTCCACTATTTTCCATCATCAACATTCCATATAAACTCAGAAGACTCATGTAGGTTCACTGGTGGTTCTGGATAGTAAATAAAATGTCTATATTTGTGTTGTAGTCATGGCGACCCCTGGTTCCTATCACCACCACTGTAAAGAGATCTGAACCATTTCACACCAAACCACTCTGAATCACTCCGTTTACATCTCACACACTGAGTTATGGGGGAATTTTGAAAAATGGGTGGAATTCCTCTTTAAGGATCTAAAAACCCACACAGCTTAGAGCAAAGGAATCAGAGCAATTTCCAACTGTGAGAGCAAGCAAGCAAACAAACAAACAAATAAATAAGTCCATATTTATAGAAGATACAAATCAATTTACTGAATAAAAGTTTGAGAACCGGGTTAAACAGGAGAATCGTTTACCTTCAAATTAAAGACCCACAGTTTAGAACATTTTCAACACAGTTAAACTAACGATATAAACTTAACAGCTGCAAGTGTTCAGAGACATGAACGATTTATTTATTACTACTTTATTACTAGTTTATTTAAAAGGCACACGCGGGCTTCTCTGGACTGTCACGTAACTAACGCTCTGAGCTTTTTGTGTATTTAATCGGTGTAAAATATTCAAAACATTTTTCAGTTTCATCCGTTCCCATTTTAAATAAAACATTTATTTACACATTTTCGCCCCTTTGTTTCAGGAATATCTGTGTAAAAACACCGAAAAAACAAAACAAAGGAGCTCGTTAGCAGTGGCTAATTTTCTCTCCATAGTTGGTGCTTTTTGAGAGCTTTTCGGTACATTAGCCGCTATAAAGCGCAGGAACAACGTTACATTTTAGGTTATCATATTTACGGCCATTATTTTAGCAATTTTTCTGAATGAATCAGCAGATATTTTTATTTTAAACAGCTTTCAGTAGCGCGACGCTGTGAGCGCAGCGCCGGTTCTGTTAGCGATGCAACATCATGACTGAGCTCAGCTCACCGGCTAACGCTCACATGGTCACCGCGCTGGAATGAAACAGCTCACAAACTGAAGAAAATACATATTTCGTTCTAAAATAAACCATAATTATTCAGTCACATTTCCACAGAAGCGGGGTTTCCTCCGCAGCTTTACTAACTGCAGTTTAATCCCCGCGCCGGACAGTTTCAATGAAATCTACTGAGTCATTCACGGGCCGAGCTGCTAGCTAACAAACACACACACTAACGTTACACACTCCACCAGCAGGACTCGGCGGAGTATCCCCCACAGCGGTCTAACCGAACTGCCCCAAAGGTGAGCGGAGCGGGCTCTTTATCGGCCCCTTCTTACCTCTTACAGTTCTCGAAACTGAAACCTCCGAGCTGAGGCTGGCACACCGATAGAGTCGCCATTATTCAGTACACTGAGCTGCTGTTTCCGGGAAGTGGAGCTCACAGCGCTGGAGGCCCTTACCCCTCAACAGGGCCGCGTCCTAAACCACAGACCGCTCACTGCACTAACAAGGGCACTCCTTTATCATTCAACAGGGCCGCGTCCTAAACCACAGACCGCTCACTGCACTAACAAGGACACTGCTTTATCATTCAACAGGGCCGCGTCCAAAACCACAGACCGCTTACTGTACTAACAAGGGCACTGCTTTATCATTCAACAGGGCCGCGTCCTGAACCACAGACCGCTCACTACACTAAAGGGTGCACTTATTTACCCCTCAACAGGGCCGTGTCCTAAACCACAGACCGCTCACTGCACTAACAAGAGCAATCCTTTATCATTCAACAGGGCCGTGTCCAAACCACAGACCGCTCACTGCACTAACAAGGACACTCCTTTATCATTCAACAGGGCCAAGTCCTAAACCACAGACCGCTCACTACACTAAAGGATGCACTTATTTACCCCCAAACAGGGCCGCATCTTAAACCACAGACCATTCACTGCACTAACAAGGGCACTCCTTTATTATTCAACAGGGCCATGTCCTAAACCATAGAGTGCTGACTGCACTAACAAGGGCACTCCTTTATTGTTCAACAGGGCCGCATCCTAAACCACAGACCGCTCACTACACTAACAAAGGAACTTTTTTACCCCTCAACAGAGCAGCTTCCTAAACCACAGACTGCTCACTACACTAAAGAGTATGTGTCTTTTCCTCTCAACGGGGCCTGTACAAAGTTCAACCACCGGCAGCATCCTAAACCACAGACCACTCACTACACAGACAAGTGCACTTCTTTTACTTTAAGGGCTGCACCATAAACTGCAGACCGCTCAAAACGCTAACGAGTGCACTCCTTTCCTACTGAGACAAATAAACAATATTGTATGAGATTTTAGGGGATCCAAACATACACTAACAATATTTCAACAGTCTGTTAAAGGTATGGATGGAGCTCACTCCACTGAAGGAGTGGACCATTACTTATTTTTCTCCATACTCGTTGACTCAGTACAGATCATTTTTATTCAGTGGATTTCAGCGAAGTTGTTTAGTTTTGGTAATTTAATGAGAAAGTGTTTCATTTTGGTAAAAAAACTGGCTGAGCCAGTTTATATGAGTGTTTTTCCATTTCTGACCACTCGGGAGCAGCAAGAGCTCAGAGCTCCTGAAGGAAAATTAAAATCTAAAACCGCAGACTGACCCCAGGCTGACTGTAGGGCTTTTTTTGTCCATGCACTTGACCAGTAGGCTACACATTAGAAGTATTTCCAGCTGCTTCTACCATTAGAGAAGAAGATCTTTCTTAATATGTGCATAATCACATTAGACAGGAACCAGACGTTGTGAGGCAAAATAGTCCCCAAACAAAACTTATTATTCCAGATTTTCCACTATTTTCCATCATCAACATTCTATATAAACTAAATGTCTAAATAAAATGTCTATATTTGTGTTGTAGTCATGGCGACCCCTGGTTCCTATCACCACCACTGTAAAGAGATCTGAACCATTTCACACCAAACCACTCTGAATCACTCCGTTTACATCTCACACACTGAGTTATGGGGGAATTTTGAAAATTCCATGGATTGCCACAATTGAGCTCTGGTGCAAAAAAATTAATGACCCCCTTCATACAAAAATAATTTTGGTTTATTGAAGTGGAGTGAAAAGACTTGACATGATACCACATAAACAAATAAATAACAACAAATAAACAGAACAATAAGTAAAATATAAATATCAATAATAGTGCATGCAGTGAAATAATCATACACATTTTTAAACCTTGCTTATCTTTATAGGTTCCTCTGCTATGAGCTACTCTAATGTCCAAATACTGCAGAACACTGTACAGTACAGTCTCAGTACAGTCATAATAATAATACTCAGTACAGTCAATAACGCAGAGGGTCCTGATCAATCCATTAGCTCTGAGACTGAGGATGATGCTGAAGGGTCTCCTCTGAACAGGAGTGAATAAAATGTCAAAGTTTTGATAACTGATTCAAAGTTGGGTAAAGTTTGGCTGCATTATTAAGAAATACAATTTTGGGGATTTGGAGACCTCTCTGGTGAAAATGTGTAATTACACATTATGTACTCTTGTCATCATAAGTTCTTCAGTGTAATTAAGCAACAAGACACTAGAGGCTGTGTGTTACAGCGATTTCATCCTGAGGAAGGATGTTCTTAGGCCCAACGTGAAAGGGAGTAAAACTCCCTTCCCTGTGATAAAATCCCAATAACAGTGGCTTATTGTTTTTATAAAACGGCAGACCACATAAAATATGACAAAATACACAAATTTTAGTACATAATTTAAGTTATTATTATTAATAATCAACATAAACAAGTATTCCGCCAAGAAATATAGCTTTTTTAGAGTGCTTTTTGCCAAGCAACCATATACCACTGAGTGAGTAGAACGTTCAGTCGCTCATCGCTGTTCACTGCAGACATTTCATGATATTTTTGACTTTTTATCGTATAAGAATGAACATTTTATAACAAAGCAGTGTTTAATGCAGAAACTTTCCCTTTGTAAGTACTTTTTGGTCACCAAATTACCACCGTGCTAATTTCTATTAGCGCCACTGCGCAATTTCCCATCTTACTTAGCACCAAGCTAACAATGCCCATCTTCCCAAGCTGGGGCTAAACCTCTTATGGCTTCCTGCTCGCTACATAGTGCACTACATAGGAGTTTAAATACTGGATTCTGCAGCCCAACAGAGCAAAATACAGCTAAGGAATAGTCATTTGGGACTCAGACACATCCACACTCGATAAACTTGATAACACTTATTGCATTGTTTGGATATGGAGGCTAGAACTTCTAAACGTCCCTAGCTAGCACACTATTTAGGGAGTACGGAGATGTTTGGGATTCAGCCTGGGTTTGACGTGACTTCTGACTGAAACAGGAACATTTGAAGCGTGTAAGACATTAGAGTGACATTTTTAGACTTTTATACTGCCGTTTTACAGTAAATCATACCGTAAGTGCTTTAATTCAAACCTGTGATATTAATGTTGGAGTTGTTTAGCATGTTTGCTATCTTTTAGCCTGTTAGCTAGCTGACCAGACTAGTTCTGGATAAGAAAATAAGTTTTAACAAAAAATGGGTTCTTACTTCATCTGTGCACTCGAATACTTTACAGTATATCGAATACTTTACAGCAGCTTCGAATGTGGCTCAGCCAATCAGATTTTTCTCTTCATATTGTAATGTTGATTTTTAGATCATTTGAGACCTAAACACTGAACCAGACCTTCTTTTTGAGCCTCTTTGTGTGACGTGATGTAAAGGCATATGACGTGGTGTGAAAAGCTCCTAACCTGACGCATCTGACTTTAACTGATTATTCCGGGCTTTACAGGGCGACTTACAGCAGCGCCGCTCACTATACTTTAGCCTGTTTACATTCTACCGCTTCAGTTGCTCTTTCAGGTTTAACAACACAGATCTTACATGGTGCAGCTTTAAAGTTGAAGTACTTTTTGATATTCTCTTTCTCCACCAAAATCCCCCCAATCTGGCAACACTGAAGAGGAATGACTGAATTAACTGGAGCACAGTCTCCCAACCAGCCGTGCAAACGAGTGCAGGATCACACCTCCGGTCCAGCTTTATCTACATACAGCCGCACACGCAAAGCCGAGTCTCACTATTGATCGTGTTAGTGAAGAGGAGGAGAGAGAGGGAGAGAGAGAGGCTGGGGGAAGGACGAGTGTAGCAAACCGCTCACAGTTTTCTCTGACTGCACGTTTCACTGTCTGTAAGAAAGACACACACAGACACTCATACAGTGAGACCTGACAGATCCGCCAGGTTAGCTTCCTGTACTGTTAGCATTCCGCCTGAAGTGAGCTCCTGATCAATAACAGCACTGACCCCGGCACAGATCAATAATCCCAGATCACACTTTTCAAAACGCTTAAATCTCTCTTTTACACACAAACATACCCCCCATTTACACCAGCAACATCACATTCACAACCCCGTAATGACTCAAACAACAGCTGCTTATGATTACTTTATTTCATCTTTATTAGTCTGTAATTATTACAGATATCAGACATTTTACTTGTAAACCAATCATATCAGACTCTTAAGTTTAAGTCAATCATTTCAGACATTGCAAGTTGTAAACTAATCATATCAGACTCTTAAGTTTAAGCCAATCATATCAGACCTTGCAAGTTGTAAACCAATCATATGAGACTCTTAAGTTTAAGCCAATCATATCAGACCTTGCAAGTTGTAAACCAATCATATCAGACTCGTAAGTTGTAAGCCAATCATATCAGACTCGTAAGTTGTAAGCCAATCATATCACACTCGTAAGTTGTAAGCCAATCTGATACAAATAAGTTACATACTAAATAAAGCCTCTCCATTCACAGCCAGCCTAATGACAAACGTTATGTGGTGATATTGTAAAGGGCCCTGTGTTTGATTGACAGCTATGGCTGAGATTCACATTAACACAGTGGAAAGTTCTTTGCAGTTTTTTTCTTGGTAAGTGGCTCATCTTGATACTTTACTGCTGACTGATGGTTAGTAAACTGTTTGATCAGTTTTTATTTGGTGCTACAGTTATGAATTATGTCAGTATAGTTTGCAATATGTTTATATTTAAACTTTATACTGAATATTTCTATGTTTTTTGAAAACGTTCACTTAATAAAAAATAATAAATTCCGCAGGTGCGATGAGCACAATGTTGTGGGCAGCAAGATGTTCACAGAGTCAAAAAGACTGAATGGGCGGGGCTAAACTGCTGAAGTTTTTCAGCAGGGCTAAACTGCTGTAGGCTGAATGGGCGGGGCTAAGCTGCTGAAGGCTGTATGGGCAGGGCTAAACTGCTGTAGGCTGAATGAGTGGGACTAAATTCTGTAGACTGGGTGGGGCTAAACTGCTGTAGCATAAATGTATTTCAGACTTCACAAAGAAACAGCAAGATGATGCAACAAACTGAGTCAAACTGAGGAGTGTAGAGACTGTCAGCAGGGGTGGGAGA